GAAATATTGTATAGCAAGAAGGTCATCACTTTATGAAGAATCAAGACTTTTTATTTCGAGAGACGGGAAAGAAAGCCAACTAAAGCACAATAAACCCACGAGAATTGTTTATGTTTTCTTTGTTTTGACTATAGATCTTCTGCCGCTTTTTGCGACTTAATCGCCTACATTGTCGAAATACGAACTTTGCATTTCTACTCCAAGAAATTTGTTTCTTATGCGGGATCAAAGCGGGTAGTCCCGAGCGAGCAAAGATGGGTTCATCTTGCCCGCTCGGGTAGCCAATCAGAACACAGATTTTGCTTCATATTGCCCACGTGCACCGCCAGCTCTATAGAGACAAAGTTTTTTGTAATCATCAGCTCTTGTCATCATATCAAGAATTTCAGTTTTTTATTTCACAATATCGATAGCATGGGTGCATATGTGTTTAAAAGAGTATTAGGCGAAGAGACTCTTCTGAATGATAAAACTTTGCTTCCGTGTATATCTTTTTCTACCCGCGAAATAGATCGAATGGATTTACTTGTTGTAATACCTTTCTATGAGAGTTTTCTCCCTCTTTGATAAATTTCGAACCATTTCCTGAGCTGCTTCAAGTTCCTTTTGTTTATCCTGCAGCTGTTTTAGTAGGCCAGATTGTTCATCAATCGGTTCTTGCGTAGAAACCTTTTGAGGTAGGAAGTTGCTTTGTGTCGATTCTTCTTTCTGTTCATGGTCAGTTTCATTAGAGCTGCACGGAGAACTCAGTGCAGAAAATTCTGAAAGAGGAATGTTATTTTGATGCCAGTTGAAAGTGAATTGTCACTATGTTGGAGGTACCGTGATTTTTATTGTCTTTAGTAGGGTTTTTGTTCTATTTATTCATATTTTTTTTATGTCTTAAAAAGGAGTACGTCTAATGATTTTATATAGACCATACCCATGAAACACATGTAGCGACAGAAGTATTTCCCAAATTGGAAGTGATGTTTCTAGAGACCATGAAAGGTGTGCCCATGTATCCGTTTGATCAAATATCCATGTAAACCCGTTAATCGTCCAACAATTAACCCATCAACCTACTCTCAACCAAACAAGTATTATTCAGGAATCACCAAAAGCACGGTTTTGCTGGTACTCTAAGATGCAGCGCTAAAGAATAAACCTCCCAAGGGCCAGGAGTGTAAAAGACGCCATTACCTGTTTCATCATCCAGTTGAGTGACAGTGTCAAACACGTCAGTGTCACTACTACATCCTTCTTCAACAGCGCTGACGTCACCAGACTCTGCACCACTGGCCAGTGTACGGGTTATAGTGGGTATGTCTGGTTTCTCGCCATCGTCTTTGACCACGCCCTTGAGAGATTCATCCAACAACTGCAGCACAAGGCGATGTCCATGGTGAAATCTCTCGAGCAGCGGTAGCACGCGCTCGTCACGTGATACTTTGAATTCTTTTCTTAGTTGGCTAAGAAGCTGTAGAACCTTAATTAAGCAAAATAATTTGTGTTTATATTAGCCTACCGTGTTTGCAGGGAGCGTTGCGTGACATCGTAACGCTACGAGGGAGACCAACCAGGTTCTGTTCATATCTGTTATGAAATTCGCCAGTTGGTTTCATGGGAGTGGTATACGCCACTTAAAAGTTTGTTTATATTAATGAGGGACTGGATTAAGGTTCAAGTCTTGCGAGCCAAGGGGCCTATTTTATCCTGGAGTTCACCTCGGTTGCCTTAGCATTAAGCGACTAGGACTATTCTTAGAGGGATCATTTTCTATCGCAAAATTACCTACTTCCCCCATTTCTCTCCCCTCCTTCCCCCCCCCCCCCCCCCCACACCCCTTCTCAATGAGCAATTTATCAAATTTCCCCAACGGTTCACGGGTATTCAACTATTCATCTGGGTGGAAAGTCACATTGTGAGAGTCAATTGTTTGGCTAAAGGACTTGATTTATGATCGGATTAAAGGATTACCTTGCAGCTTTGTCTTCTCTGATTTATGTTCGCAACTGGTGCTAGTCTCTTTGACACTGATTTTTGACACACTGTCATGATATACCATTGTTATTTTTATTTAATTCTTACCATGAAATTCAACCCACCTCTTTATCGTGATTTATTCGAACTTCCAACTTTTCTATCAGGACATGGATCAGAAGCTTGTCTCTTGAATTGACCTGTACAGCATTTAAAAGCGATTGGTTAAAAAGCAATCTATCTTCGATAGTTTGTCCTGATAGTTTCCTCATGTATTGTGAAGTTTTTTCATCCATGTCTGCTTGACTGTTTGCTGCAACGACCGAAGAGAACTCTGAATTGATGCGCGTTGCTTTTGACGAAACGTCAGAGAGTTTTCGTAAAGCAGAGTTGTAGTGGCTCACAGCTCGCTCCAATTCTGCCTTTAAAGCCTCTTCCATCTTCATGTGATAAGTCGCTGATGATCTTTTTATCGCCTCGACCAGAGCATGCTCAGAAAAGCCACTCAGAGCCTTGGAAAACTGCTCTGCTCTCTGAACAAGCCGTTGATAAAGAGATCCGTCCATTTGTGTGCAAATGTTAAATATGTTTCTTATGTGCTCTCTAGATCGTGCACTCGCAAATGTCTGGTTGTTGTATTTGAGAAGATCGACAAAATAACGAACGAGGTGATGTATGAAATCGTCGCCGCACAGCTCGTGATCAGGAAGCCGTCCTTGTCGGTCGTAAAATATCTTTGTGAAAAGAGCTTCAAGTGAACCCAAACTACTTGGAATATCTGCATACAAGCTATCGATTGATAAGTTGTCCATGATGAGAACTAGTACATCTCCTGGGATTTGATTCACTATTCTGATCAGCTCTTGATAATCTTTTCTCTCGATGCGCAAGTTCACTTTTCCAATAACTTTTAGAACAAGTATTTTGCCATCCTGAAGAGGATCTTGTGCAGCTGTCGAAGCCGTGGCGTCAAAGCTTCGCCTCTTTTGACTTGGCTTCGTCGGTGGTTCTAAGGAGTCCGCCATCATTTTGTCGGGAAACGAATTCGACCGGCCGTGTCGGGAATCGGAACGTGTAGGTGTCAAACCAGTCCGAGTTTTTGACATGTTGTGGAACGTTACGCTAAGTAGCTGTCTTAGCGTCTTCTTACTTGACCATATTCATAATGTTAATTGTCACCAAAAACACTCATTCTCTGCTCAGTGATTTGCATCGCTCGCGAGGCTTTTGTGACATCTTGTCATTGATTAATGAATATTGTTGATTCTTTTCACTCACACACACCTAAAACAACAACGCTGACACCAAATGAACGAGAATTTAGATCGGCAATCCATTTACTAATGGTCCTTATGTGTAAATCGAATCGGCAAAATGTAAATTTCCTTATAGTTTCTGTGGTACATTGTTTGGCGACCAAGGCGACTAATGAACTGTGTTTACTTCTCTGCTACTGTTGACATAGTTAAGAGCAAAGGCTTGCCGAGTTTGAATTCCTGAGTGAATGCCTTTTCATAGAAGAAAGCAGAAAGTTTGCAAATACTTTGATCGTGTTCGTGTAACAGTGACTGTAAGGGTATTAGTGCGAACCAAAAACCTGATTTACCATATTATAGTGTTTCTGTCGAGCTGTTCTCTTTTATCTTAAAACAGTTGCTTGTTACATTTATTGGAAGTTTTCCCGTCAAAACGTAAACAAAACAAATTAAGATGGAGAGGTAATAATCCAGGTTGTCATTAGGGGCCAACTCAAAAGAAATGCTAAATGTATGGGGGCATTACTCTTTCTTCCAAATCACGAGACAGTAACCAACGTTCATTCGTAAACTGACTCACTGGAGTTCGTCTTGAACCGTGAATTTTGTCGAAGTTATAGAGTGACAGACTTTGTAGATTCCATGGCGGCCCTAAAAAATTCTCTAACGATAGTAACAGGTATCACCTCCGTTAGTAACCACTTGAAGTTTTCTTTGCTACACTGTGGCGTGCCAATGTGTTCAGTTTAGTCGAAGTGTCATCCGCTTGTTTAATTAGTTCTGGCAATTGCGCAGGAGAAACGACATCCACCTGTGGGTCAAAAGCAAATACCTCAACAGATTTGTATCTTGTCACATTTAAAACTGTAACATTTTTGCTATAAGACAACGAAGAACAGTGCGGGAGTGAAATCGATTCAAGGTACTGATTTTAAAAAAATTTAAGAATGGTTTTCACTTTTTTAACATAATTATCTTAAAGTTCTCGATAGAGTTGGTAGCAATTTTACTTTCCTTACTTTTAGTTCTTATGTGATATATCTGCTAATTTTTTTTCCTGAAGGGCTCAAGGGTGTCCTGTTATTTTTTTTTTCTGTAACATTTTCCTCTTGAGAACATTCTCTACCACTAAAACTATGTTTCTGCTAAGACCTTATGACTTTTACTAGATGATTCCTAGCGAAAGTATCTCGACGTATTGTACATGATTAATACTTTTTTAGTTTTTCATCTTGCTATGAGTACTGTAAGGGTTTATTTATACGTAAGTAATTAGTTGTAATTAGTAGCTGGGCTGGCGTCGCATTGAAATCGTCCGGCCTAATTTGTTTATTGCTCTAAAGCGTGTTTAAACAGAAGATATATTACCGACCAAATTAGCATAATAAACTTCTTATGAAGTTGGTGTCAGTGAGGGAAATTTGCCCTGAAATTTCATGGTATTCGACCGTGAAATCTCGATATCTTTAACGAATTCAGGTGTTTTGCAAAAGTTATGTCTCTGAAGGTATTACCGTTGTGTTGTAGCCCTATTAGTGGTTGATAGTTAGCTTTCCACAGACCGTAACTTAAGCCGGGTCCTCGAAGAGTCATAACAATGTAAGTCCTTGAGATTTAGTACTTGTTTCAATGATCTTTTTGTATAGAGATTCAAATATTCACTAGGTATGTCCAATCGTTTTGCCGCCCTTGCCTTAACACATCCATGTAACTTTATTCAAATAAGTGCTTCAACCTTTACCGCTTAGTTATTGTACATTCAGCTCGGCCCGCATTGTCAATTATCATGGGCTGAAGTATTCGAATTTAGATGACTCGAATACTCACATGTATGAATAAGTTGTACAATAGTTTTACCTCCCACCAGCAGCGTGTGAAGAGGAACAGCTGAACCAGTCATGAGCGATGATCAAGCAATTAACACTGCGGGTGAACTCAACGATGACTTGCTGTTTAACCACGAGTTTAGATTCGACGATAACAATAACAGTGACATAACACCATCACTAAGCGATTATGAACTCCAGAAGATCAAAGAGGATCTGGGAATGGTAGATGGTGACAACGAGTTTGAAAACTCTGACCTACCGTTACCCTCCATCTACATCGATGGGAGAAATACCCCGACGCCATTTGACTTCCCGCTGACGGAAGAAGAGCGCGCGCTGCTGGAGCACTGTACGATCGGATCACCTCGGCGATTTTCCGATTCGCCGAGCGTTTGCTCGACATCTCTGGAGTTATTAGCGGACAGTTTGATTAAAGACTTCGAAGACATGGACTCTGATCATGATCAAGAACTGATTTTCACTCCAGATGAGGGACACAGGCCGGGGGAAGATACCTCTGTGCGTTCTTCTTCCTCTAAGGGGCTGAACCTGAAAGCTCCATCACCTTTACAAAATTTGCAGCGGGCCGTCGAAAGATCAAATTCCGAAGCTCTGGAATCCGTTGAGGCCAGTGATGAAAATGTTCGAAAATCAGAAAATAGTCTGAATGTGAAAAAAATTGAAAGTTCGCTCTCTCGTCCGATAATTGAGAGCGCTGATGCTTCATCGAACTCTGCATCCTCATCATCTCGTAACGGCCAAGAATCGGGGCAAACATCAAGATCAGCGTCATTAGATTCCGACTCGCTCCCGGCCTCGATCGACTCTGGTCTGCCAGTGAATGATGTGCATACACAGCATCAGTACTTTGTTGTGGTAGCCATAGATTTTGGAACAACATTCAGTGGTTATGCGTTCGCTTTTACTCGAGATCCCGAGAGCGTGCATATGATGCGTAGATGGGAAGGAGGCGATCCAGGTGTCACCAACCAGAAAACACCCACAACTTTGTTGCTGAAACCTGATGGAAGCTTCCATTCGTTTGGATTTGGTGCGAGGGATTTTTATCATGACTTAGAACCAGACGACGCTAAAAAGTGGATGTACTTTGAGAAGTTTAAGATGGCCTTACACACAAACAAGGTACAGTTGAGTTTGTCCACCAGCTTCTCTACATCTTATCTTTGATTCGCTTTAAGAGGAAAGGGTTTTCCTATTACTTATAATTTTAAAAGAGGATAATCTGTTTCGATTATCTTCAAGAATTAGAAATAATTCATATCTTGCCGAATTTACGCTTTTGACTTTGTATTGTAAATAACATTCCTAGCCTTGTAAAACTAATTAAAATATTGTTGTGATTTTGAATTTCATTAAAGTTAATTTGAAACTTTAAAACTTTCCACTTCATCCGGTTAGGATTGACTCTTAAATGAAATGATGTATTACAATTTTTTTTTGAAGAAACTAAAATGCCGGTCAAAGCAAAGAAACACAGTATATTCGAGAGTTGTGTCGTTCCAAATGAAGGTGTATCATTTATAAGCTTCACGGTGTGATTTGTAAAACAAGCCATGTTATTTGAACCTGGACGTAACCGCTAACTGTTTTTAGAGAATTTTCCAAATAAAACACAGCCGGTAAGAATTTGACTGAGTTTACTTATGTAAAGATGTTTACATTTTCAAATAACTCTTTGAAATATTAATGAGAAGTGACTGACCAAAATACCGTATATTAATTAGATGACGACTTTCAAATCTCATCGATATAGACCACCGCAACGTGGTTTCCACCTTGAATGTTTTTATTAATATTATCACTTCCTCTATAGGATCTTCACAGAGATGTTGAGATCAAAGCTGCTAACGGCAAGTTAGTCAGAGCTGTGACTGTATTTGCACACGCGCTGAAGTTTTTCAAAGATCACGTGCTGGAAGAACTCTCTGACCAATCAGCAACGAAGATTCTGGAAGAAGACATTCAGTGGGTTCTTACCGTACCTGCCATCTGGAAGGCACCTGCTAAACAGTTCATGAGGACAGCGGCCTACGAGGTGAGTGGAATGTTTAATGCTCCTAAATTATTGGCTCGCATTCACCTGAGGAAGCCTTTTTGGCGAATCATAAATGTATTAGACTTTTAGCTTAGTTATGTTTTTTAGTTGAGCCTGACTAAATTCACGAGACAGAGGCAGGCTTTAATCCTTTTTACTGAAGGTAATTTTCCACAAGAACGAAGGACATACCAGAGGGATGCTCGAGTTTCTCTCAGTTAGTTTTTTTAATTCCAAACGGATGTCATTATTGAAGCGTAAATTTAAGTATAGCTGACTCTTAGCTCAGGGACTTTCACAAATAAACCATCGGGCTCCTCGCCAAGAAATAATAAATCACATTTTCTACCAAAGGGAAAAAAGACCCTTAAATAACCCAAGGTCGCACAATGCACTCATCTTGGCTCAAAGCCCCATGAAAGAACAAGACGCAAATTAATTTAAAGGAAAAGTTGCGTCCAATTTGAGGGAACTTCAGAACGTGTTACGTCCTAGAACGTTTATTCCACTTCATAGCTAATAGAAATCAGTCTTCTGCGGTTGTGCTGGTGCTGTCTCTGAAAACATCCAAAAATTTAAGTTTGTGTGCCTCTACGTGATTGCACCATGAGATAATTACATGTTGAATAAAATATATAAATAATCGGCAACTTTCGAGACAAATAACGTCTCAATGCCTCTATGACACAATTCCTCATCGAAACTTTCTCATATCAAGGGTTCATTTGCGGTTGTGTACATGTTTGTTGTTCTCAAAAACATCCTACATTTAAGTCCGCACGTGAGATACTAGCTGATTATGCAAAAAAAAAAACCGTTGTTGTGTACTAGGTTTAGCAGTATTTATCTTGTTCAAAACAGTCAATACAGATCATGAAAAATAATTTTTGACACTCATAGATAGTAAAATCATAAAAAAGGCTACAAGTTTGAAATAGACCTTATTACTAAACCTCTAATATTCGGTCATTTCCGTGTTTAAAATCCTTTTGATAAAAGTTAAAAACCGCTTGTTCGTAGAACAAGGCCACTTTGAAGGGTCGCACCTCAAGCAGTGTTTCTAATCATGAAGTCGCGTAGTTAAGTAGAAGTGTACAGAGCCACTTTAAAGTTTGTAAGACATCTCATAGATTGACATCCACTTGTCATGTGCTAGTTACACCTTTGTCCATGTTAATTGAGACATTTTCACAGTAGTGGAGGCGGTGATTGTCATTATGGTTCAATAATAGAAATTAATATTGTGCTCAGAACTTAAATTGTTCCAGTATTCGCGGAACATTATGGTGTAGAACCTCTTTAAAATTCACTTCCTCGTAATCATGCGTATTCGTTTCTACTGCTAAATAAACTTGTGATTGGTGTCGAAGTGTCGTTGTTAATGTGAGGAAAGTTGTTCTCTGTGAATAATTTCTTCAGAAGGAAGAGTTCGCTAACAACCACAGCGGCGATAGAGCCGAATACGAGACATTCAAAAACCACCATGGCTGAAAACAGCACTGTAGATTTGCAATCAATAGCGCGATAACAACGAAATTGTACCAACTTTCTTGTAATTAAATTCGTAATTCGTTGCGGCTTCCGCAACTTGGAAAAGAGCCAAATAAAAATGTAATGGGAGACGTCAAACCCGTCATTAGTACTGATTGCTACCAATATTCTCTCTAAAATGCCGACTCTCTCGTAACTAGACAGATGAGGAGAATAAAAAAATTCATCAGTAACGGGAATTTGGCTTGTGGTAAGCACCAAATTTTTAGAAAAAATGTGTCAACGGAAATGAAGAAGAAATGGATACATTTAGGGTATTGAAAAAGTTTATAACGGATACAAAATAATAGTGGAATGTGAAAAACATTATTTATATTTTCTCGAAGCTAAAAAGTAAATTGTGCTGGCGAGAAACCTGCTAAATTGAATAGATTGAACAATTGACATTCATTGCCTTCTAAACTTTGTGATATAAAAGCTCGAAGCTTCTTCCAAGATGAAATGTATAACATGTAGCATAATTTTAAGTTTGTAGAATACAACTCATTTTCTTATAATTTTTAGTCCACCTTGATCCTAACTAACTCAATACATCTGCCTAAAAATGTGTGGAAAATCGAAGCAAGAGACTTTTCCAAAAAAAAAACATTTATGATGACTTTTGTAAAGCGATACAGTGTTCTTAACAGTTCACGATTGCCAGTCTTAAAATATACTAGGCTACCAAAAGGTGCCAGTCTTAAAGTATGCAAGGCTGCTAAAATGTGCCCAACTGAGTATTGCCTCTGCAAGACGTATTTATTGCTAAAAAAACATTTTCCAAGTTATGTTGTCCTCTGAGAAATCCAAGGATCCAGGGGTGTCCAAGTTATCATTTGGAGGCCATCAGTGCCAAAGCTTCTCCTCTGGAAACAAAAAGTGGTCCGTGCTTGAAGTACGGCACTTCCTCGCCTTTGCAAATTTTCCTCAGCACAAATGCTTCTATTCCTACCACAGCAGCCACGGTAACAATAACAAAGACCTCCACAAATACCATGGCTAGCGTAAGGTTTATCTTCTTTTCGATCGTGTGGAAAATCTTTCTGGTAACTTCGAATTGATTTTCAATCTCCTTCGAGATATGTTTTTTCGCTTTGAGGACGTTTTGAAGTTTTGCGGTTGGAATTTCGCCACTATCTTTGCCACCTGTAAGCTCTTATTTATACGTAAAAAAGCGCATGCTTTTGAATGACAAATCGAGTCATTATTTTGAGCCAAGGAATTTCTTTATTTGCTTACATTTGCATGAATTATTTTACGTCGGTGCTGCGAGATTGTTCAGCTCTGTTCCTGTTGTAAGTTAACTTCCAGTGCATGCCCATTTTGTTGTGTGTTTCGTGGAAACACATTTCCTGAACCCTTTCATTTTATATTTTCGGAAAACAGCGTTCATAATGTTTTTCGTTTTAATGCGTTAAAACATTTCAAAGCAAACGCCATTCATGTGTTCAGATTTTTATACAAGGATCTTTGTCATACACTTTATAATGACTTTTATCTAGCCTGTAAGCTCAAATACCCGTTTACCCCAGCATATTTCTGCTTCTTTCTAATAAATGGTGGTGGCTCATCTTGCACGCAATCGAAAATTTAAAGCACTTATGCATAGCACGTACGTCAGTACGTGACAAACTTTCTCGAAGGTGTCAATGTTATTTCAGCATCTTATAGCTCTTTCTAACGCTATCCTTTTGAAGACAAATAGTTCTAAATAATTAATTTTGTTATGTTGTGATCTAAACAGATGCCCGGTGAAAACCAATGTTATTGGTTAACATCACGTGACTTTCGTTTCCTGACGTCTACAAATTCCTCCGAATTTCAGCTCTATTTTGTAGAGTTTTATTAAGATGAAAGGCATAGACCAATTTGTCAAAAGAATATAACAATTTAGACTAGGAATGGCTGATATTAAAGTAAGTGAGTCCACGGCACCACCAGTGCTTGTTTATTTTTCTTTATCTTAAGTAAATCTACGAGCCTTTTTCATAATCCATATGAAATTGCAAAATGATATTTACACTGCGGTTGAATTAAAAAAAAAAAAAAGCTAGCAATATGATTGAATTTCAATTGCACGATGGTAACTTTCGCGGTTCGTTTCAATCTGAGTTGCATTCGAAACAAGAATACACGGCTGAAATGATTTTCACAATACCTTAGTTATGTTTGTGGCGAAATCCGCCACTATTATGCTTTTATTGATGAAATCACTCTTTTCCCCTTAACAGCAACCTTAAATAACTTGCCCAAAATAAAAATATCTTAAAGTTGAAGGTTTTTTCGGTTTTCAAAATGTAATGTGTTAAGAATTTTCCCTAAAATACCGGCTAGCCTTTATCCATTCTGAAACATGAACACAGAGTAAGTTCTTCTTCTTTCTCACAGATAATATTGTTATAGTACATCTACCCCCGCAAAATAAAGATAATTTCTGCCTCTCTAGAAACTGAACCATCGATTGTCAATTTCGTGAGTCTTACTCGCCGTTGCAAGCAAATTAAGCAGGTATCGTTTCGTTTGTCGATGGTTAGTCTTAAAGTATTGTACCTTAGATACTTTAAGATAATGTTAAACATTCTTGCCTATCGATAGAAAAATTAAAGGAGCAGTTGAGAAGTCTGGTATAAATTGTTTTGTGAAACTGTCCAGTTTTTCTAAGGACAGAATGATAAATGTAGTAATCACGCGTTGTTTTGTTCTTGTGAAGTAAGTTCGAAGCTAACTGAATTGAAACTGCACTCGACATCGAAATGTTCCATGGTATTACAGCAAATACGAACCGTCACCCGCCAAGTGGTATTTTGAGTTGACATGGACGCGGTACTCTTTTCCTTCGCATAGTTTCTTGAGCATGTACACATCTAGGAGTGCTAGTGCTGTGAAAGTGCCAAGAACGACAATTTCTACTACCACCATGATTGTTCTCCAACTGTTTTAACGTTAAATCTGCCTTATCCAAACGAGATTTCCCTCTGCAAATAGTAGTGTCTCGAGCTGTACTCGGATTCATTAGTGTCAAGTGTGCGTCGCGTAAAGGAGCACCTGCTATACAGCTTCTGTAAATAAGTGTGAAACTAATCAACAAGAATAGAATACCATTAGCGAACTACGCAGGTTGAAGATGTTTAACGTTTTGGCCGCAAGCCAGTTAGCTGAATTATGAAATGTTTTTCACTTAGTAAGCGTAAGAAAAGTTCTGGAAAACAAAATTTGCGAATTTCTAAATCACCTATCGTCAATAAACGAAAAGCTTTCGTTCGAAAGGTAGCTGTTCTTTACGAAGCATAGTATGATTGTTGATTTTATCAACGAGTAGATAAACAAAACAAAGCAAAACATAACAAAAAAAACTGGCAAAGACACATTCTTGCCTCTACAACACAATAACAACAACTACATCAGCTGAGATGTACACCTTACGAGAACCGAAAAAATAATAATCAGAGTTAATCCGTTTCTCAAAAAGAGAAACTTCTTATAATCCGGCAAATCGAATAAAACAATAACGAAGCCAATTCACTAAGAATAACCATAATTTAAGTCCAAAAACTATTGCTTGTACAATATTACACCAGAATCCATTTTCCTTAGAAGATAGAGATGTGAAAACTCCAACACATTGAAAACCAATGAAATTTTAGCGCATCCTTTAAGAACGTAGAAAATCTGCTTCAAATATCTCATTTCGTATTGATAAACCTTATATACAAAGGAATATACTTTCTAAATGTCTCATTTCATTCGCCATGTGTCTTTTAGGTTATAACTTGTCGTGGCTTTATCTCTTGAGCGCAAGCGTAGGTCTCAAAAACTGGTTTATCTCGCAGAGAAGTAAGGTATTGTCACTGGGAACACTTGTGCATACGGTTCCGTATCTTCCAGCTGATTTTGTTCCTCCCCAAAACATCGTTTCAGTAAGTAGATATCCAACACGCTAAATCCAGCCACAATTACTCCAAGGAAAACGGCCGTCACCACAACCATGCTTGGATGAAATGTTCCTTCCGTGGGTATTTCATCAATTGAAATGTCAAAATGATTCTGCTGAGCTACTTAAGTCACTTTTCGAAGTTACACACATATATAGCACATCACTACGTTTCGTAATTTTCAATTCTCAAATGAATCAACTTATTTGTGTAAGTGATGTTGGCTTGTATCCAGGCTGGCTTACTGCCACCTGCAAGAGGGAAAATGTATGGTTAAATTATTGACCAGGATTACAAAGGCGTTAGGCAGATAAAAATTTTCAGTACACTGTGATTTAGAATTAGTCATAAGTTCGTATAGTATATTAACCTGATTTTGTTGCGTTGGGTTTTTAAGAGTTCAAATTTCACACATGAGTGTTCATTTATTGACTCAGGATACTAAAGGCTACAACATACGCTCTTTTGCATACTTCAGGCTAATGTGAATAATACCGACTTACCAAACTGCCATGAATTAGGTTTAATAAATGTATTGCGATGATTAGTTTGGCGAAATACCAGGAGAAATGCGATTGTCGATTCCGTTATTGGACAATATAATTTTGCAGGGAATAAAGTCTCAGCCAAAGTCTCGGCAGATGATTGTATCTTTTAAAATTACTTACCATCCATAAACATGGAACACTAATAACCGCTAACCGGGTATTTCTTTCTGGCAACCTTTAAACCAAAGAGTTGTTTGAGTGTGAATATTGTGCTGGATTTGAAGCTAGAAACTTTATGCTCTAAGGTGTTTGACACTTCGAATTATAAGTTGAAATTTGTCCACTGCACTCCTTTTTACTGCTACGCGGATTGAAAATGAAGTGACTTAGAAAATCGCCCTGGTCTTTCTCCTCCTCAGTTTCGCTGTCAGCTCGATAAGAGTTTCTTATTTTGTCATGTAGGCGTTCATTTGAGCCCTGTGTCTTTGCCGGAGACCACAGCACAAACTTCCAACACAGTAAAGGTGAAATAATGTTACTCCGGCAACCAATAATACAGTCAAAAAAATGGCAAGAGAAAGCATTGTGATCGAAAACAATTCTCAAACACGGTTGGTCTTTTCCCCATCGATATCTCCTGAATATGTATTGTTTACCGAGCATAAGAATTTCACATCAGATTCAATTCTGCTCTCCAGTGGTCCTAACGACAAAGCCTATTCTCCTCGACAGCTTGGTGGAAGAATTTTTTTCAGGTTTTCGAAGTTTTACATCTTCATGGCATTAACTGCAATTTTTGCATTGATTTAGCGAATCAGAAATAAATTCCCCCGGCAATCTACAATTACTTCGCCATGATATGTTTCTGTTATGATAAGAAATTTTGTGTTGTGTCATTCAAATGCAAATAGGAGTACAACACTTATATTCTGACATATTGGAACTCGTTTATTATTTAGAAACAAAATTAAATATAATTAGCATATGGAGACGCACCATCATGAAAACAACGAACAATGATTTCCTTTCTATGGTGGGGGTAATCACAACCATCGTCTATTGCTTGCAGGCTCGTTGGCTCGTTCATTTCGCCCGAGAACTCAGAACACTACTGGCTAATTTTGCTCGTCAAAAAAAATAACTCAAGATGTCATTCCCCAACTCTTTAAGATCCGATCCAATCTTCCATTACCAAAGTTAATATTTTGTGTGGTGAAAAACTAACGAAACTTTATTACAACTTCTGAATTAGACATTAAGCATGATATACTTCGTATTTCAGGCCGGATTGACTGCACAAGATGCCCCTGACCGTCTGCTAATAGCCTTAGAACCGGAAGCCGCCTCGATTTACTGTCGGAAGTTACGTTTGAGGGACTGTTCATGGGCAGAGGAGACAAAGAGGAGGTCCACGGTCTCATCATCAATGGACGCGCTAGTCGGAGATGACTTTCAAGGTACTAATTTCGGGAAAACAGGGAGCCAAGAAAGCACAATGACCTCTATTGTTCCAGCCTTAGTTCGATGCTCTAAACCTGCGTCATATGTGTGGGTTGAGCTTGTTGTTGATTATCTTATTACAAGAGTTTCTCTCCAGTTGGCCCCAATTCTCCATCCTTTTCAAAAACCAACATCTTTAATTTCAAATCAATCTGAAACATGAACAGCAAAGATAGACAAGCAACCTCATGCTGTGTGTGCTCCTGCTAAAATCCAATTCATTACAATCATTATCTGCTTGTTTTAAGACAAGGATATCATAAGTGGTGCAACAATGTGATATTTAGTTTCATATACTTATCAGAGCGTTGGCGAGTCCATTTTACCTGCCCTCTAGGAGCTTAAACGCGCCCCCGGGCCTCCCTGGGTTACAATAACACTCTTACTCTTTCACTTCGTTGCTGACTTGACTTTTTTCTTGTATTCAGAAAACACTCGTTACCTGGTGGTGGATTGTGGTGGAGGCACAGTGGACCTTACAGTACACGAATTAGACTCACAGACTGGTACCTTACAAGAGCTTCACAGGGGCACAGGAGGGGCCTGTGGGGCCACTGGCGTGGACGAGCAGTTCGAACTGCTGCTAAAGAAAATCTTCGGGAAGGACTTCATTGAGCAGTTCAAAAATAAGCGACCCGCAGGTTGGGTAGACTTAATGATAGCTTTTGAGGCAAAGAAACGAACTGCGAGTCCAAACAAGACAAATCCACTGAACATTTCGATGCCGTATTCCTTCATCGACTACTTCAAGAAACACAAAAGCTCAAGCATTGATTCAGCGGTCAAAAAGTTTGGAAATCCAAACGTGAAATGGTCTTCGCAAGGAATGTTGAGAATTGCGCCTGAAACCATGAAAGAACTTTTTGACCCCGTGTTGAGCAAAATTGTCGAACATGTCAAGGACCTCATTAGTCGAGAAAGTGTTACCGGTCTAAAGTTTCTCTTCCTTGTAGGTGGATTTTCCGAGTCGCCATTACTTCAAGAAGCTGTGCGTAAAGCGTTTGAGTCAAATATGAAGGTAATTATTCCCCAAGAAGTCGGGCTAACCATTCTCCGAGGGGCGGTGCTGTTCGGATTGGATCCCACTGTTGTCCGAGTTCGACGGGCTGTTATGACGTACGGGGTCGGAGTCCTCAATCGATTCATTGTCGGAAAGCACCCAAGAAACAAACTCGTGAAGAAATCGGGCGTCGAATGGTGTACCGATGTGTTCGACAAATTTGTAACTTCCGATCAGCCACTGAAACTGGGAGAGAGTGTGACGAGGAGTTATGCGCCTGCCAAACCAGGACAAACTTCAACAATAATCACAATTTATTCCACGGAGGAAGAAAACGTTAGTTTCGTCACAGACCAAGGCGTCAAGAAATGCGGACAGTTGCTTCTGGAGATGCCAGAGGTGGAAAACACTGATATCAAGAAACCGAGGGAGCTTCAAACGAGCATGATTTTTGGTGATACTGAGATTAAAGTTACAGCTCTGGATATTCTGTCCGGCAAGGAAGCGAGAGCAAGCATCAATTTCTTGTCCCTGTGAAAAAGGGCGGAACATAACGAAACACACCGTCAATTAAATACTTAATTTGGTTTTATCAATTGAGTTTGTAATGGAAATTTGCCACCGTAGAGAGTTTCTAAAGCTGATATTTTATGCGAAATACCAAGGGCTGACTCTCGAAATGTCAGCTTTTTCTTTGCGGTGGCCGATTTATATTATCAACTTAGTTGATGAAAAGAAATTATCTTGCGATACCCCCCCCCCCCCCCACCCCCATCGATGCAGCATCACAAATGCTTGTGAAACTTACCCCCTTAATTCATTCATTGTACAACTAATAGTTTTTATTTAACACTGGGAAAAGTAGTTGAAGTCGAGTGGAAGTTTTTTTTTTCGTTTTAAAGTGATGTACCAAATGATTACCAGGGTGCGCGAGAATAATCGGAATGTTATCTTTGAATAATCTATCAGTTTCTAGACTATACTGTATTTTTAAATGAAAATTCCTGGATTTGATAAACCCACAAACTTTATGTCATGAGACAACAGAAAAGATCCGCTTTTTACGTAGAGGAAATGAAAGAAAGATGATAAATTCTTAGCTCGGTAGTGGAATAGAGAAAGGTATTGTTCGTCCTGTTACTGGCGTTTGACAAAGAAAAACTTTAAGTCACTTTTTGCAGCTGATTTGAAAAGCAATATATGAAAAAACAAGTCAAAAGGAGAAGCAGAGAAGAACACACCACCGATAAATAAGAACTCTTACTTTTATTAAGACCTCTACGAGGCGTCTGTAAAACGTGTTTAGTTCAGATACTTGATCAGGACGGTTGGCATACGATGATTTAGCTGATTTGTTTCTACTCTTCGCACTTCCGTTTTTTAGAACTCCGTGGCATACGGTGAAATAAGACGAGAACAACATCTTTTGATTATTCTCTTTGTCTTCAATTCCATTTTGAAACCTTTGTTACAGATTAGCATCATTTTGAGTTTGTGGTCAAACTCCACACCGTTTGACGATTACCGATCGCTGGTTTCGGTAACAGGTCGTTTTGTACCCACGGTCGTTTTCGTAATAATCTTCCAGATCTTAGGTTGATTTAAATAAGAACTGTTTATGTTGGTTACATATGTCCACTTTACGTTTGAATCAGGTCGCATTTACAATGACATTTCAATATTGAAGGACTTGTAACGTAACTACATACACCAAGAGGATGTTTCATATGCAGTCCTTTACAACTCAACTGGGTCGTTTCGTACCCAGTCAGCTGAGTCCTTCCGTACCCAGCTAGGTCCTTTAGTACCCAAACTAATAAAGTATATTCTCCATGTTAACTATTGGAGAAAAATATCACACTTTCACGAGCTGTTATTGTTAAAAAAAAGTCATAAGTATCTACAATAGACTTTTCTATTAAAAATATCTCACTTACCTTACGCTAGGCAATAATTAAATTGTTTTTGTTAAGGTCACAAGTATAAACAATTAACATTAACGTAGTATCTTCCTCGCTTGACTCTAATAATTTGTCGTAAGCAACGACTGACATCTGTTCGCACGCTGGCGCGTGAGGTATTCTGAATTAAGTTATGAATCGATCAGTGGTTTGGGTAAGAACCGACTTAAACTTGGGCACGAACTGACTCAAACTTGAGTACGAATTAAGTCCATTTGGGTACGAAATGACCGTGGGTATGAAACAACTGAATACCTTGGTTTCCAAGGCAAAGAAAAGCAAAGTGAAGCTTGTGCTGTATAAAATTTCCCCCACTTCAAGGGTGTGATCGATTCTTAAATATTTTCTCAGAAATTTAAATAACTGTGATCAGAGAATAAAAATATTTCATTTGCAGCATTTGACTATGAGAATCTAAACTACAGCTCAGTTCAGTTACTATATATTGATGATCAAGCTCCTTTTAGTTCTACTGCCACAGTTGAGGAAATTAACTATTACACTTGTTTAATTCCTGATTTGATTGGTGAGCATAAAAATGGTTTCCATAATCATATCCTGGAGTACCATTCAATCCTCAGTGAAGAGACCTTTTATTTTTTATTGAATTTAATTTCCATGCGCTGATAGTCATAATTTACTTTATAAATAATACTACTTAATGTTAACAATAAAAATCTTGCATTATGATCTCTCCAACCTTCTTTCAATAACAATGTTGTTTCTTCAGCTGCATTCTTTTCCAAAATTATTGATACTAGCAGCAAAAGAGTTTCTAGTATCTTCATAATTAAGCCATGTACTTTTTCTTTTTATCCCTGCATGACATGAATGGCACAATACTTTCCCTGATTTTTGGCCAGGCTTCTGTCATTTTTCTTTTACAGCACATGACACAGCAAGCTGGTGTATGCCACTTAATCAAAGTCAGGAATGTCTTCAAATGAGTATCCCCTATAACCTTTCCAAGCATAGTAAGCTATTCTGACATGGTAGAAGCCTGGGATGAACATTAGGGAACCAAGGATCAACAATGGATAAGTCCGATCAGCATACTGAAAAGGTAAGAGATGAGTAAAATCCAGCAAAAAAAGTGGTGCAAAACATGTAATAAGACTGTAGGTTTGACTCTCAGCTGAGTGAATTTTCCACTTACACTAAGATGACATTGTGATGTGAATGTTTTACATGAACTTACTAGAAATCAAAGTTAAAAAGCCATACTACTAATCAGTAGGGGTGGCAGGCATTCAAAATCAAACCCAATCAATTTAAGGCATTTGTGCCCTTTCTCATACTTATTTAGTACATAGGGTCTAGACAACTTTTGGTTCATTCAAATGAAACTTAGACCAGCTATTTGAAGAGGAATTCACTATACTGCTGGCTCTGTAAGTAGGCAAGATAAAATGAATCCTTCAATCTGATATGCTACCCAAGTAGTTAAGCTGACCAGTTTAAGTTTAGACCCCTTGATTTGTCAAAAAATGAAAGAATAGGTGTGGCCCATTATCAGAATTCCTTACCTTTTGGGCTCTTTTAATTGTAATATGAAATGTTTTCCCACTATTTTGCCAACAATAGACAACTAAAATGATTTAGCACTTCTTTGCTATTATTGTTTAGTTGCATGTAAAAAAAATCTTATCAACCTAGGTTTTCCAAATCATAACTCTACTCTTTTATATACTGCATTGTGTCTTATTTTACCTTTTATACTATTTATTTTACTATTGAATTTAACCTACATTTTCTGCCTTATACTTTTGCCTCTTTGTTTTTAACAAGCTTTAGACTGAACCTGAAAACTCATATTTTCAAACCAGTAGTAGTGATTCACATGTAACTTCTCCTTATAATATCCATCCATTATCCAACACAAAGGTGATAAGAGTACTCAAACTAATCAAGTTGTGTTGATCTAATACCAAGTTCTCAAAACTATGCATGCCATGGAATTAATTGGTTACCACTTGTAAAACTATACACACCTTCACATCGAAATATCCCGTAAAGAGTAGTGATCCAAAAACAAGTAAAAGAGTTCCCACGGAGAATAAGAAAACTGCCAGCAGTAAGGCCTTCCAGGGTACCTTTGGGGGAGGTTTTATAAACTATAAGTGAAAAGACCATGTTCACGTTATATTCATTTCATATAGGGTTTAAAACAAAGAGTTGGTGGTGGAGGTAGGATTTCCAAGTCAAACCTATAGGAGAAGTGCAACCCCCTGTAGTCAACTCTAAATTGTGTTGGTACTTATATTTGGCGGGCACATGTATGCATAAATCAACTCAATCAATCACCCAGAGTATGCAACGGTTCTGAAACTTTTTTCTTGATTGGGGCCTTGAAGTTTAAGATATGCATAATTTAAAAAGAACCAAAAAGATTACTAAATTATTATCGGAGACATCAAACGTAGCAACTCCTTTGTGGTCAAGGAGATGATTGGTACCGGGAATGGTATGCAAGCAAAAATATTTCTTTAAAGTAAAATTTCCGCACAGCCCCATGCTATTGTAAAACAAATCTGTTTTCCCAATGGCAATGTATTGTTATAGTCATTGTTTTCTCTATTCAAGATTGTGAGTTTGTTTCGTTTACTTGGGATCTTTACTTTGTTTCGCTTTTCGCCTTTTACGAGAACCTCAATTAATCTAATCTTGAAACTTGTTATCGAAATGAAATTGAAGAGTTGTTTCAAACCTGCGCGTCAATGTAGCCATCATCGTCAGAAATCTTTTTATATTTCACTTTACTTCTGATCATCGTTGTAGGCATTTTCTAACGCGCCTAAATTAGCCGAAAGCCCAGCTATTTGTCGATAATCCGTGATAAGAATGCCTGATCGAGAGTCATTCATACAGAATCCTTACGAAGTTTACGAAGTTGTAACCTCGCCTTCAAACCGATCTACAGCAGAAGCCCTGGGTACGAAATAATCGGAACAAAGAAAATAGTTCAAAAAGTCCTCATTTTACAATCTTGAAACCATTGGAATTAAAGTTTGAGAACTATTACAGTAGTGTGGATGGAAGTAGGCCACTTTCCAGTGAATACTGTGATGAATATCCTTCACAATCTAGAGTTTGAAAATGTTGTCATGGTTTCTGTGGTAAACATCACGTAAACTTTGGAGTTCCGTGAACTCCATATTTGGCAAACTGAGCCCACGGGTGTTAGAAATTTGTTTTGAAAGAACGTATGTTTTTCTAATTTATGATTGTTAGAAATATTTTATTCCCTTGACATCCTTTCATTCTCTTGTACTTTTGTTGATCCGGAATATAGAAACATGGACGGGGAATGTCTCTCTGTCACTGTGGTAGACAGAGTAACAAAGCTCGACACTCTTGGTGGTTATGTTTTCTTGGTGTTTCTGGTGTGTCTTATCATTGGATTTATCCTCGGTCTTTTGTTAGCACGGTGCATTCTAAGGGAATTGGAGGTAAAGTTCCTCTTTCACTTGTTTTCGTAAGAATTGTTTGTTGGTGTGTACACGCATGGTTCATTCATTAAGTTTGTCTATTTGAGTTGTCTAACTGATACGTATAAGTATGTTTGCTTAAATTATCCTGCTTGTAGATATTTTTAGAAGGTTTCGAAGCTAAGGTAAATAAGACTGTTTGTTCCCATTATTTGGTACAACTTCATGTAAAAAAGTAAGATATATCATAGTGGTAATTATAGCAAGAAAATATGATGTAATCCTTGACCTATCACTTTGCCTATATTTGTGTCATCTCCCACTTAGTAATTGAGCTAATTGATTACTGTTATTATTTTACCTTTATTACTACTATCATCACCAGCGTTTTGTTATTTTTTTTTTCTTTGTCATAATTACTGTTTTTACAATTTTCAAAAATATAAGCATTAAACTATGTAGGTAAGCTTCCTTTTTGAGCAACAATGTCACTTGATCTTGATTAAAGTTTTGCTAAAATTAATGTTTCAGTAGAAGTTGGACAAACTACAGAGGCACAACAACCTTTCTGATTGGCAAAACCTCTGTTCAATATGCCAAAAAACCCAAAGAAATTCTGAAAACAGTAGACTTCATTTGTTATTAGTTTTCAGGATATGAAGTACAAACTTTTCTTGTATTTTGCCAACATCTCATGTAAAGCTTTTTACACCCTAACATCAGTATGTATATTCTCCATACTGTTATCCATACATTTCCTAAGGTGCTGACAAGGAGAATTTGTGTAACAATCAAGAGCTTCTTCAGTGGGTGATCATTTTCTTTATCCTTATGATCTTAAATGAACGATTCAGTAGTATAAATGAACGGAGAAACTAGATGCTGGTCACCCTTAGGTTAGGCTGTTACAGGACACTGTACTTGTACCTTCAGTTACTGATGGAGAATGGGGACTATTATTTTACTAGACTGTAATTTTTAGTTTAATTTGCATATCCCTTTGTTCTAGTTATTTTAGTATAAGAATAATAAAACAGAAAACACAAATTAGGTTTTTAATTTTTTAAATCATCTTGAACTGAAATTAGGTTTAAACTACAGCAAAAATGTGAATTCAAATATTACGCATAGTGTCTGACTTGCAGGTAAACTTAGGAAATAATGTATTACTCAGTATTAGGCTTGTGTTTGATGGCAGTATAATTCATCAGGGATCAAGAAATCTGTAGAGACACACCCTTAGATACATGTACTTAGTAACAGTCTGTACTTTTGATATTTAACCCTTAAGCTCCCAGACGTGATTAACATGTAACCTCTCCCTATTATATCCCTAGTCATTATTTAGCAAACAGGTAATGTCAGAATACTTAAACTTATCGGGTAGAAGTTGTTATCTTGATCTAAACACCAAATTCTCATAACCAATTAAAAAGGAAATGTGTTGCAGCAAGAGGAGAGAATTAACAATTAGATCTTGAGAGTTAAAGGGTTAATTAGCTCTGATTTTATACAACATAGGAGCAATACTCCCAAAGGAGAAGTAAATCACAAACTGAAGCAATTCTTATTGAAGTAGAGAATGAAGTAAAAATACAAGAGACGTCTGGAAAGGCAAGTTCTTGTTATTTTGGTAAATACATGTAATTCATCTGTTTACTGCTCTGAGATTGGTTGGACTTTGTTGAAAGTGTCAAATCTTGGTGAAGCTACTAAATATTAACATAGACAGGGGTATGAGTGGAAAATATTTCTCGAAAAAGGTATTACTTGTAGTACTTATCATCTTCAACTTGTCTTTATTTTTGTATGTAGACTTCACCTGAAAATATATTATTCAAGGTTTATTTCACAGTAGATTTGGAGATTATGGGTGATACATATAATTCTCAGTAGTTAGAGTGTGTATTGGCTATTTTGGTACACATTTGCATCTTTTTTGACAAGTGGTATTTGATTTAGTTGAGTTAATGATGTTTTATGATACATATATTTTAATTTACCTGTTATGTATAAGATGTATGTAACAACTGCTCAGATTATGTCAAAGTAGCTATTTCCATTGTCTCTTAATCATTCCAAATAATGAGATTCCTGTAGCCCTATGTTTATACTTTTATTCTGTAATAGAGCTCAGGATTCAACAAAATGTATTAGAATGTCATTGACAAAAGAATCGTTTCTTGTCACATAACTAGAAAATGGGCAGTAACAGGATAGCTCCAATGCCTGTGTCAACCAAAAACACAGCTGATATAGCCATAGAGATGGAACCCACCCACCTTAGCACTGGCAGTCTTCATAGTCAATCAGCTTGGACAGGAGAACAAGACAGCAACAACTCAACAGTTGTTTATGCCTTGAGCAAATCTTCAGGGTAAATTCGTAATGTAGTTAGTTTATTCTCCAATATTTGATGATTTAACATAACACTCCTAAAGGTGGTTACATTGTAACCTCTCTGCAAAATCAAAGAATTTTGTAAGCAACAAAAGATAATGAAAATGCAAAAATCTATCACCTAGAGGGTATTTTCCTGATATAACACCAAATTTGTGGAACAAATGTTCACAGAAAGGTACAATGCAGCTTTAAGAGAAAATTAGTGATTAGATGTTGGAGTTAAAATGTTAACTGAATCTTTGACTGGCCAGAAGTTTTTTGAATATTAGACTACCCATGATAAGTGATATGACATTGACATCACAATGGCATCTCCTATAGAATTCCCCTGTAGTTTGTAATTTTAGATTGATCATGGTTATCCTCTCCTTCCTGAAGTAAATTAAAATGATCATGCTTGAAGGATGTATTATGATATTTTTTTATTAGAGAGGAAATGGAACTTGAAATTCAAAAACAAGATTTCAAGTCAATTGAGGAAATGGAAACTAATATCCGTCTACAGAAGAGTGAGGTGTGTTTGTTACAATATCTTTAGAGATCAGAGAGTGACATAGTATGTTTGGTAACATAACGGTTTTTTATTTAATATATTGAACAAAATGTTGAGACTAAGAAGTGTTCTTAAGGTGACTAAAACATAAATTATTGTTTTCCTTACTTTAACCCTTAACTCTCATGAGTGACCAAGACAAATTTTCTCCTTACAATATCAATACAATATAAAGTAGACCAGGGATGAGACAAGGAGATTATTAGTTGATCCAATACCAAAATCCTCTGAACTTACATCATAATAACTGTATGGCAGACACTAGGAGCCCAGTAATGGGCTCCTGCAGACATTAAATCAAATGCTAAACTAAAATCAATTACAACTTAGCCACTTGCATAATCCTGATTACTTCAGGTGGTTTTCTTGTGTTTACTTTGAGTTACCATGGGCTACTAATATTAATTTTCTTTCTTCTGATTTGCTGCTGAGATTTCAACTCTCAATAGAAAAGTACTCTTAAGAACAATCTAATCACTCAATTGTTTTTTTCATGATTTCTGCAGACATTCCTACAGTTGTTGAAGATGATTTTGAGTTTCTTGGTGAGCAAATCCAGAATAAGCGAAGGGTTTCGAAGAGATTCTCTGGCCAAATATGAGCAGGTAACATGAACATCTCTATTTTTGTTATAAATGATTTTTCATGTATGTCAGTTTTTTTGAGGCGTTTGAATATATATTATGATCTTACTTAAGGGTGTTATGGTAATCTACAGTACACGTACATTGGTGGAAAGAGGGATGCAGAATTAAAGTTGCTTTTTGTTCTTAGATTGCTTTCTTGTAGACCTGCAACAGTCTTCTAATGGATTTGTGCCTCTTTTTTTGTAGGCAATTGAAGACATAGACAGGAATGCTAAGGAGGAGATGCAAGCTGAAGAACAGGTAGTCTATTAATTGAAATCAATCATCCAATCTTTGGTAGATTTTTGTTATTTAACCGCTTAGCCTTTTAAAAGATAGTTAATTAAGATTAATTTTCTCTTTTAAGTTCAGGTAGCTAATATAGAGTCAGAAAAAACTGAAAACATTCTGATCCTTTCACTTTAATTTGTGTGCATTGATGCTAACTCTTCTTCCAACTGGTTATTTTCTTTGGATCAAAATTCTCCTTATAATTTTTACAATGTAAAAACCTTCTGTATGCATGGGTTTGATTCCATTGTTCACACAATCCATTTATTACTAACCTCAAGATAAGGTTAGCAGCTGTATATGTTTCTTACAACCACAAGAGGCTGACAGACAAGAATTCTAAATATGCCATTCTCATTACAGTTCCTCTTCACTTTTTTCACTCACTACATTCATGACACCTCTATTTTTTGATTGAAATAACTGTAATCATAAGTACTTGTATTTTCATTGGTACTATTATTATTACTACTTAAAGCAAGATGATCAAGATGAATTTATTACAAGATAATTGTATGTCTTAATAGACATTTCTACATTCTAAATGTTACTTAAAAATTTCTTAATTAAGGAGCTTAGAACAACCATTGTGGATCCCATGAAGCTTGATCAAGCAATAGAGGGTCTTCATTCCAAGTACTCTAAGAGAATGGTGAGTGTCAATTTATTCCTCATCAGCTTTTGCTATGATATATTTTTTTGTATTTAATGTGATTTTGTGAAAGGGATTTGTATCTTCAAAAAGAATAACACATTTAACAGTGACCCAGGAAACTCTACTACTGCAAGTGTTGCCTCAGTCCACTTGAGTGCAAACAAACTTGGGGTGTGACAATTATTTTTTGGACATCAAATAAAATGAAATTTCAGCTTCATTCAATGAATATACGAGAGATATCAAACTCCTTAATGTGTGTTCTGTAACTTAACAGGCTACAGAGAGAATGGAACTACAGGAGAAACTGAGAACAGATCTGATGCAGGGCACTGAATTATCAGAACAAGAGGTGAGTTGGAGTTTGGTAAGAAGCAGTTACCTCAATTTAACATTGAGTAGACGAAGTTGAGCAAAACTTGACAGCTGATTATGCTGATCAATGTTTCTAAAGCAGTTTTAGTTATTTGTATAACACATAAACTTTGTAGGATTGACAGATGTGCCACGTTGATACAGTTTTATAGTTGTTCCTGTGGCTTTTGTGAATTTCATGAGTTGTCCTGTGCCCATCGTTGCTCTCCTTTTTCTCCCCAGCCTTCTTGAATTCATTAATGGAGGTTTGACATTTTATATCAGACAGCTCATGATATTCCTCAGTGTGAAACTGAGATGACCACAACAGAATTCTAAGAGATTCCCCAAAATTAAATGTGAATCTCCTTGTAAAAGCTTTTTATACCAATAAATAAAGAAAATATCCCTTATATGTCAGATAGAGGATAAGGTGGACCATTAAGAAGTAAGGAATCCTTTTTTATAACAGGCAGAGCAGATTGTTGCCAAACTCATGATGAACATGGCTGCTGTTGACAAAAGGTTGGCTGAGGAAGCCAGTAGGCAGAATAAGGTATGCTACTAATACTTAGTAAGGCTTGAAACAGTGGGTAATTGATAAGAATTATATCCCCTTTGATAATCGTAACCATATTGTTTACCAATGACAGCCTTAGTACGCTCTACTGCTTCTCTTTTATTAAACATGGACAAATGTCGTTTCGTTCACCAAAAGGGTTTACTGTCTATGAAACATATAAAAATGATTTTGTCGCTTTGATTTTTAAGTGATCAGTTTAGATCCAACAATAATATAGAACAAATGAACAAGCCATGTAAAAATAGGGAAAGAAACACTTGTCAAAACTGTAAAGGGGGTAAGTTTCTAAAGAAACTGTAGTGCTGTAAGAGCATAACAAGGTAATTTAGAATTATCAACTGAATTGATAACGGAAGTTGGCCACCATAAAGAGTTTCAAAGCTGCCGTTTCACTCTGACGAAGGGCTAACGCTTGAAACGTTACCCTTAAAACTCTTTATGGTGGCCAATTGTACGTTATTAACTCAGTTGATAATACTAAATTAACTGGTCAAAACTGCCAAGGGTACGTGTTTTTCTTCCAGTTTTGATTCTTGACTACTTCGAGCTTCAAGCCACCAATTGCAGTTCAAGGTTTTAACGTCTGTACAGTTGTCTGTTAATGTATTTGCCAGTAAGTAGTGTATAAAATGGTCTTATCGATTACCCTTAGGTTTTACACGAAAGACTTGCACGAAGACAAGCACTTGCTCAACAAAGAGTTGCAGATAATCAACAGGTTTGTCATGACCACATTACTGGACATTTGTTTAACGCGGAACTTTCTCAGCGTTCAGATTTATTTATGTTATGATCTCAGTTTCGCTCTTATTTTTCCTCCTTTTTTCTATAAGAAATTTGAAAAGATTGAATCGGTTTTCAAGTTCACTGCTCCCTATACTAAATTTTTTCCCATACTTTTAAATTATTTACTTCTTCGAAGGAAAAAGAGGAATTTGACGACCGAATGAAACAGCCGCAGAAGAATTTAGACGTTTTGTGCAAAAGGGGAAAGCTCTCAACTGACCAGAAGGACAGGTAGGAGTAGTTTATAACAAGATAAAATTCGTATGCAGATATCTTTAATTGTAGAGTGGTCAAGTTTATCATGTCTTAACACTCGTCAAATAAATCTTAACATTCCTTATGAACAAAGTCAATACATGATCAAAAGCACTTCTACAAAAGATGTGAAAATCAAGTGTGGCAGCCGTACTTACCATGTTTTGACTTTATTTTGGAAATCCTTGCTTCATTCATTTTTGTTTTTTTCGTAACTTTGAGACTTTCGTTACTCTAGCTATACTCCCTACCCGGGATTATAGTGGCGCTATTTTCTGATTGGCTCAACGAACTTGTAATGATTTCACCGAGGATTTTCGCCGGAATAATGCTCCCTGAATATTCTGTGGACAAAGAAGTAACTTTCTGTTTATGTTTAATTCCAAGGATCATGGATGAATATGAACAAGATCTCAGAGTTTTAGAAGAGAAACATCAGCAAGGTTTGGAGAAAATAAACATAACTATTGTAACTTCCACTTCAAACCAATGAATATCAAAACGATCTTCGCTGTAATGAACACTTCTTAGGATGTAGTGAAGATAGGGCTGGAAAAAATTCAGGCTTGTAGGGATTTGAACCCATGACCTCTGCGATACCAGTCTAGTGCTTTACCAGCTTATGGTTAACAAGCCAACTGGGAGCTGTTCATTTTGTTGGCTCGTAATAAACCCATGAGGTGATAAACATCAAACCAGATTCTAAACCTTAGTCTCTTAGGGGCGTAACTACCTGTATGTACTTTACTTTCTACGTGGACGTTATGGAATGGTGTAGTGTTTTGACAAGGTCGACTCAATGTTATTTGAGTGAAAACAATTTCTCGGAAGAAACTATCCAACTACGTCGTCGGGAAATTGCAAAACTTTTTTATCAGCTACAAGTGGTAAAGGTGGATACTTTACAGAGGCGAATTTTGAAGAGTTAACTTTTCAAAATTATGCCTTGAATAAGAAAAGATTGCTTGGTTCTACACGGAAGCATGGACAACAAAAGTCAGTAATCTTAGGCTTTTCCTTTCATCATCGGCTGGTGTCGCTTTGGCTCAAGCTATCTTGACTGGAATACTACTACTACTGCTTATCAGTCATGCCTCTTTCGGTTTTATTTCATGAACCATGACAACGCATAACATGCCCAAAGACAGTTTGGACAACGCAGCATGATACTAAAATGCGGCAATTGATGACTTGTAACTAAAAAAAAAAACTTCCTTCCAATAACTACAAACTTGTAGATACTCATTCCTTTCTAAGGAATTTATGGATTACTTGAACACACCTTGAGCACTGAGCAGTATTCAGTAACTCTGCGTTATTGCAAGATCTTAAAAGATATCAGTTCCAGCACACGGTACTTCATAACCTCTGTTGGTTATTGCTTCTTGTCTCATCATCAATCTGTCTGGCAGAGGCGCGTTTGATGATTGTGATTTTTCAATGCCATCTTTTTGCAGCTATCCTGAAAAGCCAAAATGATTTAAACGAGAAGCTCAGAAGAAAGCGGGAGCAAAGAAGGAGAAAACTAGAAATGGAACAAGCTGCAGAAAAAGAGGATTTTGAAAGGAAGGTAAACAAGATGATCTTCTTCCTTTTTCGCTCTCTGGCCTTTTTCTTTTGTCTCTCTTCCTTGTCTTCTTCGCAGCCTTTCTGTTGTCTCGTCACCTCGTCACGCAACTTCCCTACAGGTCGTCATGTCACGCATAAAAGATGTGTGTCGTGATGTGTGACGTATTCGGACATTGGATACGAAAACGTCTTTTAGACTTGTTGAGCTTATTTTGCTATTATAACAGGCCAACCAGATGATCACTGACGGTAACATGACAGCTGAGGACTTCCTGGAGGCAAACCACAAACTTAGAGTGCAGCAGCAAGTTGCGCGTGAAGAAGAGGAGGACAGAGCTGATGAGTTCGAAGTGGAAGAACTGAACGTCCTCCGAGAGGTTGGTGTTCGTTACGAAACCGGTTGTGTGGGTACAATAAATACACCGAGTGTAAAAAAAATGAAGATTACTATGGTTGAAGAATAGTTTTCTCAATGTAATACGTGCTCGACGTGACTTGCAGTCGAGAACTTCCTGTGAACACTCTGAAATATCCCTGAATTTAAGCGCCTATTAAGATTCTGGACGAAAGTGGTGCGAAATATTACGTATTAATATATCTCTTTCTGTAGTATATAGGCATACATAGAAAAATCGCACAGCTGAGTAACTATAGCGTGCCAGACTCTCTTTTAATAAAAAAGAGCAAAAATACGGACGCGCAGTAAAACAGCCGCGGTTAGGCGAAGAAAAATATGCAGTCGTTTCTTTGAAAACCGTCGTTTTTCGCCAATCTTTTTGCGTCGAATGACAGAGAGTCGGAAAAGCTAAGTAGGAACCTTTCTGACGAGTTAGACACCCTCCGCCAACTCGACGTAACTCTTGACATACTGACGTCACAACTTGCCGTTTGTGCCACTTGGCTCCGACTATTTGATTCAAACCGCACGCTCTAAATTTTTGTGAGAATAAGAACAAGGCATGTGACTGCCATATTTTCATTAATATTTCAAACAATAGAAACTGGAGGAAAAGCGACAGCGCAGTTTGAAAGAAAAAGAGGAAACGTTGTTTGAACAGATTAGAAACGAGGCGCATCTGTCTTCAAAGGAAGCTGAGAAATTGGTGAACAAGCACCTGGAAGAAGTCAACGAAGCAAACGGTTGGTAAAATACAATGATGTTTCTTAATAGTGAGAAAGAGCTAGCGACGCAGATGAAAGGGGAAACGAGTTTTAGTGTTACAAAGGTTGTAAGGCAATGTCATGATATTCTGGAAAAGGCCGAAATTTCCTTTCAACTACAGAAATAAGGAAAAGTGGTACTTTGAAGAAATCTCTGAGTCTCTTGGAAATATTCCAGCCTCATACATTTTATTTATTTATGTATTATTTATGTATTTTTTGTTATTACTAGGTTATCCGTAGAACTGAAGGTTTCACACGCACAGTTATTGACTCTTTGCTTCACGCTCTTGTTGTTACTGGTGTTGTTGTTGTTGATTAATACCATGCAATTTCTAATATCGTACCACCAGTTTTGCTGGACGCGAGAATAAGGTGTCTCATCTGAATATCTGTAACTGAAAAAATACCCAAATTTTATAGAGTTAGTCTTAATTTACTCTGTCTCCCAACTGTGTTTTCCTATTGCATCTTTAGAAAGGAAAAACCGTGAGCGTGAGAGGCAACGAGCTGTGATTCAAGAGAAACTGGAAGAAAGGAAAAAGAGATGGGAGAGGGATTTAGAACGACAGCAAGCTGAACAGAACCAGTTGGTTGCAGAGCAAGAGAAAGCCATAAAACAAGTGTTAAATACCCAAGCAGGACTCGCGGAAGAGTACGTACAAACAGAGAAATTAAGAAAAGAACTTTACACTTGATGTGAAATGTTAATTTAGCTTTAAAACTGATTAGGAGCTGCTTCGATATTTAATAATTGTAGGTTCGGTTGAAACGTTTCACCGTGCACCTTTCAACACCACTTCAAGCGATAGAGCACAGAGAATTGACATCAGGAAATGTATGCCCGTATTAATTTTGGTAGTTTCAGTAATAGTGGTCAACACGAAGGAACGGACTTTTTTGAGAAACACTTAAAAATATACTCCAACACTAATTGTCCACATCCACAACGGAAAGGTTTTCTTAAAATTTCCCTTAACATAATGGTTAAGAGAAGAATATAGCTACGTGGACTGGTCGATACAGAGTCGATTTTAAAGGCGGATCTACACTCGATCAAATCAACAGCGATGAAGTTTAGCGTTAATATCATGTAACGTCAATTTAATTTCCTATGAGAAGACAATATCAGTTGCAGTAAGACAAGGATACAATGCATACACTCGATCCCATTCTAGCATGTACTTTGTTCTTTCGGTTTTTCCTCTCGTACCCACCTTCTTTGCCAAAGCTCATTGATATCTCCCTGTTGTTCAATCTATTTTTTCTTTTCTAACTTCTATATTTAGTATTTCCCACAAAGATTAACATGTTCCATGTGCCCCTCTAGAGGTGGCAGGGAAGAAAGAGAAGTTTGCTATCGTAGTAACTATCAATCTCTTTGCTCCCACAGATTACGTAAACAAGTAATGCTAGAACACGAGCAGAACATGATAGCGCTGAATGATCATTTACAGATGACGAGACTGAGACAACAGAAAAGGTTTGTCTAATAATCTATCGGAAAGAATGAAACGGATTTTGATGAGATGGCAAATCAGGAGTTTTCCTCACGCATTCTGAAGACGAATATACCTTATGTAGCCTTACTTGGATGGATTCCATTCCGTTTCTGTCTCATTCCTTTAGATGGAGCAAATTTGCTTGTTCTTACTTACTAATGAAACTGTGCCATGCATGATCGTTGGATTATTTTTCGTTGAAAAAATTGTTTCAGAATTTTCGGTGAAAATTGGTCTAAGTTTGAATAAAAAAAAAATTCAGCAGTTCACTATAGAGCAGTTTTCAAGTGAATGTCTGATAAGGCTATCTAGGATTGTTTTGGTTTTGCTTAATTCGCTCTGTGATTGGTCCAATAAATTCGCGCCACCCTCTCAACCAATTAGATTCAAACCTTAAACCAATCGTGATTTGATCACTTGCGTTTTGGCGCGTTTCATGCAGTTTGCCTATTTTTACTTTGAGTTCTCATTGTCGACTTTTCTTAATATTGGCTATTGTGATTACTTTGGTTTTGGTTTCTCGAAACTCAACTGAAAACTCCTCTGTACAAATAACAAATTGGCAAGAATATGAAAACCTAAAGAGAATAAGGTAAGTAACGATGGAGAGGACTAGCACGTACAACAAATGACAAACTTGAAAATTTCAAGGTTATAACAAACCGTAAGTTAGCGTAGTATTGTAACGGGAAAAAGAGTGTTCCTGAGATGAACTGCAGAAGCTAGTGACTCTCTTATCCATTTGTTTCTTCCCTGCAGATTGGAACAGCGCCTGGCAACACGACGAGCCAGGCTGGCTGAAATGAGGCAACAGATGGAGATGGAACGAAAAGAACACGGTGACAACGATCCAGAAGCCATGAGGAATCTTGCAAGAGTTCAGGTTGGATTTTCACATCACTCTACCAAGTAATACTGCTTTAATCTTCCTGGGAATTGCTGTGATTCGGATGTCAAATCGTGTATATATTTTTTTTCCATGTAGAACATTGAATATCAAGCTGAGGTGAAGAAAATCGAGGCTGAACATCAGACGGCTTTAGAAGAATTGAGAAGGTACATCGAAAATGCAAGCCTTGAATTTCGTTGTTGTTTGACGTCATGTTTTCTTAAGTAATAAAGTCTGGGTCCAAAACAAAGACAATTTGTCGATAATCGTTTGAAATTTTTGTCATTTACAGACGTTTAGCGGCCGAGACAGAGGAAGCTTTAAGAGAACAAGACGAGAGACTTGGTAAAATCCTGGGCAAACTGCAGGTGAGCTGATTACAAATATTCGTCTTTGAGTCGTTCTTTCCACCGTTTATTTTTCCCTCTTCCATTTGTGTGCCATTCCAATACACAGCACTGGAAAAGGCGCATTTGGGTGTGTCCAATCCTCCATAATCCCATCCATTCGTTCTTTCTTACGTTTCTGAACCAAATGCTTAACAAGCCCTCAAAGGCAGTGAGTGTCGCACGTAATCCAAGATTACATTGGTCCGCTTCACTACCCTCTTTGATTGGTTTATAAAACTCGCGCCACCCACCCAACCAACCAATCAGATGTAAAACTAAAACCAGTCGCGCCTTGAGCTTTAGGTAGTTTGCTTAATTCTACTTTGAGCCGGTTGTCATTGGCTCCTTTTTATTTTACCTTCCTACTGATTGACCTTTGTGATTGATCTCTGTGGTTTTGGTTTTACGACCCTTCCTCATGTAATATTAGAAAGTATTGATCAGCATCTTCTCTTGTGTGCTTCACTTGAAGGTTGCAGTAGCTAGGCGGGAAGAGATCATTAAAAAGCAAGACGAAGCTATCCGTTCCCTGGAGGTAATAAATCAATTAGCTCTAAGGTCAGAGTAATTATTTAGTTTACCTTTCACAGGAACCAACCAATTGGAAACTTCTGGCCCCAAATATTTCAGGACTGAACATAACTTTATAACAGAAGGAAAATGTTCAGAACTTACCAAAATCCACATAACAGAAGAAAACAAAACAAGTTTCAGTTGCCCGTGATTTTTCAAAACATTCCAAAGGCGCGTTTTTCCATGACGGAAAATTTTTTATGTTCTTTTGTTTTTCACAGAAAAAGCTGGTAGAGAACATGACGAGAGAAGGCACGTTAGCTGATGCACAGACTGATAAGATTTTGAAACAACATCAGAAACAAGTGGACAAGTTGAATACACAGATAGATATGTAAGAATGAAACATTCAACCTTGGCTTTCGATAAGCTGGATTTTGTTTCTTAGGACTGACTTAGAGGATCAAGCTAAGGGAGAAAGCTATAGTTCCATTGGAGACACATACTGAAGCATAAACAAACCGTCAATTACTTGCAAGACAGAAGAAATAATCAAGAAAGAAACATGTTTTTATAAATTTTTCTTTTGCTATTAATGATATTTTCTGTGTTTCAATTTTTCTATTAACTTGTAGGGAGAAGGAAAAACAGATGCAAAAGATTCGAGAGAAAATTGCAGCAAAGCAACAAAAGAAAGCGAGGTAAAAATTTTGTGCGCTACCATTTAAATGACGTTATTTGTGATTGTTGCTCATGTTACGTTGCAGAAACCAGGAATTATTAATAATTAATGTTAAGGTGTCCTACCTCTTACTTCATATTTGGCAATGGCCTGACCTCTACTGATTTGGTGTCCTTTAGCAAAACAAAACTCTTTACCCGTGTTCTGTTCATCTCGACTTACCCGTATACTTTATAGCTATTACTTACATCACAAAACTCCACTCTACAACAAACTTCACCGTAAACAGATTTGGAAATCCACGGTTATTTTTCAGAGCTTTGGAAGCGAAACTTTATCAAGAGAAAGAAGACCAAAAGAGTAAAGCTGCTCAGTAAGTTCCAACTATTTATGTCATTTTTTCCAATTAATTTATTGCTTATCGAGGTATTTCTAGTGTTAGCCTTTTACAATCGCGCTTGAGTATCGTTTTGACGCCGACGAAACAAATCATGATTGCGGCGTGTTTTATTCAACTTAATTCTCATATTGCTTTCTTTGCAGATCTGCGGGAACCAAGATAATCACACTTTTAGCAGAGCAGCGCCACAGGAGAGAAATGGAGGTACGTCTGACGACTGTCTCTCACTCATTCTTTTTTATGATCTTGGTTTCTCTCTGTAATCGTTTCCTTGTCTCACTTACTCAGGACCTAGAGCGTGAAATGCAGTTGGACCTTGCGCGTCAATTGGAAGAGATCAATAAAGAAATGGACGAACAACTCTTGGCGGACTTGCAGGTTTGATGACTATTTTTTATATACTAAGCTGAATTACGCACGCATTTTGATTGGTTCTTACTCAACCTTTTAACCCCTGAGAGTGACTAGCATCTAATTTCTCTCAACAGTATAACCCCTGCATCACGCAGTAAGGTCATGAGAATAAAGGAAACGATCGCTAACTAAATATTCTCTTGATTGATAAACAAATTCTCCTTGTCAACACCTTAGGAAATGCATAGAAACAGTATGGAGAATATGCATACTGATGTTAGAGTGTAAAGGGTTAAGATCTATTGAAGGACAGACGCATAGTTGACGTCGCTATTCACAAGTTTCTGCTTTATTATTATATGAAACACATAGATTCCATTTTTCCGTGGGTCTGTACAGTCTAAGCTTAAGAAGGTATTTACTTACAAATGCGCAATTTTTTATTTATCTGTAGGAAGAAGAGAGGAAGTTTATTGCGACTTTAGCAGAGAATAGTGCAGCAACTGAAGAAGAATTGCTTGAAACAATCAAGAACTCTGCGTCAGGTAAGAAAACCCTCCTGCGGTCTTAATTGCTTTTTTTGGTTATTAACCTAGAAATAAGGTACGTGATACTACATAGTGAACCAAACTTAGTCTTATCAATGTACCCAGTTTTTCCACTGGTTGGATAATGGCCAATAGTTAAGCCATGCATACATGGGCCATACACACAGTGCTTCTCTCAGCATCCCCACTTTGTATTAGAAATTGTGACAAATTGTGCACGCTAAGAGGTATGGGGTGTGGGGTAACTTATGAAGGACGAGCATCCCACTTAAGGAGAGTATCAATACCTCCCGTCTCTTCGTGCTTTGGAAGCTGAAATTAAGTCCAGCGGCGCGTGTTATTTGGGTTTTACGCAAAACCCTTGTCTTTTATCCCTACGGGAAGTTAGATTCTTCGTTGTATATAAATGGTTTGAAAATCCACAGTCTGGTGTGAAGTCAACAGTAGCATCATCTTAAACCATACAATAAGTGTCAAATAACCCTTTTACTGTTTTACGTTTTGACAGAAGTTGGAATGGACTCTAAGCTGACAAAGAGTATCGCGAAAGACGTTCGTAAACGAGTGAGAAGCGCCCGAACTCCTGCTCCAGATGTATGACCAGTCACTTGGCCACGTGACCTAATTTGTTACTGCAACTGGGTTTACTGATCTCTTTTGAGTTTAATATGACATCACTTAATTTTGCATGTTGTGTGATGTCAAACTTAAGAATACATGAAGAGAAACTCTCACTGAGTTTTGATACTAGTTTTGGATTTCGTTGGTTTTGTGGTTTTGCTTACTTTGCTCCGAGATAGTTCGAGGAAACTCTTACCAAACTAACGCAAACACGACTTGGTAAGTCTCATTTCCTGCTAGTTCACCGTCAAATGTAGCAAGTTCGACTCACCTCACCCGGACCTCTCACCACTACCGACAACAATCCTTCTCAGGACCACACTCACCCGGACGATCAAACTATACCATCACATAAATTTTCCTTATGGTCTCAAGATTTGTATCATTCAAATTGCTCCCAAATTAATAACTTACGTATTTAGTTCATCAATTTGATTCTCGAAAAAGTATAACCAAGCAAACGCAACGACCAATCAGAACACAAATTTACAACATTAGTCAATAAGAAATTAAAGCAAACACAGGTAGACGCGAAAGAAACTGAATATTTAAAGCATGCATTATTAGATGCAAATATTTATTAAGTTTTCCGATTTGAGGAAAACATTGTTATTACCATAGGACCAATTTGTTTTGAAAGAGTTTGTTACCATTAAACGAATGAGATCAGTTAGATCCTCTACTTGTGGCAGTTTTATTTGTCAGATCACCCCTCATCTAACTTCACTTTGCCTCGATTATCTTCTTTTTCCTTATATACTCCTTTCTCCATTTCATTCCAAAGTTTGGGTCTGTAATCCTTCCTTCTAAGTGCTACACACTTATTAGAAAATACTTTAGAGAATAAGGTGTTTTATCATTTTATATTTTGCTGAAAAAATTTTTCTATTCTCAATCCTTCCTTGCTTGCTTGGTGTCCTTCGCAAGCGTTCTTTGTGATGTGGCGCGACGCTCCCTGCGCCATCCTGAAGAACGGCTCCGAAGGAGACAATTGCTGGCCCGAATTTTTTTTCACAAAGAGGAGTGACATGTATCACTGGAAAAGTAAGGGTTAACAGAAGCTGATTCAAATATTAATTGCATTGGTCGCAAGTCTTGTGATTGGGTTAACATGCGATTTCCTTTAACCAGCTGGAGTTGCATCCCAGTGAACGTTGACAGTAGCACAATCCAGTCGCTTTTGAAATCTGAACATCCTTTACAGTTCAGATTCAGATACAAAACGACAATGAAAAATAATGACCAACCTGAAAATTGTCAGCTGTCGGGCGTTACTTTTCTTAACCAAACGGACTTAGCCCGAGTGCTTTTCAGAGTCCACCTGACCTGATATACAAACAGGTCTCCATGAACAAAATTGAATCCTTAGTAGACGCCAGAATTGCAGTCTTTGGAAAAAAACTGCTGTAGCGTCATGGATGAACCGTGGATTTATTTTCAGAGCTTAGTTTTCTATCGCAAATAATAGCTTTCAGTTGACAAATGATGCCCTCAAAATTCTCAGTATAGTTAGGTTTACTTCTAAATCAGCTTGATTTGCTCCTGAATCGCTAATCAGTCTATAATACTATAATTATCGCTGCTGGTGCGCAAATAATTTGCCTACACTCCGCCAAGTAGAGCGCTAAGGGACTGGCACCGGCATTAGCATAAAGAATGAAACAAAGATGGCGGCCTCCATGCTGAGTCAAAGTAAGAACTTTACATTTGAGTCGTAATTTCTTTATGCTTGTGACTTTTCATACGTTAAATTACTTTCCTATCGCTGAAAAATTTTCAGAGCAAAAGCTTCCTTCGGGCCAAAGTTCAGATGAGTGGACAATTAGAGAAAAACTGGCTTTAGCTTCGTCTGTGGTTCGAAGTGGCGATCAAAACTGGTGAGACTAAGTGTTTGTTTTTACAGAGTTTGCAGTCTATTAATTCTGGTGTTTGTTACTAAAAGTGGTTTGGTTTGGGTAAGGTCTATTGCCAAAAGTTTCACATTTTAGAAGATTAGACGGCGTTATAAATGTCTCGTGAACTTTAAGAAAGTTACCAATCTACAGCGAAAAGTTCGCGTTTATTCTTGTTACGTTAAGAACTTTAATTTCTTTAGATTTAGCTGCTTGTTTATTATGAATTGTTTCTTCTGTTAGGGTTTCTGTAAGTCGTGGTATCAAACCGCTGCTTGAAACAGGATGTTGTGCTAAACCACGGCCACCTGATTTCTTCTCTCAGAAGGTATGCTCTGGTACATACATGTGTTTCACCAATTTCAAACGAGTCTTTTGATGATTTACGTAAGCTTACTGGTACTGGATACTAAAGCTTTACTTGGTGACATTTAACGCATGTATGGTTGTTTTTATTAACAGAACTGTGCAGTACACTACTCAGAAATGCTTGAAAAAGTGAACACACCAAAGTAAGTCAAAATTATAGCATTGTTTGTATGTAATGAGTTTATTATTGACAGATCTTAGAATAACATCTGTTGTAAGAGTCAGTGAAGTAACCATAGTATACTCTGTAATTTTTACATTTATGATTAAATGATGTATTTTTGTTGTTTGCAACTTTTTGTGGGTTACCGCTTATTTGTTATGTAATCCTTTCTTTTTATTGCATGATATTACATAACATTATTCACATCCTCTCGGTACACTATAAATTTCTGCAACTTTGTAAGCTCTCCAGAATTTTTAGCTTTTTTGTAATTTTCAATATGTTGATATTATATATTCCACTTGAAGAAGGTGGCCTAAACCTTGTACATTACAATGCAGAATCATTCAAGATTTTTCCCTCTGTGTTTCTGAAGAATGCTTATTTAACATTTTGGAGAAGATACTTGTATTCAACAATGCTTCAATATTTTCTCCTTCCCATACATTACCTGTGATCAAAATTTTTCAGTCTGTTCTCAGACCTTTCCTTTGAAATAATGACTGCTTTGACATAAACCATGATCTCATATAGGTATTTAGCAGTCATACTTTTTATCTTACTCTGTGTTTGAAAAAGTGCATTTGTTTGATTGTAGGAGGAAGCGTACTAATGAAGGAGGTGGGGCTGGTAAGACCACTGAAATAGGCTTTTATATGTTCATGATGTGTGCAGCAAGTAAGGGTCCCATCTGATGTTTTCATTCTAATTTGTCTTGCCTCCTTTCTGTTTGATGTAGAAACACCTGGTGACCAAATTGTTAGAAAATTGACCTTTGATAGAATTGAAGAATTAAAGAAATCTATCAGAAATGATCAACAAACCTACAAGTAAGAAACAAATCTGATATACTAGAATACCATTTTCCTTGCTACTACATGCAATGTTTGGAGAGCTAGCAGTTTTCATGCCACAAGATGATATTTAACTCTTTGATGCCCTTTCCATGTTAGATTCTCAATCCTTTTCCTGCTCCACCAGGAGCATAACTAGGCAACCCTGCATACCCAGATTTCTTTCTGATTAGCCTCTCAAAAACAGGAAATGTAGTACATGTTGCTTGTGGGTTAGTGCACTGGACTCTAGATGGAAAGATCTTGGTTTTACCCTTTCACCCTTAAGAGTGACCAACATCTGATTTCTCCTTGTGATATCTTCCCTGAATCACACATGAAGGTCACAAGAATAATGGAAATGATCACCAACTAAAGAAATGGTTGTAAAAATTTCAGAAAAAATGAATAAATATTAAGCATGTAATGGCATCTTGTGCCATGTGGCACTCTTGGGTGGGAAAGGGATAAATTATTAAACAAATTCTCCTTGTCAGCACCTTAAGAAATGAATAATAAACAGTATGGAGAATGTGCATACTGATATTAGGGTGTGAAGGGTTAAACTCAGACAGGGTAACTTTTTGCATCCTTGTATTAGACTCTAAACTCTCACAATGGCTTGGTCTGCCAATAGATATACATAGCTAGAAATAATACTGTTGAGGTAACCTTACCAAATATTTAGGGGGTTCCTGCAATGAACTAGCTTCTGGTTAAGTAGTAGTACTCTTGGACAGTTGATGTTGCTTAAACTAGGATAGACTCAAGTAGGATGGGATTTTTGGCACAAAAGGCAACTTTTCCTTTAACTAGTCTCGTGTACAGGAAATGTGTATTGGTCCAATATAGTATGCATGCTGATCAACGATAGAGGAGATCATAAGGGACAGCTGTGAAACATTCTCCTTGAAAAGTTTGAGTTTTGTCCAAAGATCCTTTTCAAAAGTGTTCTCTTATTATGTAAGCACTTGCATGCAATTTAGAAGGAGAAACAACCATCTGTAAATTTATTATGTAACTTTGGTATTTAATTGATAAGATTGTTATTTTCATTCACTAAGTGTTACTGTACCTGTTATGTTGTATGTTTATTTTACTCAGTAACCTAGGAAGCTAACCAATCTTACAGGAAACTTAAGGACAGAATAGAAGAAGTACGAAGTGGAAAACTTGACCTTCAGCTTCCTGCCTTGTGGGAGGAAATTAAAATGTATGCACAAATTTTTCTATTTTTTCTAATGAAATTATTTCTAAACATGTTTAAGTAGTCTGCTGACTTTGCATGGAGCCTTGGTAGTAATGTTACAAAATTTTCACTTGTAGAGAGCAGGTATGAATGCTAAAGGTGTCATTCTTATTATGGTGGAAGTTTAAAACTCCAAGCAAATATTTGGTAAATATTGTGAGAACCTTGATGCTAATGACAAATATTACATGTGAATTATTTTCATTTCTTTGTTTTCTAAAGGAAAAAGAAGATGAGGCCACCACCTGCTCCCCAGCAAGAAGGGGACAGCTCTGGACCAGTTACCCCAACCACACCCACCACGCCCACCATGCCCATCACCCCTACTACACCTGGAGCACAACCAGGGGTACAAACAGGTACTTTCACTTTCACATTATCATTTGCAGATAGGTTTTTTTTAGGTGGAGTACAAATGATCTTCTCTCTTTGCAAACTGATTTGCAGGTGGTGCCAAACCTCAAGGAAGTCAACCCCTGTCCTCTCCTCAGAAAGGGAAACAACTGAGAGTTCCTAAGCCAACAGCAAAGTATGCACAATATCAATTTTTGTTTTCAGTATTAATCAAAACTATAACAAAATTCTTGAACATGATTGGTTATCACCAGGCAGATTTGAGCACTAATAGGTTAGTGTACACATCATGCTTGTAATTGGACAGTGTAATAGGACAGTTAGAGGGACAGTTCATATGTCATACCTGTGTAAGTGGACAGAATAGCATCATATGCACTCTATTGTCTTGTATTTCTCAGAGTTAACAGTTTTTTTTTTAATGAAAACATACAACCGATGTCTAGTTTCTTTCAAATTTTTTCATAGTTTTGATTCATTGGTAACAGGACTTCATGTCATCCAATTGTGTCCGTAATCATAATTATGATTAACAGATTGGACTCCTGCTTTGCAGTCATCTGATCACCTATATGATTACAGACAGAATTGGATGATGTAAAGTCCTATTACAATTATAAATAGCTCATAAGTAGTTTTTGTACAAAGTTGCTAAATTTTAAAGGGGTCTGTACAAACTTGAATAAATTTTCCATTCTTGAAGTGTATAGTTCTTGAAAAGCTACATATTGTTATGTTAAGAACTCCTTTCTGTGCATTATCAAACATTCTGTTCCTTTACATGCTTGGATACAAGAAGGACCTGACTAAAAACCACTTTAGCGATTTGGCATCCCTCACTAAATATATGCATTATAATAATTATTATTATTACTAAATGTTAAAAAAGTCATGTACTGCCAAGTTGGTTTTAATCACTCTGAATCTCACATGCACCTGCTGACCACATGACCTAATTGTTTTGATAAACCTGAATGACTGAGGCTTATATGTATATGCAAGGCTGCCAATAAGTTTTGTCTGTAGGAAGGTCATTTGTCTATGCCTGCAAGTCTTGATAAAGTTGACTTATTCCATGTAGATTTCAGAAGTATCAGAAACAGCTTCAACAGAGACATGGACATTCTTCCCAGTCTTCCCCAATCAGTCAGACACCTGATGGACTGGCCACCACCCCTGTGGACAGGTCCCCTTTAGATGGAGGAACATTCTCACCAGGACTTGGAGGAGGGCCTTCTGGAGGACTAGGACAAAGTGGATCATTTCCAAGTGCAACTCAGGTAGAAAACAAGTTTTGTTGCCATTCATTTGTCTCTCATGAGAGCTGGTTTCCTGTTAATTCTTTAATCATTGTGCATATTATTATCGAACAATAGCTTGTCCCCATGCTAACTGTTGTCAATAACTATCGCTTGAGCTGGACTTTGAGCAGAAATATTACTTTTTTTATTTTACTAAACATCATTAAACCATCAGTCCTTTTCAGTGCTACCTTACTCCAATTTTTATCACATAATTGTGAAATCCATATTTTTACATTTTACATCCACAACATGTTAAGTGAAGTGTTTCAAATGACTTTACTACTTAGCCAAGCCAAGCCAACCAATGCCAAGTTGGAAGATTTTCAGAGGGCTGTTAGTTAGGAATTGGCTGTAATTGAATTCTCACATGGAACTCAGGGTTTTTTTTTTGTTCCAAGGTAAAGACAAATGTCTCAGGTTTTACTTGTATCATTGGGACCATCTGTCCCAATGTACATGTATGCTGTCATTTTCGATATTATTGCCAATAAGATTGTGTTGGTTGCAGAGTTCTAAGGGAGAACCAATGGATGTTGACTTGAGCACCATTTTGGCCTCTGACTCACAAGGTGACATGGTCCCTCAGGCATCTCCTCGAAAAACAGATCGTGTACCTCAAAGCCCACTGAGACCACAGAGTGGTGCATCAGCACCAGCAGTAGCCAGCTCTCAGGGTTCTAATGAATCTCCATTAGTTTCATTGCTATCTCAGCCATCCTCAAAGGACAGTAAACAGATAAGAAGGGCCAGCAACCCTGAACAGGAGATGCCCCCAACTAAGGTACCTTTATTTGCATAGAAACTGTTTTGTGTGTGACCAAGTAGACACAATTGTTTTGCTCTATTTTTTTTTTTTTTTGTCATCCTGAGGTCAAAATAGGATTCATTTTGGGTTTTTTTGTGATTGGATTCCCTAACAAGGAACAAACAACCCACTAAACCTTGCCCCATTCCCATGTCTGGCTTCATTTCTGAGCTGCAAGTAGTACCCAAATGGTATGTGGGAGGGACAGGTTTGAACTCTGTGAATTGTGAATTTTTTTGTGGGCTTCTTTTTCTGCAATTTTTTTCTGTGCTCATGAGAATTATTTTGTTATTTGTTATAATCCACAGGTCAGAATGTTATTTATGAAAATCAAACAGACAAATAGCAGCTAAAAAACAACTAGGGACATGAAAAGGATTTACATGTACAACTTGTTAAGGACACAACTTGACATTTATGTGGAAGACTTTGCCATGTCAGAAGTACGCCATTCATAAAATCATCTTATACTGTACTTTCAGGAGCTTGAGAGTCATTCCTCACAAAGTGGTCAGCTATCTGAGCCACTACCAACTCCACACTCAACAGCATCCCAAGGTACTGGCCAGACCTCAGACCCGCAAAAATCTGATGGAAAGCATTTTTTAGGTAAGAGAATTAATTTTCACCCCACTAATATGCTTCAAAATGTGTCCCACTGACACTTTTGCTGGATAATTTTCAAGGATGAGAACACATAGTAACCCCTCAAAAATAAAAGACATTCTGTCATTGGTGATAAAATTGTAAATATGAGAACTGAAAACTCAAGCTGTGATAGAAAAATATAATATTTATTTCATTTGCATGATTGAGAGTCAATTTTATGGTCAAGCTATCACTTGAAGATTATAACATAGCAACTGCTATATAGCTAGTCTTGTGTAGAAATATGAAAACTTATTTAACATAGCATATGAAAATTTTGATGATGATGATAAGACATCACAGCAAAGAATACTACCTTTAGGTGCTAGTTGTTAATCCAGTTATGTCCAGGATTAAATTTGTATGGCAGTTTGATTTTGTTTTATTTCATTAAGGCAAATTTTATCGCTTACACTTAAAAGGATTTTATGGTACAATAAGACAAAAGCTTGAGGAAACAAAATATAAGTGGTAAAGCTGTCTGAACTAAATAAAAAACTTGCACTAGCCTTCTTTTAGTGTAGTTGTTTAAATTCATTGGTTCTTGTTGTTTGTTTGTTTGTTTTTATTTGGGGTTACTCCCTCAATGGAACCCAAAAGCTGGACTCCATAGGGAAAGAAAAGGAAAAAAATTTGTACACTACAAGTTTTAATTTGTATTACATTGCTTTTAATTTTTGTTGTTTAGGGGTTACTCCCTCCATGGAGCCCGCAAAGCTGGACTCCATGAGGGAGAGAACAGGAAACACACCTCAAGTCGCAGCTCCATCAGTCACCGCCCCCACACTTTCTAAACTTCTTGCTGATACTCCTGCTACATCTCCCTCTGTCAACTCTGTTTCATCACTTGGAGGAGCAGTACCTAAGGTATTCTGTGGCTGCTTCTAACTCCTAAATCATGTGGCATTTTGATTCCAATTGTCCCAGAAAGCTTCCCATATGCAAGTGTTTCAGAAACAACTCTCTTCCATCACCAAATGAAGGCTATAAGGGAACCTAAGCACAGACATTTCTTGAAAACAGCCTCCAGGGCTCAGTTGTTATAAAGGGCGGATAACACTATCCAACAGATAAATTGCTATCTAGCAGATAATTGATAGCAAAATGTATAGTATTATCCACGGTATAGAGATTTATCCAGTGGATAGCACTATCCAACCTTTGAACAACCAGGGCCAGAAATATGATGCAAGCACTTCCTGTGTGCTTTGACATCATTCAGTCTGTTGCAAAGTGGTCATTTCAGTATTTGAAAAGTAAATGGTACAGAAAATAAGTGTCTGTCACAAGCACTAAGGAAAAGAACTCTCAACTTCTAGTGGCTATTCATGTCTAACAAAACGTTTGTGCTTATGGGTAACTTCCCTATTTTGCTGTGAACCCCACCATCCTTTTGTAAAGGGTTCTGTAAATAACTGGTTAGCTTACATATAAAATTTATTTCTAAATGCTATTTACATTAAGTCAATTTGCTATTTAAAATACCTTGCCCTGATCCTTATTTTAAAGGTAATTTAGTATTATCAACTAAGTTGATAGCGTAAATTGGCCACCGTAAAGAGTTTAAAAGCTGATGTTTTGAGCGATAGCCCTTTTTCTATCGCTCTGACAAAGGGCTAACACTCAAAATGTCAGCTTTTAAACTGACTCAGTTGATAATACTTAATTACTCTGTTATACTCTCCCACTGATGCAGCACCACAGCTTCTTTAGAAACTTACCCCCCCCCCCAAATTTAAAGGCTTATTCACTGTATACACAACCTTTTTATAGTTACTATTCACTAAAAATTATAACTCTCTTTTAAGACCCCAGGAGGTATGGATTCCTCTGTATTGGTGGAGCCATCAACAGGGACACCTGTAGAAAACCCTTTATCTGTGATTGGGAGTGGCAGGGGCACCACAGGAGGTATAGTTTCATGGTTTTACTGCTATATGATTTCTAAGATAGGCCACATACTGCTAGACACGTGTATGTTGTTGATGGAACTTTAAAAAAAGTGAGATGCTAAGACAGCACAGTTCTATGCATTATATCATGGTTGGTTTTACTTCAAAGAGGTTATTAACAAAACAAGTGGACATTTGCTTGCTTGTTGAATTTTTTTGTTTTATGCCAGTGTAATGTATGGAAGAAGTGACAAAACTTGGAAGGAATTTTTTTAACACAGATCAACAGCAGGATTGTGTGAAATCACACAATATCACGCAGTATGGATCTGAAAGCTGCACTTCTTTGGACATGTAATTGTAATAAACATGTAACTGGACTGATTTGAGCTTTCACAGTGTGTATACTTTTTGTTGTACCAGAAGCATACGACGTTGGTTAAATGCATCTGTTAGCACTCAATGAGGCAGTTATTTAATTACTAGGCACTCAAGCTGTTCTCAGCGTTTCCACACCCATGCCAGCCATCTCAGTCAATCCCAAGGTGAGTTAATCGCCCAAATTCCTGGTTTTTCCTTGAAAATCATGTAATAAATGTTATGAAGATGGTATCAATTTACAGTTTTTGGTATATATCGACTTTTTCGTATCACGTGAAGTTTCAAGAGACTTGAACATGCCACTTATTAAAGTTGCACACTGATGTTGACGGTTGATTTCACTTTAAGGCTTTCCTTATTTATTGTCTGGTGTACTATCTTTAAACAAGAATAATTTGTTCGTTTCTAGGCTGCTGCTCTGACCGCGACTTTGCCCTCCCCTTTGGCAATTACACCTCCACCCACTACCCCTCCGGCAGACAGGAAGGTTAGTTTAACCAGTTGTAATCAATTTTATATGTATATATGTATGTGTAAATTTTTCCACTTGGCACATACGTAAGATTCTTATTTGTTTTCATAATGCAGGAAATAATAGCCCAAAAGTTTGAACCAGCGGTGAAAAATTCCGAGAAAAACAGCGGTACGGAAATTACGAGCGACGATCACGAAAATGACGCCAACACTGCCCGAGCCTCCACTGAACGGTCAGCGCCCATCCCTGAAGTAAAAGTTGAGACTATTGAGACCCCAGTTTCTTCTCCGCGAGTCCAGAAACGTGCGTCCAAACCCGGGAGGCCTGGTGAGGGATGAACTCAGTGGATAATGTCAAGAGTCAGTTTTCTCACGCTTTGGTATTGAGTCACGAAAGTCTTCTCTTTTTTAGGTCGACCATCAAGAGCAGCACGAAGGAATCAACGACATCGCAGCAAATCTGCAACCTCGACGGTACGCGTCACTGTTTCTGTTAATCTTCCCATGCGGAAACGTAAATCAAACCACTATGAATCAAATTATTTTAGAACAAACGATTTCATTTCATCCCATAGGACAATGAAGGTGACGTAGAAGAGGATCATGAAGAGGTATGGAGTATGAGAAGAAAACTTGTTAATCACTTCCTCAAAATCAGACCTCGATAGTATTAGATCTGAATAAACTCTAGCCCCGTTTGGTGTATTATTTCTTTAAGAATTTTATTAATGTTTTCTTGGAGGGCTATTCATTGATACTCTATTTTTTTTTCTCTCATCAAGGAATCCAAAATGGAGACTTTAGATGTGGAATCTGAGAAGGCCAGTGAAAAGACGGAAGACGAAGAAGAAAACGAGTCGATTGCCGAGGAAAAGAAAGAGGACAGCGATGAGGAGATGGAGCGGGACAGTGGAGACGAGGCAGTGTCTGACCAAGGGGACCAGAGTCAGTCTGAGAAGGATGAACCCTGCACCTCCATGAAAGAATTCTTGATGGACAAGGCGGGATCTGAATCGGTCCCCGGTAGCCCCGCTTCTCAAGTGTCCCAAGGGTGCGTGCCGCTGGTGCATGTGTACTGCTGTTAGTCCAAAATGTAAATTGATTAAACGTGTTTGTTTATTTTGTTTAGAAGTAGTGACGAACAAGAAGCCATTCAGGCACAGAAAACGTGGAAAAAGTCAATAATGCTGGTCTGGAGAGCTGCAGCCAATCATAAGTAAGAATGATGGTTTAATCCTCGATCAGTACTTCCCTCATCTAGTTGTTACATGTTTCCTCAAAGATTAGTCAACAGAATCTGGTGTCAATTCAAGATTCCAATGTCCACCTGATGTTTTTGTCTATCGTCATTCCTTTAATTTTGGTTCAATTCATTGAAATTGAGAGGGATCGATACATATTAAGCTTTTCTTTCTAGGAGTCTGATTATTGTAGTCTTTTGTTCGCCGTTGAACGCGCTATGTTACTAGAAAAAGTATTTTCCAACATACGTTTTTGTGTATTCTAGTTGAGTGAAATTGGTTAGGCTTGCGAGATCTTAGTATAAAGTACCCTATGATCAGCTGAAGCCCACACAATATCTTGAATGAGTGAGGAAAAAAAAACTGGATTTTAGCAGTGGTACATCCACCAGGTTTACATCACTGCCCCACTCTGCTCTCCTCTAATGACTTCTCAACTCCTTTAAATGAAATACATTTCATTTCTATCTTTGTTTTATCAGGTATGCAAACGTTTTTCTGCACCCAGTTACTGACGATGAGGCTCCAGGTTACCATGGCATTGTTTTCAGGTAAAAAAACGTGTAAGGGACTCAACTCGTGCTGTAAGAGAAGAGTCTGTAGACAAGTATAACTTACTGACTTTCCGGAGCTTATCATGTTTCTATGTCATGCATAGACTAGAGCATTTCCAATCCTTTTAAGTGCCAATCAATCAAAAGTCTCCCCAAGGTGTTCGTTAGGTTTCCCTGAATGCTGAACAAGTTGATCATACTTACTCTTGGGTATAGAGCTACTCTTGCCTCAGGACACAACATGACCCGGCCACGGCTTCCACCGATCAGGCCCCTCTCGACTCGGAGTCCAGCGCGCTAACCATAAGGCCGCTATGTCTCTCACACCATTACTGAGAACATCAGAAAATCATGAGATGGAACCATCTGACTACTCTAAATTAATGAGCCTTAGAACAAGTGACCCTCTCTAAAAAAATAGTGATTGGGAAAGATTTATGAATTGGAAATTGAAGCACCTTGTTATCTGCTGAAATATCAAGGAAGTAGTTCCCTCTAGTACGACAACCATTAGACAACCATTAGACAACGATCCATCACAATATCCCAATTTAAGCCGTCTCATCTTTTTGCAGACCTATGGATTTATCAACGATAAAAAAGAACATTGAAAATGGGGTAAGAATATAACATGAATTTGAAGTCTGTCTGTATTTGAGATGTTTTAGGTTGGAAGCCAGGCGTATCTTAACCCGAAGAGTGACTAGCATCTAGTTTCTCCCGACAGTATTACCCCTGAATCACACATTAAGGTCGTGAGAATAGTGGAAATGACCACCAACGAAAGAAGCTTTTGATCGGTAAACAAATTCTCCTTATCAGCACCTTAGGAAATGTATGAAGAACAGTATGGAGAATATGCATACTGATGTTAGGGTGCAAAGGGTTAACGATTTGTTTGACATTACTACGCTAATATCACCGTTTTTTCGTTTCAGACCATTCGTACAACAAGCGAATTCCAGAGAGATATGATGTTGATGTTTCAGAATGCTCTCATGTACAACAGCGCTGATCATGACGTGTAAGCAACTGCTTTGTTGTTCGTCACATATCTATGTCAGTAAAATGAGGTTGTAACTAGTTATTTGAACGAACGTCTACCACTGAGGATACATTTTCGACATTTCCACTTATCCTTTACTGTTCTTAATTCAAGGTAAAGCTTCTTTATGTCTTAAATTCCTCGTCTCTTTCAGGTATCGCATGGCGGAAGAGATGCGTGACGATGTCATGGAACAAATCCAGGTAAACACATGTGTAGGATGCATGGTGGAGAAATTCGCTTAAAGTTTAAATACTTCAAGAAATATTAGCCATAAGTTGCTTGACTATTTGCGTTGTCTGAGCATAACATGAGAACTGTTACTTGTCTAGATTTGCTACCGAACACAGTGAGAAGTGGGCACTTGTTTAGTTTTATAATTCCTTTTCCACGAGTTAGTTACCGTCAGTTATAACCCATTCATTAATTTTCGCTCGATTTCACTGGCTACTTTACGCCATGAGGTGCAAAATAACTGGACAGTTATTACGCAATAGCTCCCGTCTTCGTCGATATTTGCTCTCATATTATTTCTGTCGTGAAGAAAAAAGCTTGCGAACGAAAGCCTATGATGTTATAAAGCTTGTCGCAAATATGCATTCGCCACTGGCTTTTTACGAGCGGTTTTCGTTCCTCATAAATGTTAAAGAGAAGGTTATAAAATGATTAAACCACTTTCTGGCCTGCTGGTATTTCGGCTGATAATGTCCTTGGCTAAGAGTGTCCTCGAAATGTTGCATGTGCCCTCAAAGCTTCGTTTTTCGGCCAAATAGTCATTTTCCGGACATCTTTCAGCCGCAGAAATTATCAGCCGCTCGAAGGGGTTTATTTACTGATTATCGTAAAAAGATAGTGTACTCTTTATTTGCTTTCAGTCGTACATTGCCACTCAGATTATGGTCGATTCAAAGATGTTACGGGGCCACAGACAAGATGGTTAGATATCTTTGGTTTTTATTTTCATGTGATTTTCATTTATTAGCTCGTTTTTTTGTATGATCGTCAAAGGTTGTAGTGTCAGTGTGCTAACATTTTTGTTCAGAGAAAGTCAAATTTTTAGAAGTCCAATTATATTTCCAATTTCTTACGTGTCAAACGTTTATTTCTTACAGTGTTTCACATCTTCTTATGAGCTTCATCATTTACCTAGCTCGAAGGTGAGCTCTAGATCGCAACTTTTTCTTTTATTTCGACAAAATCATTCCAAACTACCTTGAGTCAGAAGTTTGCACTTATTAGCAAGCGTCGTAATTCTTAACTTCCTTAAAAGGCTAGTTATTAATGAAAACATTTGGAATCATCACCTCTTACGTCCTGCTCTACTGAGGGCACATGATCAGTGATGGTGTTACCTAGAGATTCCATCAAAAGAAGTTGAAGAAGTAGAGGATAAAACAAATGATAAGTACTTTTTTTTCAGCTCGGCCGTATTAACGTTAAGTTTTCTTTTACAGGCTTTCAACTCGGCCTATCGGGATGTCTTCATCGGTCTCTTTTCCGAAGTGGACGGGCTGCGTTCCAGTTTAAGTCACGGTCTTAGCAAATTCATGGATAACTTTTTGGGGATCAGCTTTCGATTTCGGGAAAGTTTTTATACAATACTAATTCTATTTTCCTTGGACTTAGCTACGATTAAAAGGGATTTGGTTTGACCTTTGGCGTGTCTTCTCTGCTTAACGTTTTTAGTGTAGTCCATACAACATTTATCCCCTCGACCGTGAAAACGCTCGGCAGCACGGCTTTGGACTTCACTGACTTTTAAACTCACATTCCGTTTTCTCTTATCGATCATCACATTCTGCAAGATCCACGAAAGAAGCATGATGTCATTTCAGAGATCGCTTGTGGTACTCGACCGGAATACCGCTAAGAAGTGAATCGCTTTGTCGACTAATTCGCAAACTCCCGTGGTCCTCAACCAATCAGAAAGCGCTAGCTTAAGACGTCGATCGTATTAGTTAGGGATCCTAACTGTAAAATAAATCGGAACCTCGTCATATTTTTTTGTGATCGGAGAACGTGCTTGGCTCGGGGGTGCTCATGACGCCTGTCGTTTTCATGCCGTTAGCGTTCGCTTCTCACGTTATAGGGACAACTGGCGATTAGTCAGCTTCCGACGTCGTCAATCGACATTTGGTGGTCACTTATCGCTCGCATGTAGATACGTTGTCTGAGGGAAACCAAGAATTAACAAGTTTCAACGTGTCAGTTGAACTGTCTTAATGACTACAGAAACATATAACGTAACAATGAGATTTAGCAGAGGAAAGCACTGAAGTGTTGTGCGTCGTAGTTCGTTGACTTTCCTTTTTGCTATCCCGGATGATTTAAAAGCCGGCTATTCTTCCCGTAGTTAACCTTGTCATGCCTTGCCTTGCCTTGCCCCTGCCCCCCTCCTAGCCCTCAAGGTTTCCACTTAGACCGACACTCTCATGATACGTACAGAAAGCAGTGTCGATAGCCTTTCCTGTCTTAATAAGCTGTCATTCGCTTCTGCGACCGTCGTCGATCGACTTAACTAGTAAGGAAAGGATCGCCCAATCATAGGCAGGGAGGCACGGGGGGAGGGGTAAGTTATGTTTTGCTGGGAAAGCTTTAATGAGTTACATGTAAAAAGATGGGGTAAAATCTACGACAGCACCACTCTTGTTCGCTTCGATTTCCACAAGAAAGTGCTCATGATACAAAGGATGTTTCCCGAAGGGTACCTGGAAACGAAAATTCTCATAGTAACACTGAATTTAAAACATCTACAGAACTTTAGATTGGGGCTTGGGGCACTCATTTGCAAAATCGAGAAAAAATTCGTAGCCATACGGGAACGGACTTAACATACCCTGAAATTATTGAGCTCACACTTCAACGCACAAAAAAAAATAAAATGAAAAGGAAAAATTTTGATACCAGCTTTTCGAATGTTTCGAAACCATAGAAACAGCTGAAAACGTGCACACGACAACTCAGGTAGCCAAGGAGAAAATCCCGTTGAAGTGCGACACGGTAATAAACAAATATGGGTGAAATTTTTTCGGCTTCATGAGCCATCACTTTGTTCAAATTTTTGTCCGTTATTTCTGCGTTTAAACGAGCCATTCATTTCTTTTTTAAAGGAAACACAGAAAAAGCCCAGGAAAACTTCTTTGCAAGAAGAATTAATATTTTATAACCGCTGTCTCAGCCTTCAGGATTCCTGTTTTCAGACCTCGCACAATTTTGTGATTTCACTTTGTGTTTTCTTTAGGGGAGGGCAATGAAATGTACACAGTTTTAAAAACACACGAGCTTAACTATTGTTCAGCTCATTAAATCTCCTGTTTCGCCGCTTTCTCGTTAGTTTGCAAGAGGTCCCTGTGAATGAATGAAGGTAACAAGAAGCAAAGAAGGGTAAGTTAACTGAAAGCTTAAACAAACTGCAAGCAAACTACGGGAGAATAGTTGGCATGACTTAAGTTCAAAGCCTTAAAAAAGTGAATGGTCTTTATCTTGGCAATCCTAGGCAATCCTCGGCAATCCTCGGCAATCCTCAGTCTCAGTCAGCCCCACTCCTCCCCAATTATCTTTGCATGAGAAGCAATCACTCACTGGCGGCCATGTTGGCTACGGCTTCAAAACTTAAAATATTCTTGTGTGGGTAATGTCGCCCAGCTTTTGCATACGTAAGCTAACCTGTTCTCCTTTCTCAGTTTACAGGCTTGCAAATTATTTTACAACGTAATTAGCCACTTTGTTCACAGGCGGGATGAACACTTCTCGTGCAGCATTTGCAAACGAGAAGTCCAAGAGGAGCACCGATTTGGCAATTGAAAACTCCCTGCATAGAAATGTTGAATAAGCCGAAAATTGCACTCAAAGATATCCTCACGAACTCAATTCCACTGCAAGATTCAGAGGAAAACGGTTGAAAAAATGCTGAAATCACACTGATGGGAAAATAACGACACAGAGAACCAGTATGAGCCTATCAAAAATAAGGTGACTTTTTTTCAATTTTTTTTTCGTGTAATTAGCGTTTAGGGAAAATGACTTTAAATCTCAAAATTCCCATATACTTCAAATATGAGCTTCTCTGTACGATACGTTGCAGATGGCTGATGAAGGGAGGAAAATGAAGTGGATTTCAGTCTCAAGTGCAAGGATTTCAGGAAGTTTTTCGGGTAAGTAAACAAAAAAATGATGGATAGTACTTTATCTTATCATTGAAGCATATCCGACTTTAACTACTGAATGCATATTATTTATGCTAATTTAGATATAATTGTAAATAATTCTGACATAACTCCAAGACTCTTTGCACAAGATTATTTCATTCAATTCATTTTCCTTGGTTGCTCTGTGGGTAATCTCACCTCTGGCACTGTCTTGTCTGATCAAAATTAAGGGCAGAATGGTGCCAGAAAAGTGTTGGAGTTGCACTGACTGACTGACTGATTGTTAAACTAATGAACATATTGATTAAGTGGTATACTGATAACTGATAACCAGACTGACAGCCTATCTGAAAAGCTAGTCTACCAATCACTTAAAATTGTTATTACTAACTTGTTGATGGCATACATCTACACTGACTTATTCACTGATGGTCAACCTGGCTATATTTACCACATGTACTGAATGGCTGATTGACTGAGTCACAAATGCCCTGATGGACTCACCAACAGGCTCACTGTCTGGCTATTTTATGACCTATGTGCTGACTGACTCATTGACTTACAGATTAACTGACCTACTGGCTGTAGGACTCATCAATTGTCTGTATCATTAACTGACAAACTTGCCATGTGAATGACTGATCAACTGACCAATTCACTGAAATACAGAATAAGTTACTGATTAATTGAGTTAGCCATGGAATTAAACATTGATGACTAACTAAACTATTGGTTCATGCTTAGTGTGTGTATATCAAGTTATTAGTGCACAAGAGAAGTTTGGAGGGTACGAGAGAAGGGTAAGAGTTACTGAAGGTGCAGCAGAAAGTAACTCTAGCTTTTTGAGTGCTCTCTGAACTTCCCAAGTGCATCCATAACTCAATTTACACACAGTTAGAGCATGAACCAATTCTTTTAGAACATAGACACAAGTTGTGTTTGTTCCTACATAAAAAAGAAAAGGAAAACCTGTATTGGACACAGGAATGTCTTTGTAGAAGAAATGGGAGACATAACCCTTTAACCCTAAGATTGACTAACATCTAATTTCTCCATACAACATCACCCCTGAATCAAACATTAAGGTCATGAGAATAAAGGAGATGATCACCAACTAAAGAAGCTCTTGATTGTTGAACACATTCTCCTTGTCTGAACCTAAGGAAATGTATAGGCAGTAGTATGAAGAATATGCATACTGATGTTAAGCCTTTACACCCAACATCAGTATGCCTATTCTCCTCACTGTTGTCTGTACGTTTCTTAAAGTGCAGAAAAGAAGAATGTGTTTAACAATCAAGCACTTCTTTAGTTGGTGATCATTTCCTTAATCTTTGTAACCATGGTGTTTGAATCATAGGCGATATTGAAAGGAATCATTAGTTTCTAGTCACTCTCAGGGATTAAACAGTGAAGGAGTGAAGGGTTAAAGCTGACACACAACAGCAGTGTTGCCCAAACAATCTCTTCCTTAGTCTTGATCTGTGATACAAAGACTTGGTTCCCAAACAATGAAGGAAAAAAAAACTGTTTCGGACATTGGGCTGTCTTCATGTGCTGATTAGGTGTTTGACTTTGCCCAAGAGACTTAAGCTGGCCCATAAAGGGGTTGGTGTCACCCAACAAATTCCTTCCTTAGTCTTGATCTGTGATGCAAAGACTTGGTCCCTAGAAAACAGAAATAAACTGTTTCAGACACTGGACTGTCTTTATGCACTGATCGGGTGCTTGACTTTGTACAAGAGATAGAAAGACTTGGTTCCCAAACAATGAAGGAAAAAAAACTGTTTCGGACATTGGGCTGTCTTCATGTGCTGATTAGGTGTTTGACCTTGCCCAAGAGACTTAAGCTGACCCTTAAAGGGGTTGGTGTCACCCCCAAAAAATCTCTTCCTTAGTCTTGATCTATGATGCAAAGACTTGGTCCCCCAAAAAAGAGAGATTTTGGACACAGGATTTGTCTTGACTTTGCATAAGGGATGGGAGACTTAAAGCTGGCCTTTAAAGGGGTTGGTGTCACCCAACAAATCTCTTCCATAGTCTTGATCTGTGATGCAAAGACTTGGTCCCTAAAAAAAAAAGGAATGAAACTGTTTTGGACACTGGACTGTCATAATGCACTGATCAGGTGTTTGACTTTGCACAAGAGATGGGAGACTTAAAGCTGGCCCTTAAAGAGGTTAGTGTCACCCAACAAATCTCTTTCTTAGTCTTGATCTACGACGCAAAGACTTGGTCTCTAAAAAAGAGAAATAAAACTGTTTCGGACACTGGACTGTCTTTATGCACTGATTGGGTGTTTGACTTTTTACAAGAGATGGGAGACTTAAAGCTGACCCTTAAAGGGGTCGGTGTCACCCAACAAATCTCTTCCTTAGTCTTGATCTGTGATGCAACGACGTGGTTCCCAAATAAGAGAAATAAAACTGTTTCGGACACTGGACACTGGACTGTCTGTAGGCGCAAGAATTTGTATTATAATTTTTTGTTATTGTTGAAGTTTCATAGTTTCGTGTCAGGTGTTTATTTTCTCGTCTTCATTAGTGTCCTTTGTTAGTTACCAGTTTTATACTTGTTATATTTTTTTTGCATATCCTAGATTTATTGTTCGCGCGTAACTTATTTGGTTAGTTGTCTAGTGTGCGAAAAATATCGTGACATATCTAGCTTTGGGTTTCATGTTTTCGTATTTGGTTTGGTCACATTCGTCTTTTACCGTATTCAACAATGTGTCAAGTTTGTTCTAGTCAAGTTTGAAATACGAGTGATTAGCGTTTGTGGCTATACTGTCTAGGTGTTCGACTTTGGACAAGAGATGGATGATTAAGGATTGACCCACTAAGGAGTTGGTATCGCCCAAAAAAATCTCAGAAAAGGTTAAAGGATAACTCATTCTAGATATTTCATACTTTAAAACTTGCAAATAATCGGAAAGAAACAATTTAGACGACTTTGCGTCTTTTTTGTTAGAAAGTCCAAATAATGTTTATCGATTTCGAGAGATTTTCCAATGTACATCTGAAATATACGTTAAACCTTTGTGCACCTCAAAAAGGAAAGAAAAGTCTATATTGTTTGACGACGCTGTGCGCCTTCATTTCCTCTTTCAGGTCCCATGACGGTTACATGTTTAGAAAGGTCATGGGAAACGCGTGTTGAGCTTAACTACGGTTGAACAGAAACTTGTTAATGAGGTGAGTTTACTACATTGCTTTATTGCGTACATATTCATTTTGTGTGTGCGCGCAATGTGTCAGAGTTAAACCAAATAAACGAATGTCCAATTGCACAAAATTGTTTTTGGACACAGTAAGAATATATTGTGTATCATATTGTTATATTGTGGCTCATTCGAAGTTCTTCACTCTTTTTCTCGTAGATTTCATGAAGAATGACTACCGCAAGAAACCAGACTAAACTAGTCAACCTTCCATAGGAAGCATAAATTGAGGTCGTTCTGTCACTCCCGCCCTTAAAGGCAGTTCTCTAGTATCTGTAAAAGCTATCTACTTTGTGGTTAAAACATCTTGTAATACGCATGTGTATCAAGACAGACATTTGGTTAGACAAAACGCATGCGTTTGAAATAAATATTACTACCACAACGTAGACAATCTTTACAAAGACTTAAAAAATCTGTCTGCACGAGGTGGGTGCGGCGGGGGAGGTTGGATGGAGAAAAACAACTGTATAAAATTATTGTAATATTACTGTGTTATAAGACTGTAATCACAAGAATGTAGTACTCAAGATTGTATTATAGAGAAAAAAGATTGAACTGTAAACTTATTTAACTGTATTAAGAGATGTTTGTATCACAAGGTTGATAACTTGGTAAGGGATAATGCGGGTGTGTTGGTGGATGGTGAACTGGGCGTGTGGTGGGGGATGGTGGACGGATCGACCCCCAATTTTTCATTTTATTCTCTGAAGTGGGGGTCGGTCCAATTTTACTTTCTTTCCAAGATTGATATTTGTCTCTAGTCTCATGCCTAAAGTGATCGTGTGCCTTGGTGTCCAGCGCTGGGTTGTCGAAGAAACCTGCAAAAGAGAGAAAAGAAATCAAGACCAAAAATTTGAGCCATAAAATACGTTGACCCCCTATTTTTTTTTCCTTCCTCTTCATGGTCTTCTTGTATCGGAAGCAAAGGGAGAAACAGGAATAAATGGTTATAAATGATTGCCTTATTCCGTTTTTTTCCATATATCATTCTAATGAGAACACTGTACGAAACCAGTTTCACTTTACTGTAAAAGTGTAAAAACCTTAATAACAACAACATTGAAACTAACAGAGTAAATGTTCTAGTTTTCCACGAGAGGACGCAGATACTTTTTCTGGTCTTTTTTTACCTCGATGACAATCTGAAGTAAACTACTTAACACAAATATATTGAATCACCTGAGGAACACGCGACGCCAGTCTTGAAATGGCTTCTTTATCGAGCAAACCTTACTCAACGGTATAGGATGAGCCTTTTCTCGATGTAATTACTGTTGCAGCTTTTGTTCCTCTGACAAACAGTAAATTTCTCATGCCTTTCCTTCTTGATGCTCTCTTAGGCCCAATCTTTATCGCTTGCTTCCACCAGCAATCTGCAGAAAGTTAAAGATTTCAAATGTAAACTGTATTTTTTTTGTGAACGGGCACTGCAGCAAAGACTGTTCAATGTTCAAGTTTTTGAGTCTGGAAAATCACAAAAGTACAAATACATCACATTGAAGAGCGCATCTCTTTCATGAAATAAAGCAAACAGCGACGGAAAGAAATCAGAGAAGGGCGAAACCTGAGCAAAGTGCTGTGGAATCCCTCGGGTAGCGTGAATTCTGCTCTTGGCATAGAATTAACATATTACAACTTGCGTTTAGCGTGTAATTATTTGACATGGCTCTGCAATTCTAAATGCTGTAAAGCAAATTTTTCAGTAATTATTGATAAAATGAAAAACAATTTCGTTTTTTCATTTCATTTAATTAATTTTTTAATGCTAGAATAGACTGGTTGACTTTCTAATTTCTTTAACTACATGTTGATGAAATAACAACAATAACAGAAACTGACGTGTGCCTGACTGAAGCGAAAACAGCGGAAGCTAACATTCCAAGAAATTCATTGAAGCCAAACCTTGCAGTTACTTTGGACCTTTGCATAGTTTAGTTTTAGTATGTCCTTAGCGATAGGATCAATCTCTCGAGCTGTTAAGTCCTAACTTCACTGATATCTGTAAAAGTGTAGTTTGATCGTCCGGGTGAGTGTAGTCCTGAGAAGGACTGTTGTCGGTAGTGGTGACTGACGTTTCGACAACCTGAGCGGAAGTCATCATCAGAGTCAAGTGAAAGGTTGATTGATTGGTCGGATCCAAACCGACCAATCACGACTGACCTACGCCACTTGAGTCTTACAGCCAATAACATCACGGCAAAACTGACCAATCAGTGTACACAAACCGGACTAAAAACATTCGACTGACAACAACCTTTCACTTGACTCTGATGATGACTTCCGCTCAGGTTGTCGAAACGTCAGTCACCACTACCGACAACAGTCCTTCTCAGGACTACACTCACCCGGACGATCAAACCACACTATTACATGTTACCCCGGGTTCAAACCGTTTACTGTATTCACTGATATCATAGGACTTTTTTTTGCCATTATTGAGATCTGACCAAAAGTCTACTTATTCAAACAGTTTCAAGAGGTTAGAATAACTGACGATGATAAATAAGTGAACAGAGTCTCACTGTCAAACCCAACTTCTGAACTGGTTTTTGTAAATTAGGACTATAGACTCAATGAGATGTAGAGCTTTCTAACTAGCTGTAATCAACATATCATCTTGACACCATCAATCCCGGTTGACATTACTAAATGTTCCTCCATAACTCCAATATTCATAGAAACCATTGTCTAACTGAAAAAGACAGTTTGATCAAAACTTATGTGCGGTTGTAAAATTGTGATCAAAATACACCAAGATAACTTGTTTCATTTTCTCTCAATTCGTGAGCCGGCGGTACGCAACAAATCCTGCGATCTGATAGGTGACGGGAGTGAGAGGTATTCTCCCATCCGTTACGTGATGAGTCACCATGAACATCCCTTGATTCGTTGCAATCAGTTTTCATAGATGAACTCGCTTGTTACGGAAATGTTTGCAATTTAGAACCCCCGTTGCGAAAAAGAAGAGCCCACTGTTCCCACTATGTTTCGCATCTTGAAACTTCGGATGAGCAATGGAATCAAAACGTCTTAAAGAGACCAAACAATGTTGGAGTAAAAAAATTTTCGGTGCAAAAGCACTCATTATTTACAAACTGTGCGCATTTCAAACCCGTCCTCGAATGCTGCATTTAGCCAACTCTAGGATGTGTCTTTCCTGCTTAATCCTGTTATTCATACTTCATCTACTCAAATCCCAGCCCAACCTTTAAAAAAAATGCAACCTGATGTATACACAATTAAGTCAGTGGAACCGAAAGTTTTTAAATCAATGTCGCTTACTACGAAATACATTTTTTTTTTGCACGCGGAAATGTATGATGATGAGATTACATACATTATACATACATACTTACTAAAAGGTGGGAAAACAATGCAAAGTTGAACATTATGGGATAATCAGTAAGTCAGTTATGATTATCATGATAGGTCAGTCGGTCAGTCACTCTGTCAATCAGCCAGTCAGCCAGTTAGTCTGTCGGTAAGACAGTCAATCAGTCAGTCAGTTGATGAGCCAATCAGCTAACCAGCCAGTCAGTCTGTCAGCCAATCAGCCTGCCAATCAGTCAATTGACAATTTGTAAGTCAGTCAATCAGTCAGTCAGCCAGTCTACCAGCCAGCCAGTCAGTCAATCGGTCAGTCATTCAGCACGTCAGTCAGTCAATCAAGCAGTCAGCCAGTCTACCAGCCAGCCAGTCAGTCAGTCAGTCAGTCAGTCACTCAATCAATCAGTCAGTCAGTCAGTCAGCTAGCCAGCCAGCCAGTCAGTCAATTGCAATAAGCCTACAAGCCAGTCAGTAAACCAACCAAGCAGCCAGTCCAGTTGGCTGGTCAGTCAGTTGGTAGGTTAGTCAGTCAGTCAGTCAGTCAGTCAGTCAATAAGTCTCACATTCAGTCAGACAGCCACCATCTGGCCACTCAGTCAGTTTTTGTCATTCAACCAGCTAGGCAGCCAGCCAGTCATGATCTGACAGCTAAGAAAAAAGTTAGCCAATAATACTGTTACAAGCTTCTTATTCTAGTTAATCATTTATTTTTGTTTGCTACTGCAAACATTTTACCATTATTTTGTTATAAATGATTACCTAATCTGATGTGATGATATGATGCATACACTGGAAATGGTATTTAAAAAATGTCCATCACCCTCATTCCTATAATACAATCTCCTCAGCAATAAACACCAAACGTACCAGATTGCATGGAATGTAAAGCCACTACAGCTAAGACACCTCACAAAAAATTGGGTTTAAAGGAAAATCAGCAAATCATAACCATAATAATTTCTCATATGATTGATCAATCATTTAATTAATCACTTACCATATGATTTATTTAATGTATTTATGAAAAGCAATCCCTGTTTGCCACTTAAAACTCAACCAATCTCTATACTATTCTGGACATTACATCTAGAGCTAAGTCTGTTCTTAAACTTACACTCCATATCATTTTTCATCAAGCTATTCTTTGGCTTTTTTGGCAATTGTATCATGGGTTTAAGTGTCAATAGTATGTATACAATATGCCATGAATTTTTTTGAGGTAGCACAAATGTAGTTGTTAAAATGTCAATCTCTGTCATATTTCCAGCTCTTAGACAAATAAACTAAGGTGTTGTAAAATAAGCTCTTTAAACTGGCCCAGTTGTATAATAGTTCTACAAATTTCATCTCTATAATGGTATATGAAATAAAAAAATCATGCTCTGTATCCCTTCACATAAAAAGCAGGACACATAATTACAGAAAACAGCCAGTAACAATTAAAAAATTAATGATGATAATATAAAACTTTTCATTCATAGTGCTCAAAAGATGAGTCATTCACACACATCAATGTAAAAGGGATTTGAAGACATTGACTGATGCATAAGTTAAAATATCTAGCAAGGTAAACCATTCCATAGCCTTTGTGCAGCAACTGAGAAAGCCCTGTTCCCAAAAGGTTTTCAAGTGGGTCTTGGAAATTTTAAAAGATACTTATTGGAAACCTAAGACTTCTAGAGGGCATATAAGGGACCAATAGATGACTGAGATATGCAGGTGCTAGATAATTCAAACTTTAGCATGTAAGCAATAGAGTTACAAAATAATTTGCTGCTTTACAGGCAGCCAGTGTAAGTCTATCAAAACTGGACTTGTGTGCACAGCCCTTGGCTGTTTATTATTATGATTAAGTTTCGATATAACATGTGCTGTCGTTAGTTGAAAGAGTGTGCTCCATGAGAGTATAGAGCAAAGAGCTGAGCTAAAAACTGTCACACCATCTGCCAAATTGTACTATGTTTGACCTTTCTTAGGACTTCTCTCTAGCTTTTTTTTGTGAATTGAAAGTGAAACTTTGGAACAAGTGAGCTGCCAAGTAGCAACAGAAGAACCAAACAAAGGTTTGTAAAGATGCCAGGTGCCAGTTTGTTTTCTAATTGTCATGTGAAAAAACTTGTGTGTTTTTATGAGCCACAATTTGGCCCAATTTCATTGAAAATTTCACCTTCAGATTCTATATTAGAAACTAAAGAAAACTTCAGGAAAAAGTGTTAAATTTGACCTGCTGAACTATTTCAGTTTGTAAACTATTGCAGAAAGTGAACTTTGATGGTTTTATGAAATTTGATGGTTGACATTTTTGACAGCTGTAGTCTTGTACAGCCAATCAGATTATTTGAACCATTCCAACAGGGTCCTGATTGGCTTATTGTAGCATGCTTTATGAGAGTATAGAGCATACTGATGACACTGTTGTTTGCTTTGGAAATAAAGTTTGTTTTGAAGATTGAAAGTAATGTGTGGGGAATTTAGTGGATTCTTCATTATGAAACAAATAGAGAAGCCTTGATTGTGCTCTGTTCTGATGTAAAGCACCTAGGAAGCAGCTTCTTTCATGCTCTAGCCACTTCTGTGTGCTTTACAACAGAAAAGAGCACGTCTCTCTTTGTTACACAAGGCATGCAGCGCAGTTTTTTTTTAATGCACTAAAGCTTTTGAATCAGCTACTTTGGTGAACCAATGAGCAGTGAATTACAATTGTTTAAATGACAAGTAACACTTTGAACAATACCAGAGTAAGATCAAATATAAGTCAAATTGGTTGATATGATGTCCATACAATTAGAGCTAAAATTGTAGGTAAGGATTAAAACTATTCTCTGTTTTCTATGTTAGAGAGTTTACACAGGTGTAAGTTAAAAAAAGCAACCAATATAAAGCAACTTTCTCAAGACTCTACTTGAGATTTCTTTCAATTTTTTAAAAACTTCTTTTCCAAAATTTGAGTTGCCAAATTCAGGTTGCAGTTTATCTTCGAGTGCAGCTTATCTGCCAGTGTTTACAACAACAATATCTAAAATTACATAATTATACTCTCTGACTAAAGCAGTCTCAACAATACGTTGATAGAAAGATCTCATAAAGACAAGTTCAATCAAATGTGAAGCTACCACTTTTTCAGTAAGTTCAGACATAAGCATGAAGTTGGAAATGGGAAGGAAGTTAGCAAAGGCCTCAAAAGCAGGTTTTAATTGTTTGTAAGATGTAATGATTTGAAGCTGTACCAAGGCATTAGAAGGTAAAACAACGGAAAAGAATACAGCCTTTCATTGGGATCATCAGGGGAGGGGGCATTTCGTGACGCCAAACCCCGAGGAGGATCTACCGAATGAGTTTCTACCCCATACGAAAAAACTACATTGAAATTCACGCCTGAAAAAGCTCCTATCACAACAACACCACATGTCCAGAGGTACCCAGAATGAAATTTGCAGCAATCTCCTTCGCAAAATATTTCACCCATTTTGAGCCAGCTTAGCCAATAACATTAAATATTAGACAGATAAAATGATGAAAAAAAACCTGTGGTTTTTTTAAGATTTATTTACTTACCTCTTGCTGACAAGTTGACATCTGGCATGTACTTGGGAAACATGGTCTTCATTTCTATGTTTTGCGGCCTCTCTTCCTTCCATCTTATTTCTAAACATTACTGAGCGATAGAAAGTTACAGAGAAGCTGAGGGGCTATTTAGTTCCGAGCCTTGTGCTGAAGCAAACTATAATTTCCCCGCAGTAACCACAACATCTACTGCCAATTTCGACGGCCATGTCCCACCATATTGGATTCAACCATTCCTAACGATTGAACGCGCACGTTTCACAAACAACAATGCACGAAAACGCGGGAAATTGCAGATACAGCGCGGAAACACGTAAGTTTTTACGCACTTTCGAGGAAGAGGCTCCCGTAGGTCATCTAATATTTTCATCACATTTCTTAACACACGACTGCTTACTCAAGACAGGCAAGGAAGAGGGTTCAACATTTATTAAGTTTCCAAGTCAAAAATATTCGCCGTTTTGATCTTTCAGACTTCATGTGGAAAAACGGTTATTTTTTTATAGTAATTGTGATATTTTTATATACTTCCTTTGGATCCAAAAACTGCGATTTTGTTGATCAATAAATTCGAATGATCCAATCAGGAATTAGATTTTATATTGAACGAAATATTCAAGAAGAAGGATAATGGATAATTTTTGTAAGAAGTACATTTGTACCGGCGGCAAATTCAACGGAAGGAAATGAATAACAAACAGACCCACGTAGTAATTTCTTCCGTTTCCTTTCAGCCAAGCGGGATTTGAATGACTCCCGCTTGGCTGAAAGGAAATAAAAGATCGCTCCGTAAGCCTGTTTGAAAGCAAACAACACCTACTGAAACTAAAACGAAAAATATTACAAGGCACGATCGCAAATTAAAACAACAGTAATATTGTTTTACTTTGTTTTGCTTTCTTTTTTTACCTGCGATCGAGTGCTCTCCTTTAGGGAGAAGGCGATGAGAATAAGGTGAAAGAAGGTAGCAAGAAACGTATAAAAGACTTGCGGTCCCGAAAGGTTAAGATTTATTTCGTTGGTTTTAGTTAAGGGCAATTATTTTGAAAGAAGTCGAGGGCGAGAAGCTATTCAAGCTACATGAAAGATAGCCTCGACTACGAGATGAACATCATTGGTAAGGCATATTAATAACATCCGATATCATTATCTTGTTGAAACTTTTCACCGTATAATAACGATACCTTAACCATGAAGGAGTAGATAGTTCTTGTTGATCCATTTGTAAAACCCACAGGAAGAAAAATAAATGAGTTTTCAATTACTAGAAGTTCTTGTAAAAAATTTGGAATGATTTGTATCAGTTCAGAATTCGCCAGATGAAAAATAGACGCGGGGTCTACGAGACAATTATGTATGCAGTTTGGTCCGGTTATTTTAAACATCGCATTAAGACGGTCAGGGAGTAAATTAAAGATCCTCAGCAACCTTGTCTCAAGATTTCGAGGTTGCCTATATTTGGTGAAACGTCTTCAGTGTCAAGCTAAAAGTATTATGACTTAGTCGTTCTCGGATAAGAGCATCAGATCTCACTGTTATCTAAGTTCGACTTCCATCATCCAATCAGATCATCCCAACAGAAATAGCAGCTGCTCTTAGTGTCATTAAATCCGAACTCTGACCCATGAACGTTCTGCCATTACGGAAGCAATTGTGACAACCATTTATCTTTCATCTCCTTCAACTGCAATTTACGCTGCAAAGATGGTTGACACAATTTACATCGCTTTTGCCGTTGCGTCTGCGGTTATCTTTATTCCAGGTGTGGTTTTAAACTTCCTCATCTGCCTGGTGTTTTACAAAAACGAACAATTTCGCACTCCACCGAACGTGTTCATCGCAAGTGTCGCCGCAAGTGATCTGCTTTATTCAGCGACCACATTACCACTTCTCATTGTTACAAACGCCTATGGGAGATGGATTTATGGAGAAAAAGGTTGCAAAGCAGCTGCATTTATTACGGCTTTTTCAGGGCTGGTCTCAATGATGCATTTGGCAGCTGCTTCATACGAGCGATACACCGTTTTAGCGTTTCCTCTTACAAGCCGCACAACTATCACCTTTCAAAAAGCTGTCCGTATTTCAGTTGCACTATGGTCGTATTCCCTGTTCTGGAGTGTTATGCCCCTGTGTGGATGGTCAGGGTATGCACAGGAGGGTGTTGGCACAAGTTGTGCCTTGAGGTGGAGGTCGAGTCAAAAAATTGATTTGACCTTCAATATTTGCCTAATATTCGCCAGCTATCTATTGCCTGTGTGCGTAATGGGCTTTTCATATTTTAAATGCTGCAAAGAAATTGTTGCGGGAACAAGAAGGGCAAAAATCATTTGGGGAAAGTCGTCGAACTTCACAAGAAAAGCTACTGAAGTAAAACACAAGATGCTCATCCTTTTTGGAATAATGACCGTGGCATTCATCATGGCCTGGACTCCATATGCAACAGTTTCGCTTATATCGATGATTGGTGGACCCTACGTCATCAGTGACGTGACAGCATCCATCCCAGCATATCTTGCTAAATCATCATATTGTATCAACCCGATAATTTACGTTTTTCGGAACAAGAGATTGAGGCGGCAGATCAAATGCATTATACGGAGTGCGAGGTAGTGTAGTGACAATTAATCATTGGTTCGCATTTATTGGTAAGGCTGAAAGGTCTTTGGCACAGGTACAACAGCCCTAGGGCGATACCAAAATACCACTCGAAAGAAAATTTTAGAACAATCCCGACAAATAGGAGCCGCTGCCCCATGGTCGCCCTCCACATCCTCCCCCTATGTTCGGCAATGAAGAAGGATCATGCTGGTTTGATTGGTCCCGCATATAAGCACTAGAATAACCACAGCCTTACTGGAATTAACGTCCGCATGTTCCATTCTGAGCTAGAGGAAATTCTTTTGAGATTAAGGACAAGTACAGATATAATAATAATAATACTTTATTCTAATACATATATGTATACACGATACACGATGAATACACGACACATATTTGAAAAGGTGGACCGTGAGGTTATCCCTATAAAAGGTCCCCTAACTGAACTTTAAAAATATTAAAAAATATAAAAAACGCGCGTAAAAATCATTAGTGCAGGTACAAAATGGTACAGTAAGAATGATATTTAAAATGAAAATATATACAATTAAAATATGAGCTTCTGTGTCAATAAATCTTCATCCATCTTTTTAAGCCTTTTTTAAGTTTGTTTGCGCTAATTTCGTCAGTGAAGAGATGTTTTGACAAACTGTTCCAGTCTTTGACGATTCTCACGAAGAAGGAGTACTCAAGGGAGTTAACTTTAGCTAATTTAGTTTGTATTTTGTATGGATGGTTGGCTCTAGTTTTTTTACCTCTACAAAACTCGAAATAGTCATCAAAGTCTAGGCCTTTACATATGTGTCCCGTGTAAAGCTGCGGTGACTGGGTCTTTATCTGGCTTCAACACTTTCCAATGCGCCAATACAGATTAACATTTCGATTGAATCATCAAAGCAAAATGTGCCACGCACTGTTACAGTATGGTGACAACAGCTCGGACAAATTTACAAACTTTAACGTTGGGACAAAACTGAAAAACGTGTCTGTTTTTCGTCTCTCTTACTCTTACTCCTGTATGTTAGAGTCTAAAAGGACAAATATGCTTAGTTTCTTCCATCAGTTTGACGTGTTGTTGTACGGACTGTCGGCAAGTAGACTGGCAGCTAAACCGGACGGGAACTTTAAAGTTAAAATACAACAGGCCTTGTCACCTTATTTGCACACGGGCATAGCTTTATTTTTTTAGCGTTTCGATCATTTTTAGACTGGAAAAAAAGAGATTATTAGTTTCAGGTAAGGTTAACCTACTTTGCTTGTACTGCAAGTGTTTGAAATCTAGGGAAGTATCTCAAAACACTGAATTAGTGAGCTCGGCTGCAAGCACGACTTTGAATGGTGATATGCATGCTTTTTGACGTCTCCATTTAATGAAGGCCAACTTGTTTCACTCAATTTCAGTCCTATATGGATATTTTCCACATAAACAGGAAGTAATATGAAAAACAATTGTATTACATGAAAGTAGCGATCAATAAGCAATAGTATAATGCTGACAGACTTTCATCAGAAAATGAAACGCGCGTTATCTGCGGCTGTTTATGTCGTAAGATCAATAAACAATGTTGGATTAATGACGCTTTTAGACAAAACAATAAGGCAAACAGTCAACGAACAGTGTATGAGGTCATAACCTTTTAACTCCGACTATAATTTATGGTGAGATGATCCGGCGGTCAAGTTACAATAAACAATAAAGCTTGCATGTTAATTTCTCGTTGTCATCGTCAACCGTCTTTTCAGCGCGAAGTCGCGCACAAGACTCCATAGTAATCCACCATTTGGACTGATTCTAGGTCACCTTTTCCCCCCTATAATAGATGTACTAACGGTAATGAAGAGTCATATTGAAATCTAACTCGTGAGAAATATTTAAGATATCTCTCTGAAATGCAGAATAAGATAAAGATAAGTTTACAACTTTTAATGAAAATTATCTGTCTCTATTAGAGACTAAAGCAGAGGAAGATAAGATACAAGCATTCCTAAACAAGGTTCATTTAATTCCGAAAGCATACTTCTTCACTGATTAAATCTGATCTTGTGCCCACCCACAAGAGAAAATTTGCGTAGCTCCTTCTATGTTTAATGGTCATGTTTGAAGATATGGAGGTCAGTGCTGTTTACGCTTGCCTTGAGTCAGATATCACCAGCGAAACTTTATAGTAAGACAAAGATTTATTTTATCGAAGGTTATCGTTATCATTGTCTCACGGTAGGCGCACGTAGACTTAATCTTGAAGCATCATGCGAAAAAAATTACGGGCGTCCCGTAGCCTAGTCAACTGTTTTTGCGGTTCGTCTATGCATTTTCATTTTTGATCTGAAACGCGCCTATATGATGTCACATTGGAACTCAGTAATGAAATCTGTAAAGATAATAAAAACTTTACGCAGGCTAAAGTGGCTCATATTGTTTGTTAAACTCTCATGAAAATACGACTAATCACGACTACGACTACAATATATGTACAGTTTATACGATAATATGTAAGAAAGATAATAGAATATAATAAGCATGGAGGTTCATATAGCATTATGATCATAAAATGTAAGTGAAGAAAAGTACAGATTTATAGTAAACTTAGCTTTGCTATTTCAAATACATAATTGACGAGTCGTTGGAAACTATAAAAAAATCGGGAAAGCACTTAGAGAGCGAAGACACAGTTTAAGGTCTCGGAACTATTATTGCGTTCTTCAAATGCTGTAGTATTCTTGTCCCTGAAAACGAATCATTTCTCTTAAAGAGTGAGGCCTCCTCTCCTCGGGGCTTTAACCAATGCTAAGACGACAGAGGACTCTGGCGCCTTAGGATTTACTTAAGAGTCTTACACTTTCCCCTTACTGACGTTTGAGAATATGGTGCTAGGATGTTGTATCATCATAAATTACACTTTTTTTTCTTGAAAAATGGAGCCGTCTAAGACAGCACAAGCCCCCCGCCACCCCCGTGTGTTCTTGGAAAAAACACCCCTCTTATGTAGTACCTCCCATCAGGGGGGAAGCAGCATTTTCCAGAAAAATAAAGAGGTAAGCTTTCACTAGCTTGTTATTGACATTTCAATTATTGTCAAAACGAGGTATCGGCTCTCGTGCGACTAAAGCCCCCCCTCTCTCTAACTTCGCCCTCGTATGTTGATTTTTTGCCTTTACAAAGCCAAAAAAAGATCATTATGTACACATCCCTAAATAAATTTACTTATCCAGTGACTTGAGTCTCTAACTCCAAGTCTCTTCCACTCTGCTTTCCTTTGCATCCGAGAAGATCTTTAAACGCCTTTCTATATTCCTTGTTAGTGAAATAATAAATGAAGGGATTCATGCAAGAATTGAAAAGCACAAGGACATTGAAAGCTTTGTGTAACGCGCTACCAATCTTTGTGATCCCAAAAGGACTCAGGGTATAAATGGTTTGAGCAGGCAAACCGCAGAATGTTAGAGCGACTGCTGCTAAAGTGCACATGCGCAGAAGAGCTTTTTGTACCTTGCGCTCGGTCTCAACAATGGCGCTTCGACTTAGGGAGGATGGGAGATGGACTGCTATATCAGCAAATGTAAACCATGTCAAGAGACACGGAATAAAAAAAGTAATTACACTGTACGTGACAATGAAAGCACGCGTTCCTTCCTTACCATACGGCGCTTTCTTCGTGACGCATTTCTCTCCAGAAAGGCTTATTTCGAAAAACTTATTCATCGAGAGAATGCAGGTTACAATAAACATAACGCTTACGTATATTAAAACACGTTTCCTGCTAAAGTGTGTCTCATATTTCATTGGTCTGAATACGCAAAACCATCGTTCAATGGCCAAACAGGCTACGAGAAGGATGGAGACCTTTCCCATGGCGAACAACAAATATCTGTTGCTGAGAAGTCGGCAGAAAACTTCACCTCCCGCTCCGTGGGGGACTGGGTAAGAAGACTTCAGGATGACGTAACCAGGGGTAGCGACGATAAAGACACCTGAAAGTTACCAGTGAGCCATTACATTGTGATTACTATGTTAATAAACACGATTCCACAACTGATGGCTAATGAAATCATGAAAAGGTACCGCATGCTAAAAGACTGTACCGTGAAATTTTTAATCGGTCGAACTGTTAAGTGATTGACAAAATGGCTTTAGGCGGAGATCCGTGAAAAAGAATCTCTAAGGTGCATAGCTGACAACTGCAAAATAAGTCATTAAAAACTCTGCACTACAGATCTTTTGGCCCTTCTGGACAGGATTCAGTGAAAGGTGTGAAAATGCAACATATGTTTCATCTGTTTTTTTTCCAGCACATTAACGTTTACAACTATTTAACAGAGATATATCTAGAACTATTTGGAAAACACGAGGCCATAGGGACACAGTTCTTCATTCTCCCTAAAAGTATCAAGTGAGTTAGTTACATGTTAAGAAAGACAACAGCCGTCGTTACCCCGGACAAGGGGTAGGGAGTGTCTAAAGACAAGGAGGCTTTTGAATAACGTAGTCTCTACCACGTAAACTTAATTCATAAACATGCTTAGCGGCTCTCATGTATTAAGCGCGAGTTTCTTACCCGAAGATCGCGCCCCTGAGATGCTACAATTCCGATGTCAAACCACATGTTCATGAAAACGTTAACGGAAACAACTGAAATGAAAGTTATGCCCTCTTTGATCAAAGATCAAAAATTGATACTCAATTAATTTGGCAGACATCATCAAAGTGAAAAATTGAGAATCAAGTACAGTTAATCTGTAGATGAACTTGCCATCTTTGTTATCCCTGCAACAATTTCGCTCATCCATTATCCTTAGAATTATTTTGGCAGCAATCCATTACATAAAAAAAATCTCCGAAAGAGCCTCGATGATAAGCTATCGAAGTTGTCGAGGGAGTGATTTGTGATTTATTCATTGAGCCTTCCGATGTAACATTTCAGTGATGTATAACCCCTTCTCCTTTAAGAAATACCAGAGGAAAAAATATATTTGTGCTTTATAGCTCAATGTTGACAAATCATCGGATTATGTACTGACCTGTCAACATATCCACGACGGCCAAATTAAACAACAAGATGTTATGAGCTTTCTTGAGCATGACAGGGTTTCTCAAAAGCATCACACAAAACAAAAGATTGAAGGTGAACGAAGTGGCTGCGATCAGGCTAAACGCGATCTGAAGTCCTACATGCGAATTCTCCGAATCTTTTAGTACTGTTGGGGTAGAAGAAGTGATGTTTTCCATCTCTCGTAAGCTGTAAAAGAATTCATCAAGATAAGCTGCTTACTTACAAGAGATTCATGTACCAAACACGACTCATTTACTTTTTCTTTCTTGTTTTGTGAAACGTTCTTGTTCAAACAAAACACAAAATTAATCTCGGTATATAATTAGATTATGACAACCAGTCGTCAATACACGGCTGTAAGAACAAGCAATCATTTTTTAATGGGACAATCGTGAAATTCCTTAGGGAAAATTAAGCTCTACCTTACTTTTCTCACCTAGGCCCCAGATCTCAACTACACCTAAACACTGCTGTAATCATTCAGTACTGTAGTTTCCCAAACTTGCATGAAAGAGTGCTGTTTTAGTTTCTCAAGCTACTGGCCATAGAGAACATCTAGTATAGTAAAAATGCCAACATTGTTCTTTGTATAGGGTTGTGACACTGAAACTCATTTAGAAACTCCACAAGTGTGTCGTAAGGAAGATTATAATATTTCCACGAGCCTTCGTGGGGTAATAAATACTCCCTTGTAGGGGTTCAAACCTCAACAAGTTCCGATTACACTGTTGGATGCCCTGCCAACTGAGTTAAGAGTTGAGGAACTTAACCGTTTTTTTTTAAGGTTTTCATATGACAAGCGTCTAGTATGTTACAAGGATCACTAATGTTAAGAGAGAGAGTGGGAAAGATGGCAGCATTTGAATTCTTGCGTCGAAGAAAGACAGATGATTATTTTTCACATGCATGGGACGAAGAAAGTCAGCTGTTGGTGATTCGAACCCCAGCTTGTTTTGATTTCGATATACGATTCTCTATAGGCTAAGCTACCGAGAACTCGTCAACACACATGGCTATTGTATGTTCAATAATTAGAACATGGATCATGAAAAATTTCCCTCTCACCTTGAATCTTTGTGCAATTTTCCGATAACTTCAGAAACTATCTTTGGAACTGAGGAACACCGGATTCGAATTCTTCCCTTTTTATTTCGTCTCACTAACGAAGGTCTCTAAAAAGTCTCCGTCTGAGATAAGAGGACGATTAGCAAGTAGTTGTTAGACATGCGAAGACTGAAGTACCCACCTCTAATAAAACTGAGAAAATGGATGGCTTCAAAGACACGCAATAAAAGAACCTAATTTACAACCCAGTCTCCATCGATTCCAGACTCCTTCCTTACTTGCGTCATGAGTATCCTTTATACGACTTGACCTCTTGAATACCCTTGTATCCAAAACAAATAATGAAATGACCATCAAGCATTCGTACCTAGATCTCAAATTTTTGGAACAAATGATTTTAGGAAACGTTTTCCGATTATCTGAGGACTTTACAAGTTCCAAGACCAATGTCGGCTCATTTTTTGTTTTGTTTTTTTCCTTTTGTTGTTTTTTTTTTGTCCTCACACGTGAACGTGATTTTATTTGTAGGATGAAGCCAGCCTACGATGCTTTAGACGTTAAACAGATAGAAGAAATTCTAGAAGTATTCCTTAAAACTCGCAACAGCTTCCGAAAGCTTCTCGTGTAATTACTGTTGGTCCTATCTTTGTTTGCAACAGTAAATTTGACGTCTGTTTATATTAAGCATGTGCAGATTTATTTAAATGACTGCACAAGTCTGTTGAAATGACATATGATATTCAAAAAGGCGGTAATTGATGAAAAGAGCTGCTTCCGTTTTGGACTGAACTACCTTGGACTGCCCAGGCAAAGCCATATGATCGCCTATTCATAGATTCAGAGCTTACTGGACATCCAAAAGCTTACTGTGAAGCAGTAGTCGATTTTGCTTCGCGCTGGGAGATAAAAGCAGTCTCTATGAGGTAAGGCAAATTTGTTACGCATTCGATGAAATCAACGAAATCAAACCACAGCTATTTCATACTCGCAAAATATGGCCGATGAACGCCCTGAAATAAAACGGCATGCATGTCTCAAATCATAAAAAATGCTTTCCTAGGACAAGAAGATTCATTAAATCTGAGAAACAAAGGCTAGTTTGTTTCTGTTTTTTTTACACCCCGGAGACAAGTCAATTGCAGTGCCCTCTCTCGACATCACGCAGAGATTATTGTACAAAGGTCTTGACAGGTAGATATTTCACCGATAACCCTGCTTAACCTCGTTGTTTGCACTGATTGTCATCCTAATCTTATATGGACTTAACGCTCTCTGAAAAATTGTGTTCTTTTCCCCTTGATATGGGGGATTTTTGAATGAGTCATTAAACTGTATTTAAAAACAGAGCAGAGAAGAAGGAAATTACTCTTAAATAACCTAAATACTTTCCAGTGGTCCCCTCCTCAAGTGTTGTTGCCGTTCAACAAGACAGTACGTACGTTCGTACAAGTATATTGTTGTAAATTTACTTTGATCAGCTTAATACCCTGTTTGATATAGAACATTTCCAAGCCAGGGTAGTTTGAGTACTCACTTTAACCAATCACGTAGAGCAGCTAGGTAAGGAAAACTAGGAAAATTAGGAAAATGCTTAATCTTTCCAGCTTTGGAACTTGTGCCAAGTAAAGAAAACGTCGTCCATAAAAAGGAGTCTCCCTCGGAATATTTCGAAATCATCATCGTTGACATTCGGAGCAGGATTTAAAGCTCCCGAAGATAAATTTATTTTATTATTTTTTTAATTTATATTTTTTTTGCGATTTTGCCGTCCATTTACCCTTTAAGGTCCCTTGACGACAGGAAACAATTTTCATTAAGGTCAGTTTTTTATTGTATAAAGGGGTTAAGTTTCTAAAGAAACTGTGATACTGCGTCAATCGCTTTGATGAAGGACTAACGCTTGAAACATCAGCTTTTAAACTCTTTACGGTGGCCAATTTACGTTATCAACTCTCTCTATATTACTAAATTATCATGTTTCATTGTATAGTCTGATCTAGTCTGGCTGAAGACAAGAACTGAATTAATTTACATCTACGTAGAGGACGAACTTCACATGGCTCGTCTGTATAAACATTATTTCAAAAACTGAACAATCATTTAGAAATCTCTAATTTAAAATGTTGTCCCAGGGTGAGACACTCAAAGACCAGATCTAGTGCGCGATTTTTCTACTCAGAATATCTTGTTGTTGCTTGATCTTTGCTTTCGAATAATCTCCACGCAATAAGCCAATAGCTAAAGGCAATTCCAATCGTATTGTTCTCTACTTACAAGTTTCAATCAACTGGGATTGTTATTCGTATTTTCAATTTTATCTCCTTCTGTTCTTTTATAGGACAACTTTTTAAGGTTGAGGGTGTCACCCGAGCGCGTTTCGTTCCGAGAACTACTAGTAAATGAATCTTTGGGCCTCCGCACAATAGCAATCATGCGCCGACGTAACCTCTTGTACAGAAAAACATAAACAATAGGGTTATAACAGACTGATGACTTTGCAATATATGCCGGGATAGATGCTGTAACTTCGCCAATGACGTCAGGACCAGCGATCATTGCTACGAGAGACACAACTGCATACGGCGTCCAGGCCACAAGATATGCTACGGTCATTACCCCGAAGAGTATTACCATCTTTCGTTCCATTTCAAGGGCTTTCTTTGTGAAGGGCGATTTTTTTCCCCACGTCTTTTTTGCTCGTTTTGCCCCTTTGTTTATTTCTCGGCATGATTTGTAATAAGAAGCGATCATGATACTCACTGGTAACACATAACAAGCAAATATCAAACATATGTTGTACGACAAGTCCAAGTTGTCTCGAGATTTCCATCTTAATGAACAACTTGTGCCTACTCCTTCTGGTTCAAAACCCGACCATCCACACAAGGGCATCGTGGCCCAGAACAGAGCGTACAGCCACATAGCTACCGTAGCACGAATTGCTCTCCTACGTGTAAAAGTTTGCTGACTTTTATAAAGGAACACCAATGCAATGTATCTCTCGTATCCTGCAAGGGACAGGTTCATAATTGAAGTGAGACCACTCCACGTGGCAACAAAAGCTGTCGCTTTACATCCATAGTCTCCATAGATCCATCTGCCATGAAAGTTTGTGACAACTAAAAGCGGCAGAGAAGTAACACAGTATAACAAATCACCCAGAGCTACACTTGCAATAAAAATATTCGGGGCATTAAGAAGTTTTTTGGTTCTGTAAAACACCAAGCAAACGAGACTATTTAAAGAAGCGCCTATCACACAGATAACAGCAGCTAGCACGGCAAAAACCACGAAGATTGTGGGTACCATGTTGTTTTTGGTCTCCAACGTCAACAAAGCCTTTAAGGTAGAGTGTCCCAGTTTGGAAGCGTCGGTTGATTTTAATATCAGTCGCTGTGAAGATGAAAAGAACACCGTTGTGGCCTTACAAAATGAAATATTAATGGTGAAAAAATTATCTTTACCATTCAGCCAATGCACGAACTATAAATTTTAGCGCTGAAAAAGAGAGACAGGCAGCCTGGATTTAAGGTCGGTGGTTTAAGCCAATTCTGAGGGACTTGCGCATTTATAGCAGTTTTTTAAGTGTTGTCTGAAGAATGAACGGGAAAACAAAACAAACCAAAATAGATTTACGAAAGTTTGACCTGCGGTGGGAGTGATTTGATAATATATAAAGCTCTTTAATTGAATTTTTATCTAACCTGTTATCTGGATCGTTATCGCCCGCGAAATCTGGTTGCTTCGTGTGAAAATGTAAAATAATCGAAAGTGATCTGTCTCAAGCCAATTTCGTTCACATTTAATCAAAAGCACCGACATGATTTTTCACGGCACTAATCTGTGATGCAGATGGAAACTTCAGGGCATGATTAGGCTATGGCTGTGTTGCGTTTGGCGGTTCATGGCACGATTGTTTATTGCACCTTTCTCAATGCTGCCTCAGGTTAGGTTGAAGAAAATTCATGACATTTCTCTCACGTTGAATGTAATTGTGAACTCTCCCAGTAGAAGTTACTCCAAAGTTGTATCTTGCCAATTCGATCATCATAAGATTATAATTCGATACCTCTTTGGGTTACGAGCACCTAAATGAAGCAGTCAAATGCCATTTCTGAACAATATATTAAGCCACGAAATGAGAAGTGATATATTGCGCAGTTTTGGGTATGTTCGATATATTGTGCTTTTTATCAGTAGACAACATAAGGTAAAAGTCATCCATCAATTGCACAAGTACTGTGAATGGTTCCGTGCTACCTAAACAACTTCGACAACTCTGAAAACTGACACTATCAGGAGAGCCTTAGAATTACTTCATCTTTATGACCAGTCTAGACAAGACTTGACAAATAAATAATTGACTTCTTGATACCATGTCTCTTCTTAGCGGGAGTCCTTTAGGGAACAACCGTTTCTTTAAGTGTAAAAGGACCTAAAAGGACACTTATTAGCAGAGAAAATCGACTATTGTCCTTGGATTGTTTTATTGCAGAAGGGGAAAACATGAATGATTGGATGGATGGAAAGAGTTCGCCTGTCCGTTGTATGTTGTTTGTTTAGGCAAGTCACTAATGATGGACTAAAGGAAATTTGACCGATCAATGGAGGAATGGATGGATAATAGATGTAAAGAAAGGATGGAAGGATAGAAGGATAGAGGGATGGAAGGATGGAAGGATGGAAAGATAGAAAGATGGAAAGATGGAAGGATAGAAGAATGAAAGGATGGAAGAATGGAAAGAAATAAGTGAAAAAGTGAACTAAGGGGAATTTTAAATCACAGATGAAAAACAAAAGACAGGCAAACCACAACAAAGTGATGGTAGAAAATTTCGAAGTGAAGTTGTCTCTTTTACGGCCTACCTTTGATACTCTTGAAGAAATTCAAAACGAGTGTTGGCACAGAAGTTGCCGAGGAGTGATCGATTGTTCAGATGTAAAACGAATATTTTTTATCAGTTTTATCAGGCTGGTCGTGGTACATCTTTCAGTAAACTGAGGACCTACCATCGATCATATCAATTCAGCCAAGCTCTTCAACCAAGTATCAACAAGCCAAATGTACTCGACTCGAATTGGTTCGAATCTCGAAGGCTCTGACATTCTGACGACTAACATCAATCACCCTTGAACTTCGCCTTGGTTATCTGCGGGTGTTTCCGTCCAAATTATTCCATTCATTTGCAATATGGCTAGTCTCACCTTGGAGTTAAATATTTTTTCCTACACATTCAACTCGGTCCATCGATAACATATCAAAGCTGTTAACGGGATCCGTTGAGGTTTAGTCATTGTTCGTTTCCAGGTCATGTCTAAATGTAAATCACACCAACACTACAAAACAATTCGTTTTAAAAGTTTTACCCCCTGTTAATCAATTCGATTTCACATTCTAGGAATTGATGAATTGTGTTTTTTTTATGCGAGTCAGTTTTCATTTTTAAGAAACGTCTCGACAGATACATTGTGGTCAAGACAATTAGGAACCAAATTTGGTTTTCTCCTCTTGTGCATCAAATGTTTAGTTACCAAGAACAGTGGGAATTAAAGCCAGTCTTCGGCTCAGTTTTAACACTGTAAAATTCTAATGAAATTCAAATATATGTATCTTTTGTATACAATAAATGATTTTTATCGTTGACTTGTTTGCAATCTGCATTAAGATATGATTTGTAGATCTTTTTACAACGTAGAGAGCATCTTTCAGTGTTTTGAGGCAATATAAAAATTGTCTCTGCCTGGTGGACGAAGTCGTGTGTCTCATCAAAGTATCCTATGAATTATTTAACCTCTGTGACGATAACCCCATTTACCACAACACTACCAAGTCAAGGAGTTGTGAAAATAATTAACATTTGTTTGATATTAAAGACAAAGCGTTTGTACCTTTTTTCTTAAATATTTGACTAGTTTCCCTCAGTTGGGAAAAAACAAACAGCCAAATAAATAAACAAAATCTGCTTTAGTATTTTTTAATTGACCACTCCCTGATGCTATTTTCCTCTCGAGGATAATATGGATGCAAACAATTATTGAAACAATTATAATTGGAAGCTGTAACTTGGTGAGACATTTTCCCAAGTTATGATTTTATGCCCAAATAACATCCTGTCAGCTGGTATTAGTGAGAAAAAAGATCACAGTATGTGATCAGAAAACGCCTCCGTGCTGTAACTTGGTGAAACATTTTCCCAAGTTATGATTCAATGCCCAAATAACATCCTGTCAGCTGGTAGTGGTCAGAGAAACGATCACAGCATGTGATCAGAAAATGTCTCGGTTTAATCAATATCTGGCGGGTGGTCAAATTTCGCCAAACCGTTCTCCAATTAGGGGCTATTTTTTCGGTTATTGCACTGTTGACCCTCTTCACATCGCGGTAGGTTTCACTTCGGCTTCCGATGAACAAAGAGAAAAATAAACAACCGTTACTTTACTTTAGTACCGTTTCATTAGGAAAGATCGTCAAATATTTAACAGTTTTAGCACATCTAATTTAAATCTGCCCTCTCAGCAACATTCGAAGTTGAATCTTTTCATCATGGAGTGACAAAGGAGTTTCTCATGCGCACAGATATTTAAAATGTTAGTTTAAGGGTGCTGATGTTAAAGAAATTATCAAGCTTTCGATTTTGTTCGTACTCCAGACAATGGAGTCCGAAGAATTAGAAAGATCAAAGATGAGAACTGCAAATTCCGAAAAACTTTAAGTACTTATGTAAATAGACGTGTTCATCCTTGCTCTCCGTAGCCTAAAAAGATTTAAAAAACGACAACATTGTGATTCATCACAATTCGCATCATAAAATATTGTACAAGTTATTTTTCTAAATATATTATTTTTATTCATGATACTTCTCTCCCTCTACGTCTCTGTAAATGATTCAGGAGGACAATTCGATTTTATCCAGGAACAATTTTACAATTGCCCCTAAAAATTGGCGCAAACTTTCGCGTAAAATATGAAATTAGTATTATCTTTACCGCGGCAATCCCATTCAAAGGGTACTTCAAATAAAAACCACTTTTGGAAGGTAGTATTTAGTAATCTTATACAGTATTCTAGCGATACGAAATACAAAACCCGTTAAAACTATTGATGTCATTGAGTACTAGTGCCCAGGTAAAGATGGTTACGTCAGTGCAGTTCCTTTCAACTAAGCGGTGCAATACAGTCAACCTTGAAAGGCTATATAAAGTTACAGATGTTAAGTAACACAATAATTCTACTGGTACGGTGTAAGTGAAAGTGGTTGATGAGCATTTCAACCACACACGGTCACCAAGTGGGTAAGATCAGAACAGCAGAAAAATGGAAAGCCACTCATTAGGTTACCTTTCTGGAAAAAATACTCCATAGAGTTCAAAAATTACAACTACCACAACAAAGGGACAAACTAAACAACAAAAATCCATCAAGGTGGGTAACCCCAATCGATTGGAAAGACTGATGACAAAGTAACTTCTTAAAGTAATACCACTGCACCATTACACCACTTTTCGCTAAACTAACAGGGATGCTCTGCACTGTTAGCATGCTTTTGGCCTATTTGTACAATTTATTTACAAAAAGGTTATTGGTCTCTTCAATTACGACATTTTGGTTATTAAATTAATATTAAAAATCCTATACTTAATTTAAGTTCCCATCTGTTCTCTAAACTTCAACTTCATAAAACTATCATGCGTTAACCGATACAAATATTTCTCAAAACTTTACGAACAGTTAGTTAAATACTGGGTGAATATGTATGACTGGGTTTTTGGGTCTGATTTAAATTTGTTTAAGTTAAGAGAAAATAGAACAAGAGCGACAGTGAACGTGATCAGCGATTGAATTATTTGTACATTTAGTTGAAATTAATGTAACTGTGTGCCACCCTCTCTTAGCTTTACAAACTGTTTTAAAATACAAAATATATAGTTTTTTTTCTACAAATTTTCTCCCTACTAAAATACCCTCTGTCATAAGTGATTGTTAATATCTGTAATATTAATTTAGGTGCGAAACATTTTTAAGCTGCGGATGCAACTAATTGACTTTCATTTTTCCTTGTTTCCCTAGCAACTGCTTCCATGGAAACGAATTGATTCGTTTCATTTGCTGGTGTTAAATGCTTCGTCGCTGGAACAGAGGGTAGCAATTGGTCCACTGGATCAAACATACTGTTTGTGGGACCATATTCCATGAACTCCTCTGAATCCAGATCATCGACAACTGACAGCAACACGCGGGAGCGTACTAAAAGTGTATAGAAATAGCATTGATAGGAAGATCTTTCCATAATGATTAGCCTAAATACCTTCTTATCATCGTACTCTGAACAAAGTTTTGATCGCGAAATCACCCGGTCTTCCAAATGCTGTTTTTTTTTTCAAGGAAATCATGCTTTAATTTTCAAAAGACTCACATGCTCACGATACTGTTATGTTAACTTCACCGTTGCTCACCTGAAGGCGTGCTGTAATCGACTCCTCCCTTACTAACCGGACTAGTTAATGACGGCAGACTCAAGCCAGTGGTCGAAAGGGGGCTCCAGTTACCGAGAAATACGGCAAAGCAAAGCACTACAACCTACAGTATACACCAAAATATGAACTGTGTCAGAGAAGTCTCTTAAAATCATACTGTAGTTCTCTCCGGCCAGGCTAAATGAGCTAAACTACACGTACATGTGTGCGCGAATTCAAGCTCGACGCGGAAGCTTTTGTCTAGGTTTGATCGCTGTCAAGGTAGCGCATGAGGGCGTTTTCTAGAGTCAATATAATCCTACAGGTTGGTTAAAAAGAACCATGCAGATTAAATTGCGAGTGATTTAAGTAACAGGGATTACAGAAGACACGGTCAATTGTTTCCATCCAGAAGAATAGTAATCATAATTATCCAGAAAAACCTGACAAACAATAAGGGTTCCCTGCGATGCACTACCACCCCTCTAAGTGAAGCGAGTAACAATATTCTTTGGTTATTTTCATGCTTCCAGAAGAGGTATGAAAAGGATTTTCTAAACAGAGGGAGACAGGCAGCCTATGGGGTTCTATGGGGTTGGGCGTAATTGGGGGGGGGGGGGGTTGGGGGGTTGTTTGGGGAAGAATCTCAGACGGGCATCTCACGAGCATTTCGGGATATTCTATTTTCCCCCATAATTACAGGTATCTCTCCTTGACAAAGAAGCAAGTCTCTAGCTCCGAAGAATATTTATCTTAACTAGTCTCTAGAGAAAACAGGGCTAATCATTAGCTATTTAGATTTTAAGAATTGTATTTCTTTGGTACTACGATAACATAATACTAAATATTTAAAGGAAACAAACAAGTGTTGTTTCAGGAAAAAATGCATTAAATGGCATCACACAAGTACAATAAAATCTTACCATTAAACATGTACTAGTTTGAGTAGATCTAGCCGTGACGGCACGAGGAACTTTAGCTGCTATTAATGACTGAAGTTTTTGAAGTTGACTAATAAGTGATCTATTAGAAAGAAAAGGCAAACAAATGATAAACATAGATATCGTAACACCAACATTAAGATAGTGGCATCATAGCACACAGTATAAGTAAACAGATGTTACATTACCCGCAGGCTTTTCTGCCAACTTACCTGTTTGTAGTCTCTAACGTATCAACTTTTTTGCGAAGTTCTAAGTTTTCACTTGCACAGTTTTCTACTCTGTAGAGACAAAAAGGAAAGAAGAAACTTTGGTTTGTTGGTGATATTGTTAACCCTTTAATTACCAGAAGTTATTAACTGGTAACTTCTCCCTATAATATCCATACATTATCCAGCCACCAGGTAATAAGAATGCTCAAACTTCTCTTGATCTAACACCAAATTCTCATAACTTATTTAAAAGGAATAGTGTGCCAATCAGAGGGGAGAATTAACAATCAGATCTTGGGAGTTAAAGAGTAAGTAAGTAAACTAGTTAATACTACAATGACTGAAAAGGGATAGGCATTACACAGGTAAATTTTGCATCAACTAGTACAAAATGATGACCTCCTTAATTTTGTTTGCCTTTTACTCCTATTTGCCCAGGAATGAATATTGTTCTGGCTACATATATTTATACAAGAGAATAAAGTTGTTTGTCACAGAAATAAGTGCAATCTGCATGATTTCCTGATTCAAAGAAACTAAGAAACCAATGAAAATGGTTTTCCCAAACAAACCTCTTTTCAAGTGTTTCCATGTACTCCTTCTTTTTACGTCGACTCTCTTGTGCAGAAATCTAAATATCAAATGACAATAAAAGTAGTTTAATGAGTTTAAACAGAAGAATATAAAAAACTAATCTGTTGGACAAAAAACACACCATATTAAACAACAAGGACATGTTGTGTATAACTGATGCTTGGATCACAAAGAGAATGATAATTGCAGGTCTTTCAAAAAGGTTAAAAAAACTACAAGTAATACAAATAAAATAACTAAAAAATCATATTTGACTCATGGATGCTAACAGGCAAACATCACATTTGGAAAGAAAGAAAAACTTACAAACACTTGGATAAAAATGAACATACCTTATTTTTGATTTTACGTCGAACTTTTTTCAAGGCTCTTTCTTCAACCTACCCCAATTTAAAACAAAAAATTTATTTTTAGAAATGTAAGAATAAAGCTCAGTTTTGTTGCTGGAAAGAGAGGGATGACCACGATGATAATAAAAAAAATGATCAACATAATATTGCTTAGGCAATGTGCATCTTTTAAATGTGATAATAATAAAAAAAACCTATACGTACATGCAGGGCGTGAAATTGCAACTAATACGGGCGCCAATGCGACTAAATTTTTCCCTTTAGCGACCAAATCCTGAAAATTAGTCGCCAAATTGGCAACTAGAATGTTTCATCATAACCTTACCAAGAGATATCATGAATTAAAAAGATTTGCAAAGATAAATCCGCAGCAAACTTCCTCGTTAAGTTTGTTTCCAAAACACAGCACGTGCATCTCGATCGATAACTAGACGCCATCTTGAATTTAGGTGAGCTTGAGAGTTGTATATCATCCCTCCTAGTGTCCACTTTGTAGCGCGTTAAAGATCTTTCCCCTAACTTAATTTTGGAGGGTCTCTCTGGAACGCTGACAGCGTAAAAAAAAGGTTTTGTTTGTCTTTGAAAATGGCGACCAACTTTTTTTGAATTGGCTACCACTTTGAAGAATTTAGGAGCCAAGTGGCTATCAGAAAAAAAATTAATTTCATGCCCTGGCATGTAGTTTCTTCTTGCACTTTCCAATTCAGTAGAATAGAAAACCGAGTATTGAAAGGTATTAGAGGAAGTAAAAATTGACAAAATGATATGAAAGCAGTGAGGGGCTTATTTACAACCGTTCAATGAGAAATAAAAAGCCAGTAATTATTTTTCTTGTGGCTGTTGCTAAGCTTTCACAAAAACTGTTTAGCATTATAAGTAGTATTATATTCTTCAACTGTAAAACTTAAAATACTTAAAGCAAGTACTAAAGTAACCTCTACAAAGTAAGTATATGCTGAACCTTGATGCATGTAAATAGCAATTTAAGTTTTTATTTAAGGGCAGATTACAGGAAGACTTTCTCTAAACCTAAAACTCAAATGGCTTTGTAGAGGAGGGGGGGGGGGGCTTCTTACAAGTAAATGTAGTTCATAGTTGGTACCTTTGTGAGGGGAAGACCAGTTGGTACTGGTAAACCCTCTGCTATAAGGGTCCTTCTCTCTTCATCTGTTAAATAAAAAGGTTGTTTTTCTTGGGAATGCTACAAAATGAACAGAAACAGGCATTCAAAAACACAGTGACTTTTATTACTGTAAAGCCAGCTCCATTCCCTTTGCTGTTTGATTAAAAAAATCTCAACAATACATTTCTATGTAGATAGATGAACCAAAGACAAAAAAAAAGTTTTGAAGTGACAGGTTTGAAAAAGCTGACGGACTTCACTAACAATATTTATAACAATAATTATGAAAATAACTATAATAATACTTGGAAATTAACGTACTGAATAAGATGTAAAAGAACATTGTACATGCATGTGCATGTAAAAATGAAGCATGGAAAATTGGTCTTTCAATCAACATTTTGTAGATATACATTGTACCATGACCTCCAAATAACAAATACAGGATAAAAATGATTTTTATTACATGAATAATGCATTGCCCCATTTGGCTTCAAAATTTTAAAATAATTCACCAGATAAAGACTAAATTGAGTAATTATGAAAATGAATTTATTAACCCTTTCCTTTATTCTCGTAACCTCAATGTAAGAAATTAAATGCTGGTCACTTGTTGGGCTTAAAGGGTTAACTCCTAAGATCTGATTGTTAATTTTCTCCTTTTGCTGCTAACACATTTCTTTGTTAATCAGTTCTGAGAATTTGGTGTTAGATTAAGATAACAATATCTACCTGATAAGTTTGAGTGTTCTTGTTATCTGCTTGTTTGATAATGTATGAATATCACAGGGAGAAGTTACATGTTACTCACTTCTGGGAGGTAAAGGGTTAAAGTGGTTTTAGTAATAATGATTATGCTCTTACATGTACATGTGAAGTTCCACTTTTTTATGTGAAAAATGAGTTTGAAGGTGTACCTGAATAATAGGTGATGTTGTTTCTCCTGTGCTGGATCTTGACATATCACAATCATCTATGATATGAGGTGGTGTGTTTGCTGTGGATTGAGGGGAGCGAGAACCAGAGTCATAACCTGTAAGGAGAATTATCAAAACCTTAACAAGCTATATAACCAGAAATCTATTACTAACAGAACCTTAGTTCTAAGCTAAAAACAGCACAGTTCAAGAGAAAAGCTTCCTGTTATACAGATGTAAATTAAAATTACTGTAGAAAACAAAAACACGTTGCAGAGAAGAAATTGTTAGTCATATATAATGCATATACATTTTAAATGACCAAAAAGAAGACAAGAAAAATGGAAAGACATGGTTCCTAAGGCAACATGTTCTCATTCTGACAACCATTTTTTTTTTTGTGATGAATGTGTGACAGTCTTCTTCCCAGCTTCCACAAGAACAAAAAAAAGGGGGAGAGAAGAAAAAAACTTTTATTTTTTTCCATATTCCAGGGTTCAAAACTTCATTACTATTCTACAGAAATAGATGAGATGACATCAACCAGACATAAGTAATGTTTAGTTTAACCCTTTAATCTCTAACATCAGTAGGCATATTCTCCATACTGTTTTCTAGACATTTCCTATGGTATCGACAAGGAGAATTTGTTTAACAATCAAGAGCTCCTATAGTTGATCATTTCCTTTATTCTCCTGGCCTTGATGAATGATTCAGGGGTGATATTTTAAGGAGAAATTAGATGCTAGTCACTCTCAGGGGTTTAAGGGTTAAGAAAGGGAAGAAATCTAAATATAAATAATTATTCATACAGTTAAAAGTGCTTGGTATTTTAAGGTACAAATGACAGTTAAAAGAAAAGAAAAAAAAGATGGCAGAATCACACACAGTTCAACATTTAACAAAATTATTATGGTACTAGATGTGTCTATCCTTTATGCAAAAACTATTTTGACAACATTCTTTAAAAAATCTTTTTTTCAAATCTGTTTTGTTTAATCACATAAATGGTTAACAGTCAAAAATGAATAGGTTACATGATGTGATCATAGTTAACTCTAGGCAGAATGATCTGTTCAGTAGACAACTTCTTTCCTTTAGTGTCTCACAAAGTTTAATAAATTTTACTTGTGTCAACATGCTTACATTTATTGATATAACCAGAAGAATTGTAGGAAAATTGTTAACAAGAATGAAACAAGCTTAAAAGTTAAATACATCATCTTTGATTACTCAGCTTCTGTTTTATTAATTAAAAGTAGACTGAATTTTAATCAAACTAGAGCCAAGCAGAAAATGATTTTTTTCTTAAAGAATGATTTCATCTACTCAGTTATTGAAGCTACTTTTTCAATGTTAAAAAAATGTTCCTTGTTCTTTTTTGTAGCTCCTAACCATTAAAACAGACTGATACAACATTCAGCTGTACCTTAAAAGACGTTTTCCTTTATCAATATGTGCCTAAATGTAAATTCAAAGGACAAAAAAAGCATGACTTTCTAGAACAAAGAGAACACCTAGAAAAACAGTCCTCTGCTTGGTTTTTACAGTCTGATAAGAAATTCTTCCCACTTTAGTTTAATGTCAGCTTAATGAATGCTTACTGTAAGGTCTACATGCTCTGAGAGTCGCAAATTCTGATTGGACAGGCAGCGTAGGGTTAAAATAACCATCACCAGAAGCTGAATAAAGAAAGTACATGTAAGAGATGGTTTGCTGAGTGTCAAAACATTTACAGTTGTAAGGTACATTTATGTTTTCATGGTAAGAAATGTGTACTGTCACATCATTACAGCTGTAAGAAAAAATTTAAAAAGGACAAAATTTTGGTCTGATTCCCAATATACAGTGATGATTTTGTTGCCATAACTACTATTCATTCTAGAAAAGCCTTAAGAAGCTTGCCGGAAAAGATTGTTGTCCTCTGCCCACCAATTTTAATTACCGTGGCAAGACCACAAAAGTCAAAGACTACTGTTAACAAGAGACATTGTTACTTTAATTTTGGGGGTAAAATGTAGAAATCCATGAACACTTCATTGACTTGCTTCTCAACTCTTATGAATAAGGTAAGGACAAGTTTAGAGGGGTAAAAGAACAATTATTGTCACAAAAAAGGAAAGCAGAGCTAGAAGTCACTAGGGAGTGTTCAAATCAACAGCACTATACTACAACACGACAGGTAAATTAAAATTACACATACACATCTACAGTAACAAAGTTTGTCAGATGGATGCCACTTTTTTAGTCATCTTCAAAGATCTTTAAATGATTTAATTCAGTTTTGAGAAGGGGGAGGGACACCAACTTCTTAATTTGAAAGTGATTGGCATGCTTCTGAGGGACTGACACTGTTTCTGTATTTGTTCTAAACTGCTTAAGCAATGAGCAAATAAGCAAATTATTTTGTCCAAAAGTAAAACCTTCTATTTCTTAACAGCTACTTTCAAAACAATTTTGGTCCCAGTCAAAGCAATCTTGGATTTTGCTCCTCCTTGCTTCCCATAAAAAGGCTACCCTCAAATAATGTAAAATGTTTTAAGGGATGAGTTTTAAGCTTTATCAGAAAAATGTTTACCCTTTATCAAACCAAAATATTCATTTTGAAAAAAAAATTATTTCTTTTCCATTTTTTCTCACTGTGAAAGTCAAAGAGAAAATTTACGGTGACCGAAATCACTTAGTTGCAAAATGCTTTTAACAACGATTAGAGTCCAGCATAATGTTAATAGATGTAGGACACAGCTTAAATTTACACAGCTGGTACTAAATTAAGCTTTAGTTCTAAGTAAAGATGGCACGAGGTAGTAAATGAGTAAGAACTGCATAAATCTCACACCAGAGTGAACAAAGAAAAGGAGAGAACCTTCGGACAAAAAGTAGAACACAGACAGAATCGCCTAGATCAAATGTCTAGACCAAGCATTAATTTTTTTGAGGTCTGAACCTTATATCACAGACATCATATATGATATGAGTCAGAGAACCAAATAAAAAATAAATATCAAAATCACGGTTTTCCAAACAAACCAGATCTCTTACCTATGAATTTTTACAATAAAATTGAACGTAACTAGGAAAAGGTTTCGTAATTCACGAGAGACATTTCTGTTCCCATGGAATTTGAAGCACCCATGAAAAAAGTCTCAGTGATGGTGATATCGAAGAGAAATAAAAAAATAGGTCAGGGATTGACGAAAACACAGTTTGAAAGATTCATTTGGATAATACAAAATAACCTTGTTTGGTGGAATCTCTGACATGGCTTAACTTGATACAATCTATCTGCATCTCGTAGTTCAAAGATCATTCTTCAGACAAGAAATAAAGCTGTAAGCTTACCTGCTGAATCGCTCATGTCTTAGAAATTCAAGCCCTGTTTTGTTTATATGGTCATATTTGAGAGGGTAGGAAAAACTAAACCGTTCTTTTTTTTTGACATTACACCAATTTCCGGAAACAAGAGAGGCGCTTTCCTCGCCCCTTGCTAAGGGAAGTCACACAAACTTGAGTCATGTGAGAAACAAAGGGGTCCGTATTTACCAACACCAGATAAAATTTTAATGTCTTCCTCATGGTTTAAGACCCATTTGTTGTTTACAACGCCAGTATAAGTCACTTAGAAAAGAAAATCATACAATGAAAGACAGAAGGAACGGAAGTGCTTCAAGGCTCGGAAAGTTCCGTTTCGTGACTTACCAGATTCACTGTCAATGCGTTCGGAGTCGTTTTCAGAATTAGGCGAGTCTGGTAAACTTTTTGGTCCGTCATTCGCCTCGAACATTTTAAGCTCTGCCGGTTCTAATCGACTGTTTATCTGTGGTGCAAAATTTTCTTGGGGTTCGAAAAAAGCGTCTCTGCCAAACAGATGTGGTTTAACATCGGTTTCCAGCGGTGAAGAATCTATCGAGGCGGGTGAAAGAGGCTTGTAGTCTGGTGTGTGCGGAGCTGAAGGCGTTGAGCAATACAGCGACTCGTTGGAGCATTCCTCTGGCAGGCTAGGCATTGTATCCATACTTAGGCCATTCAAACTTAGATAATGTGATTTCCCAAGCGAGTTGTATGATAAACTACTTGATGTGTACTCTGGTAGAGTGTTGTTGTAGTTCAAAGTCGAGTCGCTACAGGAAGAAACCTCGTCAAAAAATCCTGATAGCCAGTCCACGGGAACTTCTTCAGAGAGGTGGTGCTGCACAGAGAAAGCAGGAAATGTCAGTAAAAGCAGACAAATGAAATTTCTATAAAGACAGTAATTTGAGTGGTTTTACTACAAGGCGTATGAATGGAATCTGCACTCACCACTGAATGGAAGCTTGTGTCGTGAAAATCATCTGACATCATGTTGTCGAATATCCCGTGTTCGGACGAAAAAGGCTCGTCAAATCCCGGCTCCTTCTTTACTATACTTAAATCTAAAGAGGAATGCTCCATGACGAGAAAATACTGTGAGAGGAATACACGGAAACCAACGAACTACCGTCCCACAGCAGTCATTGAATTTTATGTGACCGGTCTATTGTTCGCACACGAAAGAGAGCACCGCTTATTGTGAAATAATTATCATCATTGACCAATTGGAGGCTGTAAACTCACATATTATAACCCAAATTTGGAAAGATGAAAATATATTATCATAATTAAACCAACATAATTTCCGTCGCACAGGTGATTTCTTGAACTTGCTGGTATGTCCGTAAAATGACAGTAGGCGAAGACGCTCAGGATTGGTCGGTCGACTTTGCAAATATTCAATCATTTAACAATTGCTCCTTTCAAAATGTAGACAGACAAAAACATTGCTAAAACGGAGAGTTCGTATCTACGAAACGTTTCACCAAAATAAAATAACAATAGCTAAATAAGTCAATTTTTCTTTTCCATAGAAACTCTGCTCACTTGGTCGACGGGCACAGATGAAAATAGCATTCGAAATAATTTTATTAATTTCTTAGAATTGCAAACTCCTAAATTTTTCACTCACATTTCTTTTGAATAGGAAGGGGTAACTAAGGTAGAGAGATTTACTTTTATTACCGAATGGTTTTAATTGAATCTGATGACATGGAGGGTTGATATTGCATGGTATTTCTAATAGGAGAGATCAAAACATTACAAAAATACAATATAATATAATCGAAGACGAAAATCAAATGCAAAATAAGTGGGCGTTTAGTATGGGGCTTCTTGCGTAATAAGACTAAAGTGACCTTCGCTCTATCAATACACTAAAACGGAACTCGGTTGTGGTCTATCCGCTCGGTCGGAGAAACGAACTCTCATCAACAGTGGTGCTTAATTGGGGTTGAGGAAAATTCGGCTGTTATTTTCAGAATTAGGATATAAACGAATTTTAACGATAGCGCACACACTCAAATCGACAGAATAGTGGCGTAAAAAATTGGGCCATGGATTTGATCAATCGATGTTCGCTTTACGATCGCGAAGCTGTGCTTGTTTGGTTGAACGTTAATCATTTTAATCAATTGTTTTCCCGAACGACCGTTTAAATATCTTATATTGAACTCAGGAAACAAGCATCGCTTGCACTCGTTTGACAAAATTTTTTAACTTAGTCTTAATATACGAGCAAGTAACCAGCGACAAAGCTTTAAAACTATTTGAGTGGAATTTTACTTAAAGGTTATGTCTATATAATTGTCGATATTATTGCGGTTGAAATCATAGGGTAAGAGATTGATATCGGCACCTCACAGCCTTTCGCTCATTTGAAGTTGCTATTAGCGTTTGATTAGATAGAAAAAAAACTAAAAAAAAAACATTTCAGACATTTCTTTCAGCCGGTAAATCTGTCTCCCACTCAAAGTCAAATACAGCGATTTATTACTAAAGCTACTTAACTTTGTCTCTCCCCGACAGACGTGAAAAGTACTTTTTCGTTTTATGAATTAATTTACGTGTAAGTGCCTTGTTAGGAAATATTCGATTTCCACTTAGTTCACGCATGCAATGGAAAAAGTAATTTAGTGTCTCTGCGGAAAGGAAGTCAATATTTTTCCTTTTATGAAACATCTTTAATTTCGTCACATCAGTAAACATACAAAGAAACAATTTTCGTAATTGCCATGTGGGAGATGGGATGACATTTTTAGAAACACTTTCCGGTTTGATCTACATAAAAAGTTTACTTATTTTGAATAAGCCAGATTTGCCGAAACGGTCCCTCAGACACGACTATAAAAATGAGACATACAAACTTCGCCGTATCGTATCATTCGAGCTTAGACGTCTCGCTTTTATTCGCCTTTCGATCATGTTACACAGAAAATAAACGACAGAAAGCAAACGACAAGAATAACTTGAAACCTGTAGAGGTAACTGGAAGCAGTGATACCGATCACCGAGTTATGAAATTTCTATACAATCTTCAGTCACTTTTATGTGTTACGGCTTCTTGTTCTTACGGAACATATGATACGTACATTGTATACGTACATGCACTGTCTTGAAGGACCTTCAGTATGAAACTATAATCGTTTATGGTTAAAATCAGTCAAAATTTGAAGTTTTTCGAAAAAAAAATAGGAACAGACGTCAAAGTCCATTCTGAACGTCATACACGGTAAGCTCGTTGATTTAATCCTTTGTTTACAAAGAATGACGCACAGAACTGAGTGGTAAGACGGTCGCGGGTCGAGAACATTTAAATAAATCCACAATTTAGACCAATCGGGAGAACAAAGTCCCCTTTATTTTCTTTTGAATTTCACCGTTTATTTGTCCATCTTTCCATGATGCGTTTTAACTCAGTTTGAGTCTTTGAGCCCGGTTAACTCAAACTGGTTCAGTATCGATAACCACGGCCCATAAAAGTCTCGAGAAACCTTTCGGCACCCAGTCATGTTTTCGTAATATAAAAACTCACACTTTGACCTAACAGAATGAAATTTATCCTTTCGGTATGAAATGTCACTCTGCGAGATACGTTATCTCAAAGCGCATGCGTGAATTCCCCAAAAGAAATGCCTTCTTCCAGTGTTCACCGAATCTCTGAGATCAGGAACAACGTTTGTATAAGTGGTATTATACCTGGCAAAATAACAACAGAAGAGGAAGTCATGAGAGATACCTTGACCCTGCTCAAGCAAGAATGAAACAGGGCATATAACGTACCGAACGCTTAAATCGCCAACCAAGATTTAAAGGAAACCCGCCATCAGATTGACCCCTGAACCAGATTCTCAAAGGCTTTGTAGATAGCCTGGCTTTACAAAAGATAACACACAAGCTTGTCGGTGCAAGTGACCTCACTCCGACGCGCGGAATGGGATAGTAGCAGCTCATATTCATCCAACCTCTGTACATTTTAGGATACTTCTAATTCTGCCTATTTCTTTGCAAAAATTGAACAAACACTTAAATTAATCGCCTCCAGTGACTTTTTAAGCTGAGAAAAATCCATAAGTGACAAGGTTTAGGTTACTTTTAGTATTGATCAATATTGATACAATGTTTGATTATTATACCAGAATTGAATTCTGGTATTGAATGTTTTATCACATAATGATTTATTCAAACAATCAACGCAAAACAACTAGCAGGATTAAAAAAAAAAAAGGAGCTTGGATGTTATGTAATTTCACAAAGTAACCAGCATATTTGTGAGCCTTCCAGTATGCCTGTCACGAATACATTTTCATGTAATACTTTAAGTACCTGATGAGGAGCCTTCTAAAGATGAGTAATTAAAAGAAGAGCAAGTTTCGCTTGAGTTTAAGAAATCGAAACACGGTTAAGGAGAAAGTGAAAAGAAATTTGTCAGATTTTGAAAGCACAACACCAGAGGGCACAACGATAAAAAATATCTAATTGACAAAAATTACGCTCAATGTGCCTCAGTAGAGTAGTCGACATGTTCAGTTTTTATATTTTAGTAAAAGAATGTTTCTTCGTGACATACCTTCTGTGTGCATCCGTTTTAAAACGTATTCCCAGCATCCTAGTTGCGCAGTGGTTCTGTGGTGGGGGCTCACGGGATTGCTCAGTTGCTTTCTCTTGTCCAATCAGGGGAAGTCTTACGTAATCAACGCCAGCCGGATGTTTGACCGGGACGAGACTAACATGAACAGGTTGCATTTCCTTCAAGTTCTTAGTCTCTGGACTTGTAAACTTCAGGTGCTTTGAATCTTCCAGACCCAAAGAGCTGTATCTATATGCAGTTAATGCAGGGACGTACTGATTTGTAAATGTAGCATGTTTCTTGGTGTGGCTTTTAGTGAACATAGCGTCCAATTGCAAAAAGTGCGTAGTTTGCTCCCCTGAGACATGGCTACAGTTGTTACTGTTCTGTGACTGATCTCGTTTTGAGAAGTCCAGCGGGGTGTACATAGGGAGTGGAATTTTAGGGTAGTTCAGCGGCGTTTTTCTCATTTTGAGTCCAACTGGCCATATGGGCCACACTGCTGATGATGCAGAATCAGTTGGCACCTTTTCGTTGTCGAGTTTGCCCTCACTCTTACGCTCGCAGTACTCTTTGCTCTCCTACAACATAAAATAGTGGCAAAAAAGACGAGAAGCCGTAAGAACTCACACTGCCGGGACTTGAGTTGTTCTTTAAAATTCTAACCAGAACAGGCAGGATAGTAGAGCACGATATTTCGTACGCTAGCGTTCCGTCTTTGATCCTGCCCGGAGAATTTTCTGAACAGGAAACCAAGGAACTTTCATGAGTGTCAGAAAAAAAAATTGGATTCATAAGTTTATTCACCTCTGTCTCGTTGTCGTCCTCGTCCTCCTCTCTTGTTTCGTTTCTATCTAACTCTTCCTGGTCATTTACTTGCCAGTTTTCCATTCCAATTGGCATTTTGTTCTCGTTTTGAATTGTTATAAGATCTATGAGCACCTTAGGGCTGGGTTTAGGTAATTCCTTAATGTTTTCTTGGTATACTGGAGTGCGATATATCCTCTTTGATAGATTTTCCAATGCCTCTTCTGTTGCAGGGTTTAATTTCTGTAAAAGAAAATATTATTATAGATTAGCGATACCCCAGATGAAGATCAGCTCTGGGCCTGAACGCTTCTTTAAATTTATGACGGACCTCTATCAGTTTGTCTTGTTCTGTAATCTTTACCTACTATTCAGCATTCTTGAGTATTATACTTGAGCTGTCATCTTCGATTCACCCACCCAATGCTAAAAATAAATTGCCTAAGGTAGTCGTCGGCTAGAAGTATTGTAAATTGTAATTATCAAAGAATGGATGTACATGTAGGACCTGAGTAAATAAATGAATTAATGAATGACTGAACAAACGAATGAATAAGTCACTTGCCTTAAGTTACCGGTGTATCAATTTTTTGAACGCTTGCTTAACTATTTCCTACCTGAAGCTTTTAATTTATGCCCAAATAAATTATTATCGTGAGTATCCTCAGAAGAATGTAGGAAGTGTAAATATGAAATACGCACGTCTGTTATTAATTACGCTTGTAACTACGCTTGTAATTTTCAAGAATGAAAACAAAATGCGACTCTCACTCGTTTCTTAAAAATACCGGCAAATTCCATTTTAAATGACGTTCAGGTTACCTGCTTAAGTTTCCTTCCACATGGAACTGAAATATAGAGCCGAAAAAAATGGAAAGATGAGAAATTAGTGAGAATCTGTTCTGCCATCGTCCTCTTTTTTTCGAATTTTTAAAGTTTTTTTATATACCTAACGGGGTGGTGAATTGAAGGCGTTTGGGCTTGTTTGGGTTTACGAATCTAGCTAACCTCATATGTCTCGAGATAATTCCGAGACTTACTTGAGACCTCCACGAATAAACAACACTACAAGTAAGTGACCAATGAAAAACTGACGCAAAGCAAAACCAATAAAACACGAATTGTAACTGAAACTCTAGTGGAAGTCTAAGCTAAGGTAGAAAAAAGAATCCTCAACCGTAGAGGGGAGGGGTGGGAGGACGTAAAAATCTAATACAATTCTTTTAACCAAAGAAGAATCAGACTTTGATAGTCATACCATCAAATTTTGTGCGCACAGGGTCAAATCTTGGAAAAACGTCAAACTGACAAATGTGAGACGTGTAAGGATGTCCAGGCCAAGGTTCGTCCAATTTTCCATGCCTGGTACAAGGAAAAAAAAAGAAAACATGATGACAAGACGAAAGGAGGTTCCATTCAAAATTTCTTGCATTTGAGCAGGTGTACTGTCTGAAAAGACGTTACATTAGTCCCAACATTGACTAGGAGATTTTGTTGGCCGTTGCCATACTGAAGTTGGCGAACATGTAGTGCTTTGAAATTGCGACATGATCTTTTTTCAAACTCTTCTTTGCGTATGTTGCATGGCTACATTTTGACATTAACACTTACTCAGTGTTCAAGGGAGCTGGCAATCTGCAAGAAAACAGAAAAAAAAAGAAAATGAAATGATTCGCACATTTATTGACTTGTTGTTTGGCTCGAAATAAAGGGAATTTTTTTGCCATCTATAGTTTAAATTGAATTCTTATCTTTTCAAGTATTATTTCATAAGCTGCTGATCACTAACCACGGTAACCGCCTTTTTCAACAACACCCAATTCAATGCAAATGATGAAATAACGACAATGACGAAAGGAATATGACCCTATCCTGTTATTAATAATTAACCGGTATGGAATAGTCAAATATATCCATGAATTCCACTGCCGCGACATTTACCCATATCACTGATTTAGATCCAAGGAAAGCTATCAAAAATACTTACAGCTGATCGTTCATTCTGCATCCGCTGAGAGATAGCGAGGTAACAGCATAAGGTTGAGAGCATGCATTGCTGGAAAAGATGAGTAAGATGTCTTTTTCAAGGGATGACCAGGCTACTCATCATGAACCGGTCATCCTATGATTACCAAAAGATTTAACGAACTTGCCACAATAGGAAAAGATTGTGATCAACGGCAAAGCTTGTATGGACTGTTGTCTGACTAAAAATGAACGTATTTCTCACTGAAATAGCCCATCGTATTAACAATTCAATTATTGATAACAAGTATGATAATTTGTTTCACCTACTAGTCATTGACTCTACTGGAGTAATGTTTATGGCTGCGACTTGTGACGACGTCATAGTTAACTGCTTGGGAAGTTTTTGTTAACAAAGGCAGCTTTCCTATACCTCCATATTTGGTGCTTTCAGAGCCCCAGCTCGTTACATTATTCGGCCTTCGGAAAACCCTATTCAGATCGTGAGAAAGTTAACAGTATCAAGTCACAATTTTCGAGCGCATTTACCGTGGCGTTTATGGCAGTTCTTCTGGCTATGGCTCCACAATCAGAGGTTCAAGCAAAAATGCAGAGGGTAGTCAACAGATGACTAATCGTTGCCTTGTCTCAGGTGTTCCTCGCAAATATCATTTCTTTTGTAACGGCTGTAAAAAGCAGTGCTAATACGACTGAGCAAGTTCACTTGCATTCGAACCACCCTTATTTTTACATGCCTGTGAAAATTCCGAGCCTGACTTACCCCACAGATGGAAGAGTGACTTTTCTCGGTACTGCTGGAGTAACTAGATCCGAGGATAAAACTGTCGGAGAAATTTGTACTTCGCTACTTTCCAAATTATAGTATGGCATGTTCTACAATCAGAAATGTTAAACAATATCAAATTAGTATCATTATGATGACGTCGTACAGTTGTAAGTACCTATAATGCTTCATCTCTCTACAACAAGTGTTAATTAAAGTGATTTCAATTTTTCCACCAAAAAAGGAAAATTTTCAAAAAAACCACATGATAAAAGGTTAACTTGTAACGTGAAGCCATCCACGGAAGAAAGTCTTCAATTCTTGATTTAACTGCAACCACGAGTTCTTGGACGGCGGTTAAATCTTCCGTCGCAGTAATTAGCTTTTCGCGTTGATATTCGGTTAATTTTGATGCCTTTAGTTCTCTTTAACTCTGACTTTATTTCTTCTCAGTACATTGGCGATACAGAGAACAAGTCTAACTCAAGTCAACGCAAATATTCTATCCTCAATTGAAAACTGATTTATTTTTTAGCAATTGAGTGCAAGACAAGCACACTAAGCATAATTTGATGGAGAAAACTTATCTAATTTAGCTTTGCCCAGTTGCAAATTTATTCATAATTTTTACCAAACAGTGTTACAGTAAGCACATTGCAATCGGCTGGCGGTGACCTGCAGCGTTGATTCTTGCGTTGAGTCTTCCGGTAGAAAAAGTTAAAGGTCGTGGCATAATAAGTCGTGTCGGAAAATTAATGTCGTGTACGTCAGAAAACTAAAGTCGCGCCGGAATGTTAAAGCCGTGCAGGAAAGCTGAAGTCTGGCAGGAAAGTTAATGTCGTGAAAAAAAGACAAAAAACGAAAAAAAAGAGTTGATGAGAAATACGTGATGGCACTAACTGGGTTCTGTACTCAAACACACAGTCGCATGATTTCTTCAAGGCGTTTCCCGCCTTTAGTTACCAGTTCGCCTACCGCCTCTGTCAGCGGATTCATTCAATGTTGTCAAACAAACATGGTTGACAAAGGATGAAAGTTTCAAGATTTTGCTTCGTAGTTTACCTGCAACTTTTGTTCCTTTTCGTAGATTTGTTCATTAATTCGTTTGGAGAGCTCTTCCGAACTGCAGACGTCGTCCTTCTTGTGTTGTACATGTGAGTAACTCACCACTATCGAGTAAACTTTCTCTACGGGTGTTTCGGCGGGCATTTCCGACTCAAAAAAAATTGTTTTCCCTCTTGAGTCGATGGTCATTAGTATTGTTTTTCTTGAGAGAACTTTTTACTTGGGTTAGTTTACCTAAATATCTATTCAAAATATTTAAACAGTGATTTGTAGTTTTGAGGCTATGTGGTGCCCTTGAAAACCACATTCAGTTATGGTTATTCAAAAGTCGACTGTACATGTTTTTACGAATGAATTGTGACAACTTCTGGATGTTATCCGATGCGTCACTTGTAAATTTCCTTCAACTTTTTCGGTTATTTCTGGAAACAAAACGTCTGATTCTGTTCCACTTTATGAACAAGCGTGCATTCAACTTCTCGTGTGGTCATGGAGGCGTGCACATTGTGTGAAAGTAAAATATTTATGCATGTTGTGTTGAGATCATTTGCAGCATTTTCTTAACTTTTGATCGACGTGCAAACGGATTACTGTTCAATTACTTTATCAGAAAGTGACATTGTCAGATCAACAGCTTCAAGATTGAGGGGAAAAAAGCGAAAATGCCAAAACTTTTGCGAAAACGGATAGGAACTTGTAAATATTCATAGACGATAGTATCGCCACTAGAATTGTACAAAATTGATTGACTCCAGGTGAGAATTTATAAATTTGACCATTTTATCGAAATCGCTGTTTCAAATCACGCTAGCGTATGTTGTGGTCACGTGTGTTCGTCAGACAGGCTGTATCACTTTTTAGGTTTATTTTCATCTGAGATGGATCAGAGTACTATGATTTTTCTTATCCAGCTTTGTGTGAGAATGTGCATAGCGTCATCCATATGCTCACCTGTTTTGATCTGCCTTCCTCTGATTTCATCAACACCTCAAGAAGTTATTATTCTGTTTTTCATCAGTTCACAGGGGATGCTTCTAACTGTCATTTGAATCTTAACTAAGAACATTTTTGTCTATATACTATATCAAGAGAAAGTTTTAGTGGACAGGGCTCAGTTGTATAAAGGGCAGATAATGCTATCCAGCGGATAAATCGCTATTCAGCGGATAAGTAATAGCAAAACGTATAGCGTTATCCACCATATAGAGATTTATCTAGTGGGTAGCATTATCTGACCTTCGCACAACTGGGGCCAGGTCTTTTGTTCCTAAGAGTCTCACCTTTCTTAGCTTATTTTGCTAAATGATGTAAGTCTTACTTTTAATACCTTAGTTTGTATGTCACACTGTTATTTGGTATAGAAATAGATACTTGGGAATTGAAAATAGCTTGAAGGTAAAGATGTTTAAACAATAACACCTTATTCATCTGTCACTAAAATTATTTTTAGTATCCTTTTACAAATTTAACCCTCTGAAACTTCACAGGAGGAAGAAATAAATTTTGCATTTAGTGTCTGATTTCAGAGTTAATCCAACAGATTGGCATGCTGGACTAAATCTTTTCAGGATTAGTTCACAATGTTCACTGAGCCTGAGGCAAATAATTATTTTAGTACAATTGTTCAGGTGATTATCGAGACAAACTGATAAATTCAATATTGTTTCTTTGCTTCCAACTTGTTGGGTATCAAAGAACAGAGATGCACGGTCTGGCTCATCAATCATGGGGTCTGTTTATAAATTACAAGGTTGAGGTAAAAACTGAATAAATTTTAGATGATATTCAGCAGTCTTGTCAATGTCCATGTGCAAGTATTAAATAGGATTAACATTTCTAACCTATAGCCTATTGCCGCCAGTTCAATCCGATACACACCCTTTCTATAATCACCTTGGGTAGGGTGATTACTGACAGATTGATGCAATCCTCGATTAGTTAGACTGCATGCATCTCTTTAATCACCTGAGCAATTTTATTAAACTTCTTTATGACTCTTAAGCCTCTATTTATGGCCACACTGTCATGTTTGAAAAATTTGTTGGGCTTACTAAAGAGCTACTCTCAGCAGGGGACACTAATGAATCCGCTCTTTCAGTTCTATTGCTTGAAGTGGGGAAAAAAAACTCCTGGTGTTGTGATCCCATATTTGCCTGTTGTATTATGTTGCATAGGTTAGGAAATACTCAGAGATATTAACCCTGACAAGGTTGCTTTGCAAATCCATGGAAGAATGAAGAATTTATATTGTGCAAACATATATGCTTCTGATCAAGTCTTATTGATAACTTTAAGGTTAGCGTGTTGTGTAGTGTATGGAGATCAAAATATGACATGTAGCATTTTACCTTTAACAAGATACAAAGATTTAAAAAAAAACAAAAAGAGCCGCCTCTCATGCAATGAAATATGATCATTTGTGTCATAATGTAGACACTTAAGATGTGAATCCCAAATGTTTTGACTGCTCACAGCTACTTTTATTCAGGTGATAAGGTCAAGATCTGTAGACATGTCACCCTCTGAACCACTGTTCAGCTGTGATTGGCTGGTATTCAACAGCTTTGATTGGTATAGTCTCTCATATTTATGCATCTTTGCAGAGGACACAAATTACTGAGAGATAAATTTTTTATAGAAATAATCAGATTTCCAAACCACGTTATAGTTAAAAATGAATTATCATTATTATTGTCATTGTATTACCAGCTTTAGAAGTAAATTTACCATGCATGTAGCAGTAATGTGAATGACAATGATGATAATGGTGATGATGTTAAAATGACATTCTAATTAATAATAATTTCTCCTTGTCCCTGCACAGAATTCAAGACCTCTGCATTATCTTTGCAATTATTGTGGTATTTTTGGTATTTTTCAACACATACATTTTCCAAGCTGGATTGGTGTCCCTACTAATCAGAAAATTCAAGACAACTATTATTATCTCTGTATTATACTTAGCACTATCAGTGGGGCTACATGTATGGACTATGGTAAGCTTCAGGTTGTAGTTTTAAAAAGTTGATGTTAGGTGTTACATTACTAGACACTTGCATCTCTGTCGTTGAAATTATTTTATCAGCAGCTAAAAATTACATGTAGATAATTGCTAAGTGAGCCTCTACATTGAAAGAGTTTTCCAAGGCTGTTTGAATTACATACAGTGCAGGGTGGAGGGGTTATGCTACACTTACCCATGTAAAGTTCATGTGTACGCTTGTAATGCAAGTCTAAATGTACACTGTATAGATCTCTGTGTGGTTAACATGTTAGCAAATTTGCTTTTCATGTACCAAGAACACAACTCAACATCATTTGAATTCTGCTACCACCCCATACAAACTAAAAATTTGAACCTTGAGGAATGTATAAGAAATCCAATACAAATACCTTAGGTTGTCTGCACACTTTGTTACCTAGAAGTGTAGATTGACAGGGGTCCTAGAATTATTAACAGTTTATTTTTAAACTGGTTGCCTTTTTTTAACCTTGCTTTTTAGACATTAAAGTGGGGTGCTCCCCAGGCATTTATTTGGAATGAAGCTTTCCAAGCACTTTTTGTTTTTCAAAGAGTGGGTAAGTGTTTTAAGGTTTTGTGAATTTTTTTTCCATCAACCACTTTTTCTTTAGTTGAGAGAAATATCTTAAGTAAATACTTACAAGTCGTCATCATTATGATATTAAAGTGTAGTGGTGAGCTAAAAAAAAGATTGCAGCTCTGAGTGTGGTTATATCATAGATGTTTGAAAGGGAAGAAGACTTGATATACATGTTTACAAGCACCGCATAGAACACTCAACATGAAAAATGATATCATAAACTTTTGTTAGGCTTCAATTTTATTTTTTTTGTTTCTTTCCTTCAGGAGCTGTTTTATATTACTACTTCTACAAGAGAACAGCCTTGCGACTAGGAGATCCAAGATTCTATAAGGACTCTCAATGGTTAAGACAAGAATTTGCAAGGACTCACTGATTACTTTTACAGTCTTCAAAATAAGGAATCTGGATGTTAAAGCAAGGAAAAAAAAAGTTATAACAACCCAGTCGTTCATAAATATTTCATCGCTAATGGACCACTCTTCTGTTTATGGAGAAAGTCTGGTGTTGTGAAGTACAGATTTTATGTTTTCTTGAAATATGGGTGTGTATGTAAATAATGGTGGAGCTTTCTCAGGCAAAATTTAAGGAGTGGAAAATGTGAAGAGTGCTCATGGGCTTTATAAATGTTACTAAAATTAATAACTTTGCTATGAAAAGAAATACCTCTATGGTACATGTTCATTGTACATACTGGATCACTTTTTAATTTTTTTGGACGTAAGCAAGTAAAAGATCTGTTTCAGGAAATCCTATGAAATAGAGGCAAAAATATTGTTCAAATGCTGCACCCAAGTGCTGGATTTGATGATCAATTCTTTTTTTGTAAAAGGCCATCTGTTCACCAAAATTAACTCTTTACCTTTAAACACCTGAAAAAGTAAATCCACTATGCATGTAGCAATAATGTTAATGACAATGATGATAATGGTGATGATGTTAAAATGATATTCTAATTATTAATAATTTCTCTTTGTCCCTACACAGAATTCAAGACCTCTGCATTATCTTTGCAATACTTCAAATTCTCCACCCCACCCAGGCGAGGTTTAAATTCCCCACTTCCCCACTTCTCTGGGTGCAAATGCCAGTCAAATGCATCATGGTGGGGCCAGGGGGGGGGGGGAGAGAGAGGAGGGGGAATGTTGAAACTTTGAATAGATCGGCACATACTATAGAAAGGTGTACTGGTTATAAGAGAGAAATTTGCAAGATGGTAGAATACTGCGACTGAAATACACACCAGATTTGGTAGATGTTGATGTAGCTATGGATTGAGTTATTTTAATACATTTCTGCTCTAACACCGTGAGAACATTTTATACTTACAAAATTATAGATACATCTGAAAATTGTGTGTTTTGAAGACAAAGCCTTTGAATAGTGATGTTATGAAGTGTTCTTTTGAATACTAAACAAGCTTTTAGCATTTAAGAAATGTTGGTAAGAGCAGGAAATAGCTTCTGTACTCTGTGAGCATTGCCTCTAAGTTCTTTTGGCTTTGTTGATAAAAAATGTTTGTAATTTGTAATACTTAAAGTTGGTAAAGAGTGCGTTAACAGGCTAAAGGTTTGCAAATGAGTCAATTGGCTCCATTAAAATATATCAAGCTGCATTAATGGAATGATCATTTTATACCTCTTCAGCTATCTTATAGCACATTTTCAAGTCTCGTCAATTTGAGACGCTGAACATAATTTTTCCTGAATGTTAAGACTTCTAAGGTTGCCCTCAGTATATCAGTGATGCATTGCCCCTTGAGCCTTTCCACATATTTATTCTGACTCTGTCGTTTCTGAGAGACACTGATAGACGAGACAGATAGACTTACAAACAGCAACCAAACTGTCTTTCATTCATTCAATTTCTTATACCCTGCTGTAAGAAAGATTGCTTTCTCTTCGCTTCTCTCCATCTGAGAAAACAAACGGCCAGCAGATAAAATTTGATGGAAACTTGACTGAAATACCGGTAGATTTCACGCAACAGGCATTTTTACAAAGTCAACGAAAGCACTGTGGAGGAAAGTCGCTTCCCTTTTGACAAGAAACGTTAGCAGCAATATTGTAAGTTGCCAATGTCAATGGTTAACGGGGCTTAATACGGGATAGAATGGAGGTACAAGATGGGCTAGTATGAAGGATACCGATAGACTGACGGACGTATGGACGATGACTAGTGATCTCTGAAGTCAGACAATGACAAATATTCAACAGAGAGATATGGTGAGAATCGTCATCTCCCATGGTGGTCCTGAGATATTTCCATGCACGGTCACTTTACTGTGGATGCGTGGGTCAAAAAATGTAAGTGAACCCACACAAAAATCGTTTCACCGTTTAACGGCTTTTTATTATCATTTAGGGGAAAGATCGCGGCCCGCCGATCCAAAAAAAACCAGAGTAGTTGTGTAATCCAGTTGCATAATCTTAATGATATACTGCCCAACATTTTAAGAAGGGCGTGGTCGTGCGGCAGTCACAAAACTTCATAAAACACGTTCAAACAAAACGTCACCCTGAGGCTCCAGTCAAGCACAGTCACTCACAAAACGAAATAAAAGTGAATCGACCAGAAACGACAATTACTAACACTTAGCGATCCCTTGAATGTAATTTGTTTTTTTTTGCCCAATGAAACAGTAAGGCATCCCTGACACGGTGATAAATTGACGGAAGCGCAGGAGGTCATTTCTACTTTGCAATTCGATCTCAACAGATAGCGCTCGACAATTACTAAGGCGAATTGATCCATCACTTGACATATCGCACGAATTTCAGTGATCGACGCAGAAAGCTTGCGTCTGCTTTCAGAAGAAACATCTAGAAAGAGTAACTAGAAAACGCAGGCAGTGATTTACAAGCGGAGGATGTTTCAAGACTACGAAAATATACCTGGGAATATTTTAAACCACATTAGGTATTTTGCATCCTTAGTGGTTTACTAAGAATCCTTATTACAGACTGGATTCAAGAATAAAGGTCAGTGCGATTTCAAACAGTGAATTGATAATTTTTCTGCAGACTAAAAATTCGAACTGAGTGGTTCTCTGGATGTTTTATTTTTATCGCTGATTCGTGCCCTTATTGGTAACAATATTGAAATTTCTTATAATCACAAATATAATGCATGTTCAAGCTACCTATCTTGAAAACTCTAATGTAAAATAAATTTCCTAAGTATGATCCGGCATTTTGCAACCGAAATGACTGCACGCCTCAGTTGCCTACCAGGCTATTTTTCAATGTTCGTGTGGGAAATTAACACAGTGACTTTCTCCACAGAGCTTAGAAATGTTGCAGCCATCTAGAATCGCACATTGTTTAGTAGTGAGCAAGTGCCTCTTAATTCAGAAATATTTATATAAACAATGCTGTAAAATAACTTAAAACGAAGAAAAATGTTCTCATGTTCGGAAATTGTTCTCGCTTTTTGAAAATTTGTTCAGATACTCTGCTGCGTTGCAATGATTTCAACTCGGACATATGCAAAAAAAATTATCACAATATCATTATTTTGTATGGCAATTGGTTCCTCATCCTTCCCTTATAATTGATGCAGGTAAACTTTTTCACTGTGGTATCTGTAAAGTATAACGCTGAAATTTGGTTTTTGTTTTTCGTTTTCATCATATTTGAATAAGATACGTTTGGTGTAAAAAAAAAAAAAAGTATGCTTTGAGCAAAGTAAAGAAGGTTGAACGCTTTTTTTCGTAATTTGAGACGGAAACTTGATATTATAAGAGGACACCTGATTAGAATTAAATATTTTTTTAAAAGGAACTAGAATGTGGAAGTGAAGAGCTAGAGTTTCTGTCATAGCTCCTGTCTCATTATAAATGATGGCAGATATATTGTTGCTGCCATCAATTTAACAAAACTTCCCTTTTTTACTGTCTGTACCTCGGTAATCCGAGATGTTATTCAAGTATTCTGCGCAATCAACCGAGAAACATTTACTACTTTTAGTATTTGTCTTCTCATTTGCAGGTGATATCTGATTCTTGAAATTTATTCGCAGCTCAGTACTCTAGCGTAACGAATATGCTAGACGTTTATGCTGCATTTCTAGGGAAACCCTGAGGCAAACAGAAGTAGCAATCTCCTCCAGCTGAAAGATCAAATTGTTTCTGTTTTAGGTGCTTTTGAAATTTAAAACTCCCGAATATGCTAGACGTTTATGCTGCATTTCTAGGGAAACCCTGAGGCAAACAGAAGTAGCAATCTCCTCCAGCTGAAAGATCAAATTGTTTCTGTTTTAGCTTTTTGAAAACCCGGCTAAATTCTAAGCCAAGTGATTTATATCCTCGATAGAGGAAAGTTATATATAAAGTTAAAATGTGATATGACTTAATAAAGATTCAATAATAATAATAATAATAATAAACAGAAGTAGCAATCTCCTCCAGCTGAAAGATCAAATTGTTTCTGTTTTAGCTTTTTGAAAACCCGGCTAAATTCTAAGCCAAGTGATAGAGAGGTTGGAAACTTTTAAGGTGTATGGCTATTAATACTGACCAATCTTTTACTGAAGTTGGGAGAAAACGTAGTTGCCATATTTCCTTGGTATATCCCTGTTACTCTTGATTCAAACACTGATCGGTTTTTTTTTCTTTTTCACCATTAGCAATTCAAAGTATTGTAGCATAGAGTCTGCACTGCTTTATATTAAACTCTTTTTATGTCCTAAAAGTGATATTCTGGTTTATGCATTCTGCCCACAGACAAAAGGCATTTCTCTTGGAAAACTTACAGGCTGAGGATAATCATTTTCCTGAAAATGGAAGAAACGTTTGCAAGAAATAACGTCACTGACCATACCAGAGAAAGCTCATCACAGCTGCCTGCCATACGAATCGTTGAAGTCGTTCTGTATTTCACTATATCTGTGGTTGGAATAACAGGAAACAGTATGATTTTTCACTCATTGTTGAGCCGTCATAGTCTTAGGGTTGGTGAATATCTCATACTGAACTTGGCTCTGACTGACATGGCAACATGTGCTGTCAGCATACCTTTTGACTTGACAGAGCGTCTCATTGGAGGATTCCCGTTCGGGTCGATCATGTGCTACGTGGTGTATCCGTTGCAGACGGTCCTCATGGCGGTCTCGGTGATCACACTTCTCTCAATGAGTTTAGAACGTCAGCGCATAGTAATGAAACCCTTCCTTCGCCCAAGAGTTCTTCCGAGAAAGGCAAAGATCGCAGTTTGTGTCTCGTGGATCGCTCCCATTTTGGTGATAATTCCCTACGCACTTGTACTGAGGCTTGATGGAGAACACTGCTTGGAAAAATGGCCCGAGAATTGGCATGTTCGAGTTTTCACGCTAACAAACTTTACGATCTTTTTCGTCATCCCTATCGTTGTAATCGCTACTTCTTACTTCAGGGCGGGGAGAAGAGTACGATTGGAACTTAGGAAGCTCAATGATATGCTGGAAGGGACCAACAGATCAAATAAGGACTACATCAGAAAGCGCACGATTCAAAAGCTCAAAGTTACGAAGATGTTTATCATCGTTGTTGTTACGTTTTTTGTGTGCATGTTGCCCACGCACTTGGTATGGATTTGGCACGATTTTGCACAGGGTGAACAAAACACACACTTTCAGGATTTATTAACATTCAGCAATATTGCAATGTATTTAAACAGTGCTTTGAATCCGTTCATCTTTAGGAGTGTTCGAGGTAAATCGTTTACCCGACTGGTCACGTGTTGTTGCAAAAAGTTTGGTGCGAACTCACGCGATTCATGGATATTCCCTCGCTGTATTTACATTCATCACCAAATGTCTCAGGTGGAACGTGAAAGAGCCATCAGAGTCACAAGACAGTCTATCTCTAGATCATCTGACGTCTTTGACATATTTGAAGTGTGTTACGAGACGAGTGTTTAACTATCGAGGACCCACAGTTGTCGACTGATTGCAGATCACACCCACTTTATCTCAGTGCATCTATATCGAGCACGCCAGTTCTGCGCTGCACAATCATCTTACCCGTGTATGCCATGTTCTCATATCATGATCGAATGCACTTTCTCAGGGAGAAATTATACAATATCTCTTTTAATGCCATAATTTTGCTCTAGGTAAGGCTCACTCTTGTGGCGGACATGAGTCAAAAAAACCCCAAGAAAGGACCATCTGTGCTGACATCAACGGGCAGCCAAGGCTATGAGTTTGATTCCCGATTTCTTAAAAACCTTATTAAAGCTCATGGTTGAGAAGAAATTGACAACAATTAATCCGTTTAGATGCAAAACTATCGCCGTATATTCTCTTTTATCCACAAGAGAACACTTCTGGGAAAACGGCCGTGTCAGTGATACAATTGTATTTAACCCCAGAATAGCTCAGAACGAATTACCGCATCCGAATTTAAATTGAATATTTCATTACTTATGAGATTCTGAGATATTCAGTTCACGTGTTTATTTATTAGACATAATGAAAAAGGCACCTTCTCTACGATGGGAACCGGAAAAAATCCTTAAAAAATCAGTTTTCAACTTTGAAATTGATGGTCTAGTTGTAAACATTGTACTGACGGAAAAACAAGAGAAATAAGGGTGCCCCGCCTTTACTTCTGAAAGAAGCTAATAAAGAAGTAAGCTTTGGAAAGCTTATGAAAAAAAATTGTAGGCTTGAAAACTGTGCATGGTTCTGGCCAAATTTTGAGATTCCAAAGAGTAATGAGACCTTTCCAGAATTGTCTTCAAATGTGCTTAAAATTCGGCTTCGGATCCAGCCATTGCGAATCAAGTTTAGCAACCTAATCGCTTAAAAGCGACTTAAAAATAGTCTCTCTATTTTCCTCTGCCTCTAAGAGATCTGTTTGACTATGATTTAAGGCTACATTGTTGAATCAATTCTCGACGAAACAGACAATTTTTCCTCCAACAACCTCTCTCGCAGCAGCTGTTTTTTTTAAACTGCCGGTTGTAGTTGTGTGTGCGGCCAAGTTGATAAGTTGTTTCAAAATGGCGACGTCCATTAAGGACAATTCTTAGGAAGCTTACGTTTCGCTTGGAGAACTCAAAAGGCCTTAAGTAGTAAATTGATATTTTCCTTCCGAGATGAAAATTATATGGAACACATTTGTTATTCAAGGGCAAACTTTTATTACCACGATAACAGGCGCTTAAAAGAGGTTTCAACTTTTACCAGCCGTTAACATGGTATTTTGTGCCCATCCATTAATAAATTATTACAATGTTGTCTTTAGAAATTACATTTCATTTTAAAAAAATTCATAATTAAAGCATAAAAAAAGAGCTGTGTTTCATTTTGGGAAAAAGTTCAATTCAATCGTACAATTTATCAAAAGTCGCCTTGATATTTTTGCGCGGTCTACATTAACAAAATGGAAAGGAACACGACTTGCCTAATTAAAACAATCCTGCCCACTCGTTGATTTGCGTCTTAATTAGCTCTCCACAGAAATAGCTATTTGTGAAATGAACCTTGATACAAGGCAAAGCAACGACTGGAACTCGGCAAACCAAGTAAAATCAGGGAGTCACGGTATTTGCTTTAGCAGTATAGTATCAATTTGACAATATTTTCAACCGCCTAAGTGAAGGTAACTTTACCGTTGTTCGTTCTCAACATTTTAGTTTAAGTTGTCTCGGTACATTTTCTTTGTCTTCATGTGGAAGTTTTAGAGATAGAGGAAGACATCAGTATTTTTGGAAAACAAATTATGTGATCAGATACGATAATTTAAGGGTTGGCGAATTAGTGACAGCTAATTTGATTTGAATCCAGCGATTCAAAAAACAATCGATCTTTATTTCACTTCGCCAGCAGCTGAGTCAGTTATCATTTTGCATTTTCAAAGCAAAGATGCGTTAGCTGACAAACCTAAAGAAAAAAAGATAGTAGACAATTTGCCACTCATAATTTGAAATCCCATGTGAACTAGCACAGACGTAACTTTTCTTGGAAAATTTCATTAAGCTGAGAGTTTTCTGAAAGGTCCTTTCCTTATGTCAAGAGAACAATGGGCATTCTTCCCAATGATCGCAACCAAAATTATTTCTAAGTGAGGTAAATGTCTATAACGTACTCGAGGAATGTATGCTGTAAAGCAAAATTAACATTTTAGTCAAAGCTTAACATCTAAAACGTTGGCTGAGATTTCCTTATCATAACTCCAAACAACTGGAGGTAGAGTAAATATTTATCATAGTTCTGTGAGCAGAAATTGGAAATTGCATCAAGTATTTTTGTCCAAAAGAAAATGTCATTGCAGAAATTCTCAGCTGGAAACGATGGACCGGAAGAAAAACTTTTATCATAAACGATTTCAAGTAGAAAGAAGGGGTGGATCTTGATGAGTCAGATCTTAAAGATTCATCGCTTGGTTTCTTATTAACCAAAAGATTGCCAAACGAGACCCCATTAGCAGTTCAGCTAAGAGGTCTGGTTTCAATTTTTGCCTGCGGGCTCAGTACAACTAAAGTGCCTTTATCTGACGAAATGGATTAATCTTTCAAGGCTAAATGGCCTATGGCTTTGTTACACTATTGAAGAATTTATAAAATTATCATAATATCGAAGTTAGCCACTTGAAAGATACATGAAATGGGAAGTTTCCATTTCATTTCCCCTGCAAAGTAAAGTTAAAATTGAATTTGTGGATAGGCTGAGCAGCAGAGAGGTTGGAAACTTTACAGGGTGCCTGGCATAACACTGACACATCTTTACTAGAGTTAGGAAAAACATTATCAGCCATAAATCGTCTAATATCATTCCTACTCTTATTGAAATTCGAGTCCAGCGTTTTCACGTTTGTACCATTAGCAGTTCTAAGTACTTCAACATAGTATCTCTGTTGGGAAATATACATAGGAATATTAACTTGTCGGATTTTCGAGAACCTCAACCCCTATATGCCAATTTAACGCTTCCATTTGTTGGGGAAAACTAAAGTCTCGCCAGGCTCTTAAATTCTTGAATGCACCAGCTTCCAGTGGACAATGACGTCTATCTTTAAGTGACAAAATGGAAATCTTCTGCTTTTTTCTGGAAAATTAACTTCACTTAAAGCTATTTCCCATTAGCCTCTTTCAATTTTCCTTGGAAAAAAAAAACCGCTGGAGCTTTGCCACAGGCAAGAAGGCAATGCATAAAAATAAAATTGCCTAATAGCTCGAGTGAAATTCAGTCAAGTTTAAACATTAACGCAGTGCTGATACTGTCAATCATTGCAGGAAAAGGAAAAATACATCCGCGCACTCCCCTTAGGACAAGAGGCCTCTTATACACACTGGGGACAGCCCTTTAATGGCAAAACTGACAACACAGTTTTGTGACACACCCCACACCCCTGGAATTAGACTACTGAACCCCGGGTGCACACTTGCTGAGAGCAGAATTTGGTGTTAGCAGGAGTTCTGGAGATAGCTATCTTGAGGGAACCTTCCATCAAGAAATTTATGCCAGCTGCAATGCTCTTGGGCGAGCTCTTTGGGGCAGCTTGAAACAGTATTTCTCAGCAGTTTTCACGGTTTTTTTAATCCAGAATGTTATTTACAGGAATCGATCAAGAGCTGAGGCGACCTGGCCCTTAAAAAAGGTATTTTGTACTGGAAATAACAGTATCCTGCTTTTCGTTTTAGCTTTAACTCGAAAATTGCCAGTTACTCTCCTGCCTAAACTCTGGAAGTTCGAGAGCATTGAATTTCCAAAATTCAAGCTATGTATATTTTTGAATGTACGAATTATACGAATTCTTTTCATGCCCTTCAGTAATATTCCTGTTTATGTATTCTGCAGGCAAGCAAAAGACATTTCTCTTGGAAAACTCGCCGACTGAAGATCATCGCATTCCTCAAAATGGAAGAACGTTTTCCCAGCCATAATGTCACTGACCATACCAGTGAAAGTTTATCTCAGTTGTCTGCCATTCAAATCATCGAAATTGTTTTGTATTTCACTATTTCTGTGATTGGAACAACAGCAAACATTATGGTTTTTTACACGTTGCTGGGCCGTCATTATTTAAGGGTTACTGAATATCTCATTCTGAACTTAGCTCTTACTGACTTAGCAACATGTGCCGTGAGTATAACCTTTGACTTGACAGAACGTCTCTTAGGAGGATTCCCTTTCGGTTCGATCATGTGTTCTGTTGTGTATCCGTTGCAAACAATCCTCATGGCAGTCTCAGTGATCACACTTCTTTTCATAAGTCTGGAACGTCGGCACATGGTAATGAAACCCTTCCTTCTACCACGAGTTCATCCGATAAAGGCAAAGATCGCAATTTTTGTCTCGTGGATCGTTCCTATTTTGTTTATTATTCCCCGTGCTCTCGTGCTAAGGCTTGATGGGGATCAGTGCTTGGAAATGTGGCCCGAACATTGGCATGTTCAAATTTTCACGCTGACAAACTTTACCTTCTTTTTCGCCATTCCGATGGTTGTCATCGCCACCTCTTACTTCATGGCGGGGAGAAGAGTGCGAATGGAACTTGCAAAGCTCAATGATATGCTGGAAGGGACCAACAGATCAAAGAGGGACTTCATCAGAAAGCGCACAATTCAAAAACTTAAAGTTACAAAGATGTTTATCATCGTTGTTTTCTCTTTTTTTGTGTGCATGTTACCCACGCATTTGGTATGGATTTGGCACGATTTTGCTCAGGGTCAACAGAACGCACACTTTGAGTATGCATTGGTATTCAGCAATATCTTGATGTACTTAAACAGTGCTTTGAATCCGTTCATCTTTAGAACTGTTCGAGGTAAATCGTTTACCCGACTGGTCGCGTGTTGTTGGAAAAAGTTTTGCGAAAACTCCAATGAGTCAAGGATATCCCCTAACTGCGTTTACACTCATTATCAAATGTCTCAAATAGAGGGTGAAAGAGTCATCAGAGTCACAAAACAGACTTCTTCCAAATCCTCTTGCAGATTTGAAATGCGTGACGAGACGAGGGTTTAACAATCGAAGATCCACCGTTGTAAATTATTGCAATGACTAAAACTTCTTTATAACATAGCTTTAAAAAGCGCGGTCTCTGATTGGCTAATACGCTCGATCAACACAGCGTCATATGATTGCACATCCGCACTTGGATGGGTATGTTTCTGAGGAAAGGTCGAAGTTTCTAAGGCCGAGACTTATATACGTTGT